CCAAGCCGGGCTATTATTCTTGGGATACGAGGCGTCCGGCCTGGCTGGTCTGGCAGCATGCTGCAAGGCATAGTGCAGAGCGCCTCGGACAACGGACAGCACACCTGCCTTGCGACTCGTCGTCGGCTCGAGGCTGTCAGAAGGCACGCGACAACAAAGCTGCGACGATCTAGAGCGAACGCCGAAGGACGGCGACGCCAACGGCGAATCCATTGAGCTGAAAATTCCAGCCCAGGGCGGAGGTTCCCGGCAGTTGAAGGAAGCAGGAACGGCCGGTCTGCTGGCTCTGGCGTGAATAGCAGGCGCCTTATTATATTACAGACCGCGTTCCAGCCGCGATTTCAGGGTCGCAGCGTCCGGGGCCGAGGCCTAAAAGCCCGGGCTGGACCTCAGCTACCGCTTTTCTTCAACCTGGGTAGAGCCTGCTTGCGACCCTGGACGCCTTTCAGGTAATGATGCTCTGGCACGCCATTGCCTCGTGATGCCGTGGTAAACAGTCCGTTACTGGATTCTTGGATGTCACGATGTTTAGTTCGATTCCCTCAGGGTCTTCTGAACCACATAGTATCCTCTCATCGATTATTTCGCACGTGCCAGGCTCGCCATACCCTTATCCTAGCTAACCTCAAGATTTGGAAACCCTGTCCCCAGACAAGGACAGCACAGGACAGGTGGAGATGCCCTCGACGGATGGAAAAGGCAATGATCAACAGCCGCACAGCCCGTTGAGCATGCGTATTTTCCAAAATCCCATCCCCTTCGCTTCGCGACCACGAATTCGACCAACTTTCTCTGCCCGGCTAACCGTCCGCGCTATCACATCAGCCGAAATTAAACGTCGGCATCATGGACACTCACGCCGTCGTCGTCGTTGTCATCATCGACTGGATCGCGACGCCGATTCAAACGCTGTGCTGTGCGCTAGGTGCGAATAGGTTGATGAGGCCTGGGTCTAAGGTAGGGTTGAGTCTAGGTCTACAGAGTAGTGTAGAGCACCCTTCTCCAAATCGATCCGAGATAAAAACGCACCGTGACCGATGCGTGGCGTCCAACCGTCCGCTGGGAATCAGTGTCATCCTGTCTCACTGATTGGGCCCAAGGCTGTTGGGCACTGATGGGGGCATTTTAGACACAGAGACAAATGTTTGAAAATACATACACAAAGGTAGGGGAGCGCGAGCGGAAGAACGAAGCATCAGCCGACAAAGCCAGTAGCGGCAACCACGGCGGTAACGAAGAAGCAACACCGGTCTCACCATGTCCTTTTGGAATCAACAAGACTCTTCAGGATTTTCGATCCGCTGCTTGTGGGGTCTTCTCGAGTCTTTCCTGCCCCCACGCCACCTTCTTCCACGACATCCCAAGCTTGCGACCGAGTAAACTTTCTCCTTGCATGAGTCCAGACCTTTTCTCACCAGCCAGTGAACAGACGGGCTGCCCTGAGGTACGGATAGCTGCATGGACTCTGACATGAGAGCAAACCAAACGGCCGGAGACGACAACCTTATGGGCATGAGCTCCGTGGTATGGTGTAAGGGATCTTCACCTACGTAACTCTCGCCCAGGCGCTTCGGAGATTGTAGTTGAACTGGAGAGGCCAGAAAATGAGGTCATCGCGAGTTACCGAAAAAAAAAAAAACTCGTGTCATGCAACAACTGGAGAGGCCAGCTCGTAAACACCTGGTGCAGAATCAGATTCAATACTTCTTGTCCTCTGCCTCTCGAGCTGATAATCGCCCCCCTGTCTTGTCGTTGCTTCCCGAGGACAATGACACTAAGCTCCGTCCACTATTACGTCGTAGCTGGTGAGTTCATATCACTCAAACCCTCCAGAGTCCAGGGGCTGATATGCAAGCCTCATGCATCTCATCTCCCGTTCTCACGTCTCTTTCATTCTTTTCTCTTCCACGTCCAAGGCCCGGGGTGATCCCACCGGCTCCATCACCGTCCAGACTTCTGGAGCCTGGCAGCAGCTCTGTATCCGTACGCGGCAGTCTTTGTGGCGACCTGTTCCATTTGAGCTTCGGACAATTGCCGCTGACCGATGGGAGGGCCCTGGCTATCAAAAACCGGTTGCTTGTCTGACCTATCCACTATTAAAATTCCCATGTTTTCCCTCTTCAATTCCGCATTGTGGAGAGCGAGTTTCTTGGTTGTGGGAGAAAAGTCGGTTGTCACTTTTTCGGTCTGATCGACAGGCCCTTTCCCCCGCAAGAAAAACACACCAGGTTGGGGTCGCTTGGAAAAGTGAGTTGCCACTTAGCTCACAGAGTCAGCCAGTACGGATATCTAAGCCCTAGCATCGATTGGAGACTGAGTGGACAGAAACAAGAGTCTGACGGCGCTTTGAAAGGGCCTACGGGAGCAACAATCAACCTGGGCAGTGAGGATACTCGTAAGAGCCTCTAGGCGTGTCCCATTCCGCATGGCGAGGTTGGCCCATTAGCGGTACGTGTACCCGGGATGTTCGAGCCCTGCTGCAAGAAGGGCCGGAAGAACGGAATGAAAGAAGAGTTCAATTGCTAGCATCCGTCCAGTATCGCCGCGGTGGATGTTTGACAAGCTGAGCCGTATGGCTGGGCAAGTGCAGGTGCTCTGCAAAGGCACTGTTCGTGCGACGATGAAGTTCCCAGTGCTGAACAACGCAAGTTGGATTGCTCGGTGTGCCCTGCTTTCCAGAGCGGAGAAAAACGTCCGCGGCGGAAGCGCACCAAGGGTATCTGTCAGTCTCCAGTGCAAGGGTGCCCAAGCAGTTTGGGGGCCTAGTACGTCTGGTATGGATTCCCGGCGAAGGCAACGATCCAAGAGTTGTTGGGCCTCGACGGGCTCGTAAGAGCAGCTTCCTTGGGGGCGAGCAGAGCGCAATAATTAGCGTCTCGAATGTCTGCTTCGGACGACTGTGCTTGTGCTTGGGCAATGCGTCTGTGTATGAAGATTGTGCAGTGGGAGTGAGTACCTCAGTACGGACACTACTGGACAGTACTACTGGACAGTACCTTGCAACATGCCTGGTGCACAAATGCAGGCTTTTGGGGTGATGAGCAGGCTTAATCCTCGATGAGGACCACTTGACGAGTGATCGACACGCTAAGAAAGCCTAGGCCGCTCATCCATGATGCCTCGAACCACTGGTGGACCAAAGCTGCCCCCAATCGGTTGCCGTCACTTCTGCACTGAGGCCGGGTGATCCTGGTCCGTCCCGGTCTTGCTGGTACCCTCAGTTTCTCGTTCTGGGTACTGAGGCTGGACTGCACAGCGCGTCTGCGGGACCGTGGCTGGTGTACCTAGTGTAGGAACTGTGGACTGGTGGAAGAGGAGACGGGAGTTAGACGTTGAATGACACGGCAGCTCGTTCTTGCCGGGCTGTAGGCAGGGTGTCAGGATGGCAGCTTGGCGGTGTTTCTTTGGCGGGTGGTATCTGGTATGCGGCGTACCGTACGGAAGCTGTTTCTGCGTCCTTCTGGCTGCGGTCGTCGGTGCTTGAAGTCCAGACGGGATCGGGATCGGGGGATCGGGATCGATGCTAATATTTAGAAAAATGAAGGAAGAGACTGGAGTCCCTCCCCGCAGCGGTTAGTTGAGGTGGTCAATGATGGTGGATATTTTGCGAGTTAGGTAAGGTAGGTAGGTAGGTAGGTAGGTTCGTAAAAATGGAAGACGTATTTGTTTTGAGGTGCTTTCCCTCCTTTTCCGATTACCTACCATACCTTAAGGTAGGTAGGTATAGTAGAGAAAGGGCGAGTATTCGTAAGGAAGGTAGGTATTCGTCCCGACAGAGCTCAAAGCTCACGTCTTGCCTTCGCTGACGTTTTTTGCCATCCGGGCACCAAGCTTCGCCTGCCTTACCTACCTGTAGGTACGTAGTAGGTTGCCAGACCCCGGGCCCTCCCTGCCCGCAAGCAAGCCGCTGGGCTACCTACCTAACCTATGGACCTTACCGGCCTCTCCTGCGACTTCGTACCTACCTTACCTTTGCCTACCTACCACCTACTCACCTCAACTCACTTTTTGCCCCTTCTTTTCACCACCACCGTCAAGGAAACTAAACTCCCTGGGGAACACCAAAAAACATAACAACAAACCCTTGTTTACGCATATCCTTTTGTCTCCCTCTTGTCTTCTGCCCTATCTTACTTGGCTTTTCGAATGCAACATCCTGAGTAGCATGGCAATTGGTGTGCCACTGACTTCGTTCTTATTTTCTCCAACCTCAAGCTAATGCTTCGCTGGTACCTACTCTGTACTGCTATTACCGCGGCTCCCATTCGACCAAAGCCGCCACCACTGCCGCAGACGGATCATCGAGGGATCTGACGACTATTACTCCTTTGTATTCTTTTCAAACATCTCTCTCTCTCTCTCTCTCTCTCTCTCTCCCCCCGCCCACACCATACTGCCCGCGCATCTGACAGGTCAACCACAAAGACACCCCAAAAAAGAAGACGTCTCGTTCCTACCGTTGTCCGCAGCGCAGCGCCCCGACCCTGCACATCTGATCCGTCACCCTTACCTTAGGTACGAATAGGCTTCGACAGCCGACGACCAACACCCCGGTTCGTCAGGACCGCAAAAGCCAACCTCTTCGCGCAGACCGCAGAATCACAAAATCGCATCCCACCCCCGACTTTCCCATACTCAGCCCGCCCCTCTCGACCCTCGACCCCCGGGATGATCAAGTAAACCAGCCCACCGACAAGGGGATTCAAGAACCCCTCCACCGGGTGACAATACGGCCACAATCCGCTATTCTTCCCTTGCCTTGTTGATATCCCTCGTCTCCTTCATCCGTTTCTCTACTACCGCCATTCCCTCTCTCAGCTTCCGCTTCTTGTTTCTGCTCTCGCTCGGTTCAAACAAACACAACGGCGCCCTTTGGTCGTGTCGCCCCATGCGAAGCCCTACCGATCTTGGACCTCTGAGCCTCCGGCGAGGTCTCGCCCAGCTTGCATCTTCGTGGCATCTCATAGACTTTTAGGTCTTCTCGGCTCGATAGTTCAAGCATGGACGACAAGGCCGATAACCGGCGGCCCTCTGTTTCCTTTGCCGACCAGTCCGCCACTGATGACTCCTCCGAGACGACCCCCATCGCGACCGACCCCGCCGAAGCTGCTGACGCCGCTGCCGCTGCTCCTGTGCATGCTCCTCCTCCTGCTCCTGCCCCTATCGCGACTTGCGCGCCCGTCTCCGCCAGCGCTGCGACCCCCAGCTGTTCATCTTCATGGAGCGCCAATTCGGATCGACAGCTTGGTCACGCTGTCAGTCCCGACCCTTCAGACCGAGTTTACCCCATTCGCTCTGTCGTGAGTGTCGACCGCACCGGTAGACACTCCGGTGAGCACGACTACTTTCCGCGACTGCCTGACCACGGTCTATACCAAGCGCCGCGTCCCGGCAACACTCGCATCGATACTACGGCCCTCGAACACAACACCACTCGCCGCGACTCGACTTCGGCACCTACTCCCCGCTCACTTCCCTCTACCGTTACCTCGCCTGCCGATCGACAGGATGTGTTTACCAGGAGGAAGAATACCGGAACAGGACCTTTGTCGAGCGTTCAAGCCGATGCCGTACGTCACGCCAGCTCGAAGCCTCTTGAGATTTTCCAGGATGTGGCCTCAGACGGCGAAGACGAATCCGCGCAGGGGGATGATTCGTCCCAGCACCAGCCGCCTTCCGTGACCGGTCAGCTCGGTGAGCCTGGGTCTGACGGGCTGTTCACGACTCGCTTCAAATACGTCATGACGGACGAGGGGCATCACGTCATAACCGGCACCGATAACGTCCTGCAACGATGCGAAGACGAACCGATCCATACTCCTGGTGCTGTTCAAGGGTTCGGCGCTCTGGTGGCGATTCGGGAGGAATCCGATGGACGCTTTTCCGTTCGCTATGCCAGTGAAAACACCGAGCGCCTGATGGGTTACTCTCCGCAGCTCCTTTTCCGCCTCAACAGCTTTCTCGACATACTCACCGAGGAGCAGCAGGATAACTTGTTGGATCACATCGACTTCATTCGTGACGAAGACGCTGATCCTGCCATCAACGGGCCCGAAGTCTTCAGTCTCTCCATCCGTCCACCCAAAAAGAAGAGTGTTAAGCTTTGGTGCGCTATTCACATTAACCCGGCGCACCCTGATTTGGTCATTTGCGAGTTCGAAGTAGACGATGATCACCAGTACCCGCTACGGCCACCGGAAGAGGCCACACCGAATACACCAGAAGACACATTGCAGTCGAACCCCACGATGGAGGAGCTGGCTGAAAGTACCCAAATCCTGAGCAAACCATTGAGGGTCCTCAGGAGCGCCCGGAAGCGTAGAGGCGATGCGGGTGCTATGCAGGTATTCGATATCATGTCTCAGGTTCAAGAGCAGCTGGCGGCTGCTCCGAACTTGGAAGGCTTCCTCAAAATATTGGTGGGCATCGTCAAGGAGCTCACTGGCTTTCACCGAGTCATGATTTACCAGTTTGACTCTTCTTTCAACGGCAAAGTCGTCACCGAACTCGTCGACACCACTCATACGAAGGATCTGTACAACGGCTTGCATTTCCCTGCGTCTGATATCCCTAGGCAAGCCCGCGAGCTGTACAAGCTGAACAAGGTGAGGCTTCTGTACGACCGCGACCTCGAGACTGCCAGATTAGTCTGCAAAGCGAAGGAAGACCTCGACCAGCCGCTGGACCTCAGCCATTCTTACCTACGAGCCATGTCTCCAATCCACCTCAAGTACCTGGCAAACATGGCCGTACGATCCTCCATGTCAGTTTCCATTAACGCCTTCAACGAGCTGTGGGGTCTCATAGCGTGTCACTCTTATGGGCCCAAGGGCATGCGCGTGTCTTTTCCCATTCGAAAAATGTGTCGCCTCGTTGGAGACACAGCTTCGAGGAATATCGAGAGATTATCCTACGCAACCCGGCTTCAGGCTCGAAAGCTCATCAACACCGCACCTTCAGAAAAGAATCCGTCTGGATATATTATTGCCTCTTCCGACGATCTGCTCAAGTTGTTCGACGCGGATTTCGGGATGCTATCAATCAAAGGAGAGACAAAGATACTGGGCAACATAGCGCAGTCACAGGAAGCGTTGGCAATGCTCGAGTACTTGCGCCTGCGTGAGCTGTCATCCGTTGTTACCTCCCAGGATATCCGAGAAGACTTTCCCGACCTACGTTACCCTCTCGGATTCACCGTCATTGCCGGCTTGCTTTACGTCCCCCTAAGTGTCGGAGGGAACGATTTTATTGTCTTCTTCCGGAAAGGGCAAGTCAAAGAAGTGAAGTGGGCTGGCAATCCGTACGAGAAGACGTTGCGTGAAGGAACCGCTGCCTACCTCGAGCCCAGAAAAAGCTTCAAGACATGGCATGAGACGGTATTGGGCAAATGCAGGGAGTGGTCGGAGGAACAGGTCGAGACGGCGGCTGTACTTTGTCTGGTGTACGGCAAGTTCATCGAAGTATGGAGACAAAAGGAGGCCGCATTGCAGAGCAGCAGACTCACCCGACTCCTCCTCGCGAATTCCGCACACGAAGTACGCACCCCGCTCAACGCTATCATCAATTACCTGGAAATTGCGTTGGAAGGCTCGTTGGACCAAGAAACTCGCGACAACCTTGCCAAATCCCATTCAGCGTCCAAGTCTTTGATCTATGTCATCAACGACTTGCTCGACTTGACCCAGACGGAAGAGGGTCAAAATTTGATCAAAGACGAGGTATTTGACTTTGCCATGTGTATTCGTGAAGCAACAGACGCTTTCACGAATGACGCCAAGAGAAAAGGCATCGAGTATCAGGTAATCGAGCATCCCGGCCTTCCTCACCACGTATGTGGGGACAGCCGGCGTCTGCGACAGGCCATTTCCAACGTCACGGCCAACGCTGTACAAAACACTTCTAGTGGCTACGTGAAGGTCGAACTTTATGTCAGTGAAGTTCTCGAGAGACGTGTGCGTGTCGAGATCGTCGTCGAGGATACTGGCAAAGGAATGACGGCCAAGCAGTTGGATACTCTTTTTCGAGACCTCGAGCAGGTTAGCGTCGAACTCGATGAAACGACCATGCCCGCTGAGGATGAAAAAGATGGAAAAGAGGATAGAATTTTGGGTTTGGGCCTGGCGGTCGTTGCCAGAATCGTCCGCAACATGGATGGCCAACTACGCCTCAAATCAGAACAGGGCATGGGGTCGAGATTCGTTATTCAGTTGCCTTTCGACCTACCGGAGGACTCACCCGCCCCAGTAGAAGGCTCGAAGCCGACGACGTCCATTGCAGCCTCCAGTGCTGCGTCCGTCACTACGACGGTTTTGCCAGACAACGATGGCGAAATGATGCTTATCGACCGAGGGAGCAAAACACAGAGTACCGAAGATCACATGAACCCGATTCTAGGGGACTCGGGCCCGACGGCCGAAACCCAAAGTCTTGGGAGCCAGAAAAGCGCTGCCACGGGGGCTAGCAGAGCTAGCGACATGAGCTCCCGAAGCGATGCGGACCGATTGATTGACGCGATCCAGACCCCGTTGTCCATCGGTGAATCGGCCTCTCAGCGGAACTTCTCAAGGGAAAATTTTCAGCGACCGACGACAGCAGACAGCAACAGCTCATCGGCTACTGCTGCCCGAGGTATGGATGTACCTAGACCGCGCCGTACAGATCCCACAGCCACCTCCGACACACTGCCCCGGCCTGAGGTTGGGTTTAGTAGTGTCACAGATACCAAAACACCTATCAAGGCCGTGAAGGTGCCCGACGAATACACCCATCAGCCGTGTAGGCCTCAGGAAAGTGATACCTCCGGAATTCTCTTTGAGATACCGTCCAAGAACCGGGCGACTTCAGAAGCCGGCACAATAGGCACCTCCACCAGTGTTGCATCGGGAATGGACAATACCAAGCTACAAGTGCTCATCGCCGAGGACGATCCGATCAACTCGAGAATCTTGCGCAAACGATTGGAGAAGACAGGCCATCAGGTGTCGCATGCTGTCAATGGCGAAGACTGCGCAACAGTCTATCGCGAGAAGTCCAACGCCTTCGACGTGGTTCTGATGGATATGCAGGTATTTGTCCTGCCCAAACCGTTGCTAGATGTCTTTTTTCGTAGTGACTTACTTTTGTTATAGATGCCGATAGTGGACGGACTCACAAGCACCAAGATGATACGAGCGTTCGAAAAGTCCAATGACCATGGAGGACATTCTTCGATAGCGAGCCACAATGGCCGAATTCCAATTTTTGCAGTTTCCGCATCCCTCATCGAGCGCGAGAAGGGCAAGTACATCGATTCTGGCTTCGACGGGTGGATTCTTAAACCTATCGATTTCAGGCGGCTCAACACGTTGTTGCTTGGAATCGTGGAGGACGATGTCCGCGCATCTTGCCTATATGCGCCTGGACAGTGGGAGCGCGGTGGCTGGTTCAACGTCAGAGATCGTCGCGATGAAGATGGCCCAACGACGCTCAAAGAAGAAGAAAAAGAAGCATCATCAAGCCCGTCGTCGGATGGGAAAAGCCAGAGTACGGCAAAGGCGGATGCCGCTTCGTGATGCTTGATTGGTTCAGAGGAATGGAGACAGCCTTGGTGGTGGAGAAGCAAGATCCCCAAGGCAGTCGTCGCTAGAGTCTCTTTCATTTTATACTCGGATCCTGGGATGCGCGTAGGGGAAATTTGGTAACGACAATGATTTGAGATCTGCAACTCTGCATGAGTCTTGCGTTGTCTATCCAAAGAATCCTCAGCGGGCCCAAGATCAAATGTGACGAAGACGAGCGCCGTATTGTTGCTCCGTGGTCTTCGTCTTCCAATGGAGTTTGAGTGGTGGTGAAGTCCAAGTTTGTGGGCAGGTTTCAAAATCGGATGTTGAAGCGTGATGACATAGACGGTTATACCATGACAAAAGCATACGGGTTGCATGGGAAGGGGGCCGACCGGACGGTCTGGGACCGGCGTTTTTATGTGAAACATAACTATCATTTGTTTTGGTTGTCAACGCAATATACCACTACGGTTGCTTCTTTGGCAGGGTGCGACAGGTCCACCGATGTATAGAAAAATGCTGAGTTTTCGCTGCGATATAGTCACGTCAGATAGCAGAAGCTAATACAGCTGTTGTTCGCTGCGCCGGATGCGCCTCAAAAGTCAGGGTGAGCGTATATCACGATGGCATCGTCGATTTCACACACTCACAGCATAACAGCAAAGTTTGACCACAACAGTACTCGACAAAGAATCGATTACCCCAATTTCAGGGGTAAGCGGTCTTATGCTTGCAAAGCGGCATGATCGAACCCACTGTGACAAAAATGATGTGAAGTACCATCTGGAACTTCCATAACGTGGTGGCCAGATATAACAAGTTAGTTCTCAACTTGAGTGTGGTTTTTCTGTGCCAGCGGGTCTCCTCCGAACCCGCTTGGCACGTTGGAGCTCGTCACATGTATCAAGTTTGGAGGCTCCAGAAAGCCGATGATCAACTCATGCGGATCGCGACTGAGGCGAGAGCCAAGAGAACACAACATGAGAGCGCCCAACCCCGTCCGCAGGAGGAAATTCATAGAACAAGTGTAATATGAACGACAAAGAGCACGTGCGTCTGATCCAAGACTTGGTCTAAGCAATCGGTGCCTCAGATGAAGTAGGGAGGGGCCCTGGAGAACATACATAGGCAGATGAAGCACCACATAGCCCATCTATCTGTGTTCCTCTTGAGTCTCACTTGGCGCGTGGAAGCTTGAATGCGTGTCCCAAGCTCCGGGATGTGGACGCTGAAAGGTTCGGCAGGTAGGTGACAGGCACGCACGCAAACGGTAGGCCCCGGCCCGTCCTTGGCTGGCCGGTGTCGGTGCCGGCGACGATGTGATCGTGATGGTGCTTTTTTCCAAGCAGGGCGTGAACGACTCATGTCTGATGCCGTCGGCCCGGCAAGTGCGATGGTGTCGCGAAATCAAGACAGAGAAGAATGACTTGGACTTCACCCTTCGCCACTACACCACCAAATGTGCCGTTCGCCTGATCTCTGGAAACATGAATCACTGTTCAAATATACGACGAGTCTGGACTACGAAAGCGAGAAGAGAACGAGAGTGAGTAGTCGATTGAGTTCTGATGTTTGTCGATGATACAAAATCATGACCCCCCACGACACACATCTCTTGTTTTAACCCCTATATCCGCCTCGCTTCTATGCCTTCGTGACAATAACCCCTTTCCGGAGCGGGCACTCGGAAATGGCAAGAGCCGGACTCAGCCAGCGGAAAAAAAGGACAGGAAGTGGGTGGTGGGCTGGATGACTAGAGGATGACGAGAACTGCAACTCCAAAGACAAGAGGGCACTTGGGCCAAGTCAATCATTCAACTCGTGTTCGACGAGCAGGACGGACGGCAAAAGGGACTGAGCGCGCAGTCAAGAATCGGACTCTGAGCTCTTATTCGCAGGTCTTCCTCAACACCACCACCACCCAGCTGCCAGACAAGGTTCCCCGCTGCCATCTGCTGGTTGAGATAACCGTGCGCCGCTCCCTCATGCTCCCGAAGCTTGATTGACGTGGTTCTTGTTGCTGTTCGTGCTTCGTATCCTTCCCTTGCTGAACGAGTTTGAACTCGCAGCTGCAAGCGCAACTTTCGTACATGGTCCTCCCCGCCACAGAGACCGTCAAATATAGGTGCCGCAGAGGGAAGAGGAAAGTCAGTTCGTTTTTTTGGTTGCTGTCTATCCTTGAAGGCATCCCACACATTCCCGCTCGTCCTCTCGCTTTTTCGGTCTTCCGCTCTAAAATATTCCTCTCTCGTTGGTTTAAACTCTGCTCATCGCCGCGATCCTCACGAGGCTCTCCACGCTCTCCCGTGTCCCACCCCCTCACTCTCTCAGCCACCGAGTCAACCTTGATCAGGATGGATGGCAGCCCAGAACCACATGTGCAGAACAGCACAGACTTTGCAGTCTTCCAATGACATGACGAGGAGATATATCATGTTGGCAAGCCCAACCCACCTATTCCTTGTGACCTCACTTACCGAGGAGCAGGAATCCTGCCAGTTCTCAACTCTGTTTGTGGAACCATCCTCCTCCTCCCCTCCACGGGAACGTAACGGGACGTGGCCTTGGTCAGACAGACGAGAACGAGGGAAAGCCCAGTTCGACCTCGTTTCTTTCCCGTTTCCTTTTTGCGACTACCCGGCCAGGATGAGATGCTCGGCGTTAGAAGAAGTTCGTGCGTGGGAAAGGCAAAATGACTCGGTGACGATGACAAGAGCTGTGGGAAGTGCGGGCTAGGCAAAGGCAAACTCGCCCTCCGCGTGAATAGTGAACGCTGCTCGGAAGTTTACCCTTCCCCCTTCCCGTCATCCTATTTTGAGCCCCTACTCGCAGCGGTTCATGACTTACTTGGTTTGCTGGGAAAAAGGCAAACAGAGCCTTTGATGTCCTTTTTGGGGGTTGTCATCTCCGGCTGATAAACTCGCTGTTTCCCTTCCGCCTTACGTCGAGATCGGTCGGGCACCGCTCGGCCAAAGCCAAGCCAGTCTGAATTGAAGCCTCGATTCTCCTCCTTCTTCTCTGCCCCCCATCGGTCGACTACGATAATGGATCCAGCAAAAGCTGCAGCTGAGGCGAAAGATGACCTTAGGGCGACCGTCATCGGGTCAGTGGTCTTCTGTATCACGTTCCCATCTATTCTGGTCGGGTTGCGGGTTTACACAAGGACGAGGGTGATCACGCTATTTGGCATCGATGATATACTTGCCATTGGCGCTATTGTGAGTTACTCTGAGGTCTAGAAGAGGCTTTAAGAAATATTTGGGCTGACGTCTGATGAAAGCTGGCCACGGCCGGTTGTGGCATCGCCATTGCTTCCAGTGAGTTCCCCCAGTCTTTTCACCACGTAGCTCTCACAAGTGGCTGATTTGGATGACAGTGACTACACACGGTCTGGGGAGACATATCTCAACTTTGACTCCGTCAGATATCACAGAGTACATGCGCGTAAGTCTCGAATATCATAATCCACATCACGCCGTTCTCCAAGCGCTGACACGGGATCAAGATATTCTACATCTCCATCGTCTTTTACAACATCGCTCTACTCTTCATCAAGTTGTCCTTCCTGTTCCAATATTACCGCATCATGGCCGTCCCCGGGATGCGGAGGATCTACGCCGTCGCCATCGTCATCGTAGGAGCATGGGCCGTGGCCCAGCTCCTCATCGCCACCTTCCAGTGCCAACCCGTCGAGGGATTCTGGGACAAGACCGTCAAGGCCCATTGCATCCCCACGCAGCCGCAGTGGTACGTCAACGCGGCCGGCAACATCGCATCCGACGTCGCCGTCTTTGCCCTTCCGCTCCCGATCTTCTGGCACCTCAGCCTCCCGCGCAAGCAAAAGCTTCTCCTCATGGGCATCTTCAGCCTCGGATTCTTGTAAGTGAAACGCAGCGCGTTGTATCCTCCTCTCTTTTTAGAACGATCCACTGATGGGGTGAGCTAGCACCGTTGCCATCTCCATCGTCCGGACCAAGTATCTCAAGATCGAACAGGACTTCACCTGGACCAACGTCGACGCCTCGCTGTGGTCTCTGGGCGAGATCTCCTCGGCTGTGACATGCGCCTGTCTTCCGACTCTGCGGCCCTTGATGACGAGGCTGTTCCCGAAGATGATGGCACGGGTGAACTACTCGCTGAACAGCCACCAGACCGACACCCGCGCCACGTACCCCACGAGTGCCTATCCTCCAGCCATCATTAAGCCCGACGTGGAGAAAGCGCCGATAGACTCGGCCATCTCGAGCGCGAGATCGAGCCACATGAAGGACGACAGCAGGTCGGTCACCCACGGAAACCCCTATCCGCACCAGCACATTACCACCTCGACGGAGAGCATCTTCGGCCTGGCCAGTGTCCGTGAGGACAGCATCACTCCCGTCAGGTCCAACTTCAGCCCCGCGAGCCCGAGGCCGACCTGGTCTCCTACTAGCAAGTCGTCCGGCAGTAGGAGGGAATACACACCAGGCTCGATGATTTGAGTTCCGGGGAACGGGTCCTCGGCTGGTATTCCGAGACGAAAGGGTTGGTTGCTTGATGTCCTTAGTGACGCCGGCGTCGTTTGTTCGGAGGAAGAGGACTACTACACTGCGGGCAAGTCGAGGCTGTGAGCTGCTCAACGCTGCAACAGCCGTACCACCAAAAGTAATGAGTGCTAGTTAGCTGTGCCATACCCGTATAATGAATAATTATGATCTATTACGACTAAATTGTGAGGGTATCTTTCTCACTGTATGTGCGCGTTCTATAACTAGATCTTCTCTGAGCGATCAAAGTCCAAAGCGCCACCACGGCTTGCTCTCCGGTTCCTTGTATCCCTCCTCCTTGACATTGTGCTTTCCGACGATGGTGAGGAAGACTTGATCGAGCGTCGTCGGGCTCACGCTGTAATGCATGATGCCCAAGTTCTCCCTCTGTTCCTCCAACATGACAGCCAACTGTCCAACCGCGCTGGACGAGACGTCCTGATCGGCCCGCGTGATGTCCTTGACCTTGTGGCCGCCGAAGACGCCCAGAACATCGCTGGCCGGCACGGAGAAGCGCATCTGGCCGTGGTACGTCTTCTCCTCGACCTCAGCACCGGGGAAGTTCTTCTGAATCCAGTCGCGGAGGCGCTCGGTTTCCTCCGCCGTCGTGTGAGGCGCCGTCTTGCTGATCAAATGCACGTGGAGCGCGTCGCCGAAGCGGTGTCGAAGGTTATCTGTCGTGCCAAGGGCCAGCATGCGTTTCGCCAAGATGCCGGCCCGGCTCGCGAGTGCGTCGGCCTCCTCCATGCTGTGCGTGGTGAGGAGCAGCGACCGCCCGGGGACCGTGGCCGCCAGCGTCTTCCACATGATACGCTTAGCCGCGGCGTCCAGGCCGCTGGATGGCTCGTCCAGGAGGAGGACGGTAGGGTTGCCCATGAGCGCGATGCCGAGGCTCAGTTTTCGCTTGTTGCCGCCCGACAGCGCGTTCGCCATGCGTGTAGAGAAGGCTTGCAGGCCGACTGCGTGGATCACGGCGTCGACGTTGTGGGCGATGTCGGGGATGCCGCGAACGCGGGCGTAGAATTCGAGATGCTCTCGCACCGTCATCAGGTCCATCGCATCGTGCTGAGGGCACACTCCGAGGTGCGACCTGGCGGAGGGCAAGTCGTGAATAACGGACTTGTCTTCGACCAGGATTTCGCCGCCGTTGCGACTCGGCTTGAGGTCTCCTCGAATCAAGGAGATGGTCGTCGACTTGCCGGCTCCGTTGGGCCCCAAGAGGGCAAAGACTTCTCCGCGCTGAATGCCAAAGGTGACATTGTCCACGGCCGTGTTCTTCCCGAACGTCTTCGTCAGGTGCATTACTCTGAGCCCATCATCGTTATTATTCGTGGTGGTGACTCTGGTCAACTCGTTCGCCAACTCTTCGTCGGATAAGGCCGGATCCTCAGTCTCGGTATGCCGTCGCTGCCAGAGTCGCCGTACAGTCGAACCGACGGAGCCGCTGTCCGCCCAAAGCAGGATGATGAATAGAAGAATGGACTGCAGAATCAAGTACAGGATGGGACCTCCATACTGAAGCATGCCGCCTGGGTTTTGTGCGAGCTGCCGTCCGTCGCATGCCGTGGAGAACAGGTTCAGAACCAGAAACATGGTGCGGATCACTGATCCGATCGGTGCAACTGCGGAGATGACGAAGTGGACGACGAGGAGATAGTCGTCTACTTTGGTGACTGGCGCGTATGTGACCGTACAGAGATACGCAACCAAGTAAACCAGGAACATCACTGCTTGTCCAGCAGCAACCCATGCGTATGTGGAAAGCTGCGTCTTGCAGAAAAGAGATACGACGTAGGCCAGGAGGATCGCAGTCAAGCCGTACAGCATGAAGACAAGGAAAATATAGCCGATGTGGTACCAGATGTTCGACAAGGCCGCCCAGAGAATAGTGACGAGGGCAGTAGAGGCGAGAACGACGATGAAGTCGAGAGCGAGGTATGCAAGCCACAAAGGCAGAGGTCGAACGCCGTTGGAGTACTGCAGGCCGCGGATACCCCATCGACGTTCCAGACTCGGGTACAGGGCGAAGAAGCCCGGATAACAGCTAAGCGCTATTCCAGTGTACACGAGAAACTGCAGAGAATTTCCGGTGTCAGGGTCCCAGGGAGTAGCGAATGGGGCCCATTCCATCAATACCGTCACGTTGCTGAGCAGCATGTTCATGAGGTTCTGGGACAACAGCGGGTTGATGAGGCCGTTGTAGTTGGCCATGTAGGCCACAGTAGGTGGCATCGCGCTGTCACCGAGCCAGAGGCCACCCGGTACAGTCTGCATACGTCGATCGACGATGGTGTTTTGGAAGGCCTCAAAAGTCTCGGCGAAAGTCGCGTTCTCCTGCAGCAATTGCCTCGCGAACTCCAGCCCGGTAGTGGAGTTAGATCCCGAACCAGAGCCAGAGCTACCAGAAGCTGCGTTGAAGACTGGAAGAAGAACAGTAGCAGCGGTATTCAGATCGAACTTTGAAGACGGCCCAAGAACCAACTTCCATGTGAAGTCAGTGAGACTGAAGCCTTGGGCCTGGTCGAGGGACCGCTCTTCCGATGGCGCGCACCCAGCTTGTGTCTGGCCTTTGATAAACAAGGTGACAAGACCGGCGGCTGCCACAGGGAGTATGAATGCTGCCAGGTGGGGGATCCAGTTGGTCTTCAGAATCGTGAGTCGTTTGCGGAAGAGTACGGCGGCCTGCTTCATGTAGCCGATTCGATGGCCATCCAGCAACTGCAAGCCCCCTTGAGGCACCGCACCCACGGGAAGAACCTCGTTCGACGCAGCTTTCTTCTCGTTGTACTCCGAATTACTGTCGGGGAAGGAGTCGCCTGATTCCCCGCGGACCTCTTCTGCAAGCTGCAGGAACACATCCTCGATGGTAGGCCCGGAAAATCTGTACTCATGGATGTCATTGGCCTCTAGCGTGCGGATGACTTGAGCAGCCAAGGACGAAGACGGGGCAATATAGCTCACGAGATCAAAGGAGATCTTCTTCTCAACGCCCTCAACATCGGGCGCGTTCTTGATACCGGTGTCCTTGTGAACATGAACCCGGTACCCGCCGCCGAGACGATCCTTCAGCTCAACCGACGATCCATCAGCACGCAATGTGCCCTTGGATAGGATGGCGATGTGGTCAGCGAGGAGGTCAGCCTCGTCCAAAAAGTGGGTGGTGAGTACAATAGTCCGACGTCCACGTTCTGCCAGAAGGATGTCCCAGATCTTCCGTCGACTGAGAGGGTCGATGCCACTGCTGACTTCATCAACGCAACAGACAGCGCTTCCTCCCGTGAGCATCATGCCCAGTTGAAGCTTTCGCTTTTGTCCACCCGATAGCGTCTTGGACTTGGATTTGTGCTTCAGCTCCAGATCGACTGACTTGATTAGATCGCGGATCTCCTGCTTGGAAGCAAGATTTCCGGGGGCCTTAAGCCGGTTGAAAATCTTGATATGTTCCTCCACAGTCAACTCATCCCAGAGAACGTTCTTTTGGGGCGCAATTCCCAAACCACCAGTGCCATCAATAGTGATAGAGCCACTCGTAAGTTTGTTAGTACCAGCGATGGAGTCGAGGGTGGTAGATTTGCCGCTGCCATTGGCACCCAAGAGTGCAAGAATTTGACCCCTTCGCACGTCTAAAGTCAGGCTGTTGACCGCGAATACTGGTTCAGGAGGGGGTGAAATGAATGAAAACATGCGGCGCAGAGCCGAGGGCTTGTATGTTTTGGTGAAGCCCTCGAGGCGCACCGCGGCATCATTTTCCTGGCTTCCCGACGGACCGTAGACAATGTTTCTGCCCTTAGTTGTTGTGCCGTGCAGTTTCGATTCGAGGACGGCCCCAAGTAATGGATACGCAAAGATCTGAATGATCAAAAACACCCAAAGAACGATTCCGGTCAGGTTCCACGGGCTGCCTGGAGGAACTTTGGTGAGATCCGCTGGGCTGTCGTCTCTTTCGTATCGAGCCATATATGTAATGAAGTACACATAATTGCATGGCGTGAAGAGAAAACTCAAAAGGCCGACGGCTGCGGTGCTGGGATAAGAGATGGACTGCGCAAGAATACCAAGAATGAGGACGCTGAGGGTAGCTGCAATTCCGCTAATTTGTGCCTTTCGAAATAGAGAGGACACCAAAATTGCATACGAGGCCATTGCTATGCCGTTCAGGAGATGGTAAACCAAGACCGTAGCAACACTCGTGTTGGCGAAGACGCCGGCGCGCAACACCAGAGAGCCAATGACCCAACCGGGGATATATATGACGACAAAAGCAAAGTGGCATGATATGATACGGGCAGCCTGGGCATGCCACCTGTGTTTAACGGGCATCATGGCATCGAGAAGTCGGGTCATGCCGCTCTCGCGCTCGGTCGCAATGAATCCAGTAAGGTGATAGGTGATGAAAATGACGCTGGTCATGAACGCAACACCCATCCAGTTGGTGATGGCACTTTGGTAGCGAATGCGGACCTGAACGGCACGCTCTTCCTGTGTCATGCTGGTGAAGGGATACTCATCAACAGTGTCAGGCAGAGGGCCCTGCTGGACCTGGGAGGTCCCAGTGCTCGAGCCGGCGACTGAGGCGATGGCGGCATCAACGGCGCGCTGCAGTGGCAGGAGGTAGATTTGGGCATCGTTACTATCCGAGTCGACGTCGATGACTATGGATCGCAAGGCCCCGTCGCTGCGGAGAGTGTAGTTCCAGTAGTCGGCGGTCCCCTCGGTGGGGGAGGACTGGAAAACGACGGCGCCGTAACATGTCGAGACGCCGCGGAGGTTGCTCCGGCAGTCGGTGCCGAGATCAGCGGTCGAGGATCGACGCAGAGCTTTCTTGCCGGCGCTCTCAACGGATTGGGCGAGGGAATCAATGACGCGGTCGATGTCACCGCCAGAGAGGCCGTTGTTCACGAAGACGACGGTTTCTCTACCGGCGCTAGTTGCGGCACTGAGGGCATCTGGAAGAGAGCGGATATGCCGGGGATCGGAAATGCCATAGACGGCTGGAGGAACGAAGAGGTTCTTTGCAAAACTGAAGAAGGTCGTCAAGGCGATGGGCAGGATGAGAGCGATGAAGACTGCGGAAATGGAGTGCCGGCTGATGATCTTCCAGTTCTTCAGAATCAGTGCCCAGGTCTGGCGAAGGAACGCCATGACGGCGAATGTCGCCGGGGGGCACTTCGGTATGAATCCTGTTTTCGGTTATCGCGGTTTTGATGTTGTCGTGCGGCGCGGGATAATAGGTGCGATTTCGCGATGGTTGCCACCACTCGAGAGAAGTTCGCGATGACCGGGGTGGCCGGACAACCCAGCAAAAGTGGCCTCAAACGAATCAATCGATACTGAAGAATTGTCGAGATGCCTGCTGCAAGCGGGCCTTGTTCATAGCACCCAGGAAGATCGAGCCGGACGTAGCCACTCAAAAGAGCGATGAGAAAGAAGCGGAATGGAAGACTCGAATATTTAGGACGAAAAAGACGGGACGAACATCGGGACAGGATGACCCTTTGAGGCAATTGGGTTTGTGAGAAGGCCAAGTTGCATAAGGCAAGGGACCGTAGCCTCCGAGAGAGCGTCTGACTGGGCTTGGGACGAACTCAACGCGTCAACACCCAAGACGTGAGACGTGATGCTTTGGAGGCGATGAGAAACAGAAAAAGTACCTGAAAACTGGTACTCTATGCGCCGTGGCTGGAGGGCAGAAATGGGACGGATAGCAACCCGACAGCAAGGCATTTCAACCTCAGCACCTCACGGCTCACGGACGGTAGACATGGACATGACCTGCAGCCAAAAAGGATCCATCTCGCATCTCGCATTTCGGTCGGGCGTTTCGTCCCGCTTAAAATTGGCCCGAACCCCGGCGGCAAGCACCCATGCTTACTCTGTACAGGCCTTTGTTTTCAAGGGCAGGTTTACGAAGGATGACCTCTGCCCTGGGCATAAACGTCTGGGCTGTCACTGCACGGTACCACGGGCAGTCACTCGGCGTGGCATGAATGGCTTCGCTTGGTTGCTGAGGAGTCTGAACTAGAAGTTGGGGACGAATTGAAGAGTAATTAGATGCTTGCCTACCTTCCATGGCCTGATTGCATGTCTCCAAGTAAGGTAACTTTAACTTAATAGGCAACATTCAAACATTGGCGACAACGGGGGCAATGTTTGCTTATCTCCACTAAAGGAAGCATGCCGCTGCTTCTCTTCCTACAACATGTGATCATCATCATTATCACATTTTTTGTCGGCGTTCCAACTCACCTCGAGTCAATAAACACAGCACCATCTCTTGCGGCTACCCACATGGCCTGACGTTAACGCCGTATTATCCTAATGAGATTTAGCACAGCCTCACCCGTACTAGATAGCCGTTGTGTCTCGGGCGTCCACATCCCAGCTACGACATCAAGCCGCCAAGCCCATCAAACGCTGTGTGACTGTAATCACGGCTTACAACTTCATGTTCGCCCAGGAAGGAGAAAAGAGGAGGACGCGTATGCACGGGAGCTTAGTCTTAGTTGAATCCTTCAGCCTGCTTCGCCTCTAACATCATCTCCTCTCAGGTCCATCGTAACCGCCCTTACTACGAGTGTATAAGCACGGTGTGGCTTCGGGCCAAGCCGCAGCAAATATCGTTGACGTCGGTCAAGAACGCCCAGGGCCCGTCACTCAACCAAGCCACCAACCATCATAAGTTTAGTGACTGGTCTCGCACTCCCGCTGTCGTGTCCTTGCTGTTCGTTGCCAAGTCTTCTGGCGTGGTCGAAATGAACGTATGAGCATTTTTCATACGAGCGCCTGAGTCTTTGAAGAAATGCACATGTGTGGTTGCGTTGTTTGCTGGCCGAGGGGAGGCGAAGCAAAAGTGTCGTATTCTTCGCTTTTGCCCGACTGACCACCTCACACCTAATTCGTCTCTCAGGTCCTTGGTCGCTTATCCATGTGGAATTTGATTCAAAATTGACTGCTGCCTTGGGGGTATCTAGATTGCAAATGTTCCGTGCCGCCAGCCTGCTTCCGCTTCCGCTTCCCTTGACTCGCCCTGTCAACTGTCACACCAGATGATCTTCGTCTACTCCACTAGAAATCCTCCGCCACCCTCGTCCTCTTCCATGTCGTATTCCTCGGTAACGTCGCTTGCTTCGTCCTCCAATTCTTCCCCGTCCCTCTCGAGCTCGCTTGCAGAAGCGGCGGCGTCGTCCACAGCCGGTTGCCCATCGTCGCCTTTGCTTGCGACTTCATCTTCGTCAATGACTCTCATACCTTCCGTGGTGTCATCTTTGACATCAGCTTCGTCAGGGACAAATCCTCCGCCAGATGCATCATCGTCCTCATCAGCCAGGAACCCACCGCCTACCACGGCTTCTTCTTCTTCACGGGCCATGTAGGCCCCGCCACCTTCTGAGATCCCATCGTACTGATCAACCATGAAACCTCCACCCACAGCCGCGCTGTCTGCGTCGTCGGGGATGAAGCCTCCACCTCCTGCTGCGATGTGCGCATCGTCGTGTATGAACCCGCCCCCTTCTGACATGTCATGGTCCTCGGCCGTTTCTTCAAGGGCTCCGACAACCTGCCTCTCCTCTTCGGCTCTCTCGTCGGGATCCACCCCGGCATACACACGCTCCCGGATGCGGAGCGCCGTAAGGAATCGCCTCCACATTCGGACCGCAGCCAAAGACCGCTTGCTCTGCTCCGTTTGTGCGTCCATATCATGCAAGCCATCCATGACGGCCCGCACTGCTTCCTCGTGCTCGCAAGCCACCACCACGCCGTTCATCACAGCCGTACCATGTCTTCCCTTAAACTGAAATCCTCCCAATGCCGGCGCGTAGTCGATTCCCAAGATGTAAGCTGCTCGCGCTGCAGTATCAAACTCGTCCGCGATATGGACGCCGCCTTCTGGCACCATGGTAGGCACGTACAAATCGATGTTGCCGAACTTGTTCTTCGGTATCCGCCCGTTGACAACTGCTGGTGCGCGATACAGCTCCGTCTGCTCCTCCATAAAAAGCGGCGTCCCTGTTGCGTCTCTCTCGTCTCCGCCGTAGCCGTCATCGACGTATTCGCCCGGTTTGGCGTTGGCCCTTCGCGGAAGGAATTTGACTGGGATCTCCATTGGCTTGACCTCGCGCCCAAAAGCACGATACCATTTGTCCCTGCTTCTCGCGATCCTCACGTCTTTGCGCCGATATACCTTCTCCAACGGAGCTTTGCTTCCAGCCGCGACTGTTCCTGCAGGTTGGGCCTCGGGTATCAGGACTTCGTTCCGCCGCAGATGCCTTTCCAGCGCAAAGACAGGATGGTCCTTGAAATCGGCCACATTCCGTGGCATAGGCTCCCGCGATTCAACAGCCTGGAGCTCGGTGTCTTCAATCTGATCAAGGTCTGTTGGCACTGGCCGTCTGAATGGTTTAAGAGCCTTGCGCCACCATCGATCGCCGCGCTCAACTGTTGATTCAATGCGCAACCTCCGGGTTTTTGCTGCGTATGCTTTGGCGTATCTTCTCGTCACATCCCGGACAGTGCCGTCGATGTCGAAAGCAATCACGTAGCTCATACAATTCTCGCGGTCAACGGCTGGCGGCTCCAGAGCACGAGGCTTCCACATGGAATGAGTGACCAAGGGGTCTACTGGCTGCCACTTCTGGTGGCCAACGTCAAGCACCTCCACCCAGTAGACGGGATATTGCGACTCACGAATCTTAATCGGAGTCTCCTTAGGTTGCCGATGAGTTGGGGGCGAGGCTGGCATAGAGGGAAGTTGGTAAGCCGCAGCATTCGGGTGTCCAAGTCGTCGAAGAGGTGATGCTTTGCTCAAGTCTGATGATGATGCGTCCTCGGATGGTTTGTATTGAGCGAGCTGCGCCCGAATCTTTTCTGCCTTGACAGCCTTTGCTGATGTCTTCGGCTTTGGCAGAGACGGCCCACCCGGGGCGAAGGATAGCGCCTGCAAAGAGCAAACCAGGCGGGCGCGAACCCCAGCGGCTCGTAGCAGAGCGCAATACAGCTGAGCGCCGACATCTCGGGACCCTTGCAATTTCCTAGCCGCCTTTCTGAACTCGGATCGGTCGACACAGGAGTCCGTATTGCTAGGTGGCTCGTACTGTATGGGAGGGTCAGTCGCGCTGTAGGGGAAACGAGAGGGAGATAATAGCCTACCTTGGCAAGATGTTCGGGGTCCTCTGCCCACAGGGGCCGCCGCAGGCCTCTTTCCGTGATCTGGAACTTTGCCTTGAAGACGGAGCCTGCTTGTTGAAGACCATTCTTGAGGGATTCTGTGCGGCCGAACTGTGTGAGATGAGATCCGGGATTCAGGTAGTCGATCGTCTTCTTGGTTAACAGCGGCTTCAGGGATCTCTGAACTTGTTCGTCATCGCACCATCGGTTCCTCAGCGCGGAGTGGTGTACGAGGCATAGGACGTGAGTTCTGTGTATCGTTATGCGGCGCTCTTTCTCTTCCTTCGTCATCGGTTTCCTCCTGTCGACACCCTTTTTAGTGGTACTGGTTAAAGGTCCATGAGCCGATAGGTTCAGAGTGAGCTTCTTGGGTTCCTGGGCGGTTTCCGAATCCGGTTGCACAGCGCCAAAATCGATGTCCTCAAATTCGATCTCTTCCTCCTCCGACTCTTCGTCTTCTGAGTCTCTCGTCATCGTCTGGACAGTTGGTGCTGGAAGAGCGACATCTTCAAATTCTATGTCTTCATCTTCATCTTCTTCATCCAAATTTGGTTCCTGGGGAGGTCTGGGTGGCGCCTTCTTCTCTCCGGGTCGTTTGAGTCGCTTTGGCGGCGGTTCTGATGAAGTTGAGGGACCTGCAACTGCACCTGCTCCAGCTTCAGCCAGCATCTCTCCATAGACATCTGGCAGGCCGGACGCGTCGGGCTTTGAGCGAGAGGCCCTTGTTCTTTTGCGGCCGGCCATGGCTGGTGAGTGAGCAGCACTTATGTGAATAGTCCAATTCCAGGGCTATTTTGATGCGATCACATGGGAGATGCTTTGTGAATCTTAGATGTGAATTGGTTGGCTGCCTGGCACTGCTAATATTCACAGTTGCAGCGTCAGACGCCTGAAGGCTGGTTACTGGAGCTACAACGTCATGAGTGCACGGGCCATTCAACGCCTGTGCAAATAAAAGACCACGTGACCTCCATCTAAATCCGTCCTCTGAAGAAACGGAAAGCGCTAATTAAATATTGTTTCCCCCCCCCCAAGTCCAAGCCAACTCGTCGGGTTGGGGTTGTCCGTTTCGGCTTCAAAATACATCCGATCCATCTTCCTTTCCACCTGGGTGACTGACTATTACTCTTCAGTCAGGCTTTTTTTTTTCTCTTCGCTGGTCTGTCGGGTGCGATGGCCGATTGTTCGATGTTGATTTGAACCAACCAGGTACCGCAGATCCTACGAGAAGAGCTCCCAGGTCACAAATGAGACTTGGTAGTGCCGTGTTCTTCATCATTGACCACGGTAAAATATGGTCGTATCGAGCGGCAGCTTCTCGCCCATCCAGATGGCTCTCTGCGTGTGATTGCGCAACTCGTTGGCCATGTGGTTTCCCTCCTCGTCCGTGTTGGGATGGACGAGCACCGACAACGGCCCTCTGTAGATGGCAAGCCAGGGAATGAATGCCCCGAACTGTGCGGGCGTGAAGAGATTGACCTCGAACATGGCCACCGGGTGCGGGCCGATGGGCCTCTCCCAGAATCGATAGATTCTCAGCTCCGGGACTGCGACAGAGAATCAGTTTGTTTGGCTCTCCCCTTTCTTCCCTCTCAAGACTTACACTCCCTGCGAATGCGTTCCCACAACTCCTTGGCATGTTTGACCTGTTCTGGGTTGCTTTGGAAGTGATAGATGTGGATGTCGCTGGTTGCTTGTTAGCTGTCGCGTTTGCTTTCTCATGTTGAAAGATTGACCTACAAGCCTCCTCGGCGCCCGTTGTCTAGCGGGGCAGGGAATTCCTCGTAGGCCTTGCTCAGACCGTCGCGCGGTGGGTTCTTGAAGCTCTTGCCATCCTCGTTCAATTCGTCGGGCAGAGGAGGAGCATTTTCATATCCTTCACGAGGAGAGACAAAGGTGTACTGCGGGGGAAGGGACGCCATGGTGTAAGAGACTGTGAGTCCGTATCGAAGTGTTGGTGGGGATTGGATGTGTGCTGAACAAACACGATGATCTCCGCTGGAAGGGCCGCCTCAACTATTATATATTCAAGATTGGAAAAAAGAGCCAAAACACATCGAGTCAAGACTATCTTTGAATGTATTATGATTGAAAAGTCCAGTTGACAGTTACCTAAGCTATCTCACCCTCACTGTCGCCGTTTCACAACGCATCTCACCGGGACTGACGCCATCTTTGGTAATCACGCGGCAGAGTCCCACCAATTTCTAAGCAACCGCGCGCGCAGAAAATCGCTAGCATCTGCGGCGATGCACCTCGGCGCCGCTCCACACATCTCCGTTCCGAGCCCCGTTCCCGCTTTCCGCATCCCGCGGAGGGGGTTTCCCAATTCTTTTTTCCTTTCTGGTTGCCGGTTCTGGGCTCATTCATTAACTTGATAGACCGCGTACTGACTATATCTCGCGCTGTCCCCAAACCCAGGAATCGACTGCACCACTTCCACATGCTCCATCCAGACCCTCCATCTCGTTCCCGTCTTCGCCCCGACCTCATCCCAGAGCCGTTGGAAGCTGGACTGGTCGTGCAGATACCTCTTGCGTCCCTCGTTCTCGCTCCCCTTCGGCTCAGTACTGCCAAGGTGACGTCCGAAAATAAGCCCGTCACGGATCCCCGGCTTCAAGAACTTGACGATGCGTTCCGCCACCCTCACCTGCTGCTCCCAGTCGAAGAGGTGAAAGAACGCGTTGGCCCACACGATGCTGACTTGACCGTCGAGGACCTCAAGTCCCGGGTCCGCCGGGTCCAAGGCGTTGCCGGCAACCAGCGTCGCGTTGAACCGGTCCCGGTCCCGAAAGAGGTCGTAGCCGATGTCGAGGAACTTCTGCTGGAGGTCTGCTCCGTAGAGCCGTGAGCTGTCGACCCCGTCGTGAGCGAGTTGCCGGAGAGCCTGGCCGACGCAGGCGCCCAGGTCCAGAAGCTTGTCGCCCGAGTTGGCGTCGGTCATTCGGCCCAGAACTTTCCGGTACAGCGCGTCTTGGGAGTCGGCGAGCAGCAGGAATCGCCAACGCCCGATGCATGGGTAATGAAAGACCTTCCACAGCTCATCCCTCTGTCCGCGAATGTGAGCCGTGTGCCTCCCTCTTCCCTCGCAGCAACACCTTCCTACTTACGATATGACGGATGTGATCGTCCACGTCCTCGGCGGGAATCTTGCTGTAGTCTCGCAGAAGAGCGCGCGCAGTTTCGAGGCTTTCGCCGGGCAACTCCTCCTCGTACATCCATGTCTTCTCATCCGGTACGTCCGAACTGGAAGGGTTGTAGAAGTCTTTAGACATTTTCGACAATTAGATGGAGTGGCCGAGCGTGATTTCTGAAATGTGTCTTTTAAATCGAGTGTTCTTTGTCGCCTTTATCTTCATCGTGTTTCCTCTTACATGCCCTGTTTCACTGGTTACCTTCGGAGCGAAACCGGCGATAGGTGCCGATGGCGCCGCTTATCCCCCTCCTTGCGTCAACCATTTTATCGGGCGTGATACTAATGCAACACGTCTGTCGCCGAGGCGTCAAATGCGACCTTTCCGAGGCTCTAGGGTGCAGACTTGCGCACAGGATGCTTCCCTACCTTCGGCACTCAAGCGGCCTAAGCGAAGGGCGCATGCCACGCACGCCTAGAAGTCCTCACACACTGACGTTAAAGCCCAGAACATGAAAGATGACAAGGAAACTGGATCGGCAGTCACACCTAGTAATCGCGAGATTGTCTGATACAAATTTTGCTCTAATACAACGTCCTGGATAAGCCAGAACGCGCCTACACCTTGATATACATCATACATTAGTGGCCAAAAACCCATGCCGACCCCATACCATTTACCATGCCCCAATATTACCTAGCCCCTGCCATCAAGCCCTTATAGTAGGAGAGGCTGAGATCGAGCGAATGCTTGAGGTGGGCGTCCTCCGTTAGGGGAAGACCCAGAACCTGCGAGACGTGCTGTGTGTCTATTAGTACGTCGGTCGAACGGCATTGGGCAGAGGAGCAACATACCTGTTCTTGCCTTGATATATCCGCCATCACCTTCGCCACCATCGACCCCATCTCGGAAATTGCCGCCAGACTCGTTATGTTACTGCTCTCCGTGCTCTCGTGCATAGCTGGCAGACCTGCCAACAACTTCTCCAGCACAGGTGCGGGGGGAGAGACTTGTTGCCGCTGTCTGCGGTGGCTGACCAGCTCCAAGAAGGCTTGATAGACCTCTCCACCCAGAGTCCAGCCAGGTATCGCGTCGTCGTGACCCTCGAAGCGGGAGAGAATGTTGGCCAACTCATCGTAGTCACGGCTGATAACAGCAGATGGGGCCACCTTCTGCACGAACACTTCGTGCGCCTCTGAGAAAGAGCCTGCGCGCAACAGACACTGTACCTCGGCCGCAGCGTCCTTCTTGACGGCTCTCATGTAGAGAGCCTGAGCCTCCCAAATCCAGGACGGAGGAATGCGGAGAGTCTGTGTGAGCGTGGTGAAGTTGTTGCCCGTCTCCGGGCCGAGGAGCGCTGCGTGTCGGCAAAGAGTCTCCTTCACCGCCTTGGCTCTCATCTCTGGTTGGCTGAGATGCAGCAGGACAAATATGGCCTCAAGCCAGCTTCCCTCGTTGATGAGCTGGTCTGCAAAGGCAACAGTCAGGGCATCAGACTTTTCATTCGCGTCGCGGCCGTATGAGACCTTGCCGGTAGACTGCAGAGCGCGGCTAAGCTGCCAGCACAAACGAACATCCAAGGGCGAAAGCTGGCTGTTCTCGGGTCTCAACACTGCCTCCAAATCGGCCTCCTCGTTGGAGTAAAGCTTGAGAAGGCCCCATAGAAGATCTTCACGAATGCCCGAGTCTTGGTCCTCCCAAAGCGCCGGAATGCCCTGCTCGGAATACCACGTTTGCGGCCGTTGCTCTCTGTCCTGGGCCACATCCTCCTCAAACACGCCAACCGCAGCGGAGAGATCATCGTCGCGGGAAATGGAATACCAAAGGCGGAGGCCAAAGGCCTGCTTCCAGTCAAGACCGAAACGCTCGGAGATGATAAACGATTCAATGCGGTCCTCCAGGGGCACAGCCTTCTTTCCTTCACACACACCAGAGTTGCCGCTCAGCAATTCATAGATTGCGCGAATAGGGTCGGCAAACTCGGATAGAAAGTTGGCCTCTTGCCACTCGTTGAGCTGCTCCCGCACATCCTTCTTCGACTGGTCATTATTGCCAATCAGGGAGACCAGAGTTGCGAGGCGGAAGTTCCTACCCTCCAAGAGAAATTTGCAGGCATCTTGGATTCGATGGCCAGAAAGTGCTGCAATAGCCTTTTCTTCGCTTGATTTCGCCAATGCAACCGATCTGGATGATGCGGAATCGACAAGAGCTGCCCAGAACTTGGAAAATCTGGCCTTACGAGATTCGTCGGAGGCAGAGTTGTCGAAAAGAATACTGGCAAGCTCCCAAACCAGCTTCTCGTGTGCATTGGCAGGGTTGTTTGTGTCTTGGTCATGGAACAAAGACTTGAGAGTACCAGTCTGCAAGGAAAGTTTGGGGATACCCGCAGCAATCTCAACATGCGTCATCTGAATTTGGTTTTGAAGAGTTTTTGCGGAGGCCTGCGGTCGGTCAGTTTTGGTGACCAGTAACATTTCTAGTGGACGATGGTAACTTGCCTCGTCGGAGAACTTCGCCGCTTGGATTGTGCGACCTGGCGCTTGAATAACGTTCTTCGTGATCATCAGGCTGTCTGCGTTGGCATGCCTTGAGGCGGTTGCGAGAGGGGCGCGCGTCGTCGTGAAGATCAGGGTTCCATCCGGTCCCCAGCTGGGTCTCATAGAGTTGTAGTACGAGCGGTCGGCTTCACTCATGTCGGATTGATCAACAAAAGACTTGGGTTGTCGTTCATAGGGCCACTAAATGAATATGCGCCTTAGTAAAAAGATCTTATATACAGGAAACCGCTAGTCCCCGTGCTCAACATGACGAGCAACAACTGGAAGGGGAGGTCGCTAGACCATGAAGTATTCACCAACCTGAACAAATCCCTTCGAGGGTGCTGGAGCGACCGGAACCTTGGCCTTCTCAAAAAGAGAATTCATCAAATCAATGCTTGTTGCGAACCCGCGTCCATCAGACACAGCACGACCCTTTTGACTGGTTTCGAATTCTTCCGTAGTAGGTCGCAAGGCCGCCTCATTCACGCTGCGCAGGAATGCTCTGTCTCTCTTCTGCGGACTAACAGACCGCTGCAGCATGTCCATCCATTCGTCTCCGCCGGCGACTTGAAGCTTCATGGGAGTAGCTGAACCCTTCAGTGCTCGCATTCTTGCTCGGAGAATGCCTCCGGGGGTTTCGTTCGCTGTGACAATCATGTCTCCCTCTGGCGAGTCAATTGTTTGCTCCGCGGCAAGATGGTGTCTGAGGGGAGTGCCCACCGTGTCTTCATCCTCAGACATACCATATTCGCCGTCCTGATCAACCGTCGGTTCGTCTTCTGTAGAGAGAACCAGGGCATTGGACGTCGAACCCGCGAAGCTATCCCCTAAAAAAGACTGGCGCTGAAAGGGGCGCGGCGCGTTGTCAAATTCTGCTTCGCCAAAGTCTTCGTCCCGTTGGTCGAACGCGCCCGGAAGGGCACGTCGCTTGTTCTTGCGGAAGTCAAAGGTGTCATCCTCCCGAGGGCTGGAATCGGAATCATGAGAGTCAAGCTGGGAAGAGCTCTGAGTGGGGTTTTCCTGAGCCGCGATATCGCCGGGCTGCTCAAGCTCGTCATCGTCCTCGTCGTAATCCAGGCCGTACGTGGTGAAATGCTCAACAGAGAACTTCCAAACGCCAGTGTCAGGGTTGTAGTCCACGAATGTGGTGTTCTCAATGCGCTTGAGCCGTTCAATGTGCTTGGCGAAGCGCTTCTGATCGTGACTGGGTCGCTTGTCTCTGCCACGCGGCCACGATTGCTCAAGGGAGATCAGAGCCGGAACATTTAGGCCCTTGCCGACAGGGGGTTTCCTGGCTGCGATAGGATACACAGTGGCGGAACGAGTCTCGAGAATGACGATGCCTCCAAAGATTTCGTCGAGGTCAATGTTGGTCAGATCAACGGGCACCCTGAACTTAACAGAGCCCACATTGTCCCTTCCGACAGTGAAGTCTGCAACCTGAGCACGCTGCACCCTGTTCATGCCAGAGATGGTCTCCTTTGTCGGGCTCATCCAGTAGTCGCCAGGAGCCTTGTCGAAGCCGTCATGGGTGACTTCGGGTGTCTGAGACGAAGCATCTTCCTCATGAACGATGGCGAGCTCCTTGCCCTTGCTCTGCTCGGAGTCCCCGGTCGTCCCGTTGACGCTGTTGCTAACTGGAGTCGATTCTTGGGCGATGGCGCCCCTGGGGGTCGGTACAGCAGCGGCGTCGTCTTCGTCAACCTCTGGGGCCTCCATGTTGCTGGTGTCAAAACTGACTCTCTTGGAGAGCTTGCGGGAGCCATTAACCTGCTCGGTCGAAGGCTTGTCCTTGGTCGGTGTGGAGAAGAGATCGCTGCGCATGTCCTTGTTGATGACCAGTTTTTTAACGCTACCGTTGTTACCGTAATAACGAGGTCCAGAGCTGGCCGAAAAAGCTCCGGGCGCGAGAATACTATCCTCAGCGTTGAAGCTTCTCCTCAAATTGCTGGTTGACACACTCTTACTGAGACTCCGGTTCAGACTCGAAGATCCCAACAAGCTGCGGCTAGCGCCTCCCGGAGTGCTCGCCGCGCTGGACGGGCTGGCTCCGGGGGTACCGTAAGTGCTGTACGAGAAACCGAACCCGCGCTTCTGCGGGGTGACGAAGCGAGCGGCAGAGGCCGGATTCAGTTTGTACATTGGCAAAATAGAGCTGCGTCTCGGCTTGGACTTGCTGGACAGAGGAGTAGCCAATGGTCCCGGGTTGGGGGTCTCGGCGCCTGCAAGGTTAGAGAACAAGGACGGGGAGCCGAATGCTGAGACGTCCGTGATGTTGGCGGTCAGTGACTGAGGGCCAGAGTTGACTCCCTGAGAGTTTCCCATCATGGAGCCACCAAGAAGAGAACCCTGTTGCTGCTGCTGTTGGTTGCCGCCGAACAAGGAGCCCTGTTGTTGGTTGTTCTGTCCCCCGAAAAGACTGTTGCCAGCAGGCTGAGAGCCGCCGAACAAACCGCCAGGCTTTGCCTGGTTATTCTGGTTGTTGGCGCCGAACAGGGAAGACTGGCCGGTCTGCTGCTGCTGTGCGTTTCCGCCCAAGCCGCCGAAAAGTCCTCCACCGGTGTTCGTTCCTTGACCTGCCGTGCTGTTTCCGAACAGGCCACCGCCGGTGGCAGCTGGCTTAGCTCCGAACAGGCCGCCCGACGCGTTGTTGGTGTTTGTCGCACCGAACGAGTTCGTGTTGGTGGCTCCACCTCCTCCGAAGAGTCCCCCTGTGTTCGTAGCTCCACCACCGCCGAAGAGGCCACCACTGGTTGCCGGCTTCTGTTGATTGCCGAACAGAGATGAACCCGACTGTTGCTGGTTTTGTGCGCCGAATCCACCGCCACCTCCAAATACTGAACCAGTTCCCTGTTGCTGTTGTTGGTTCTGTGCCTGGTTGTTGCCGAAGAGGCCTGTGCCTGTGGACTGGCCTGTGTTGCCGAACATACCACCAGTGGTCCCAGTGTTGTTAGTCGTAGTATTCGACCCAAAGCCGCCGGTCGTGTTGGTGCTTCCAAAGCCGCCGGTTGTGCCTCCAGTGGTTCCAAAGCTGAAGCCGGCAGGCTTGTTCTGGGTTGCGGTGTTGTTGTTGGACCCGAAGAGACCTCCACCAGTGGTGTTGTTGGTAGACCCAAAACCGCCAGTCGTGTTTGTAGCGCCGAAGCCACCGCCGGTGCTCGTACCGCCGAAGAGTCCGGTTGATTGTGCAGGCTGCGATGTGGTCGTAGTATTGCTACCAAATAGGCCGCCAGTGGCCGGCTTCGACTGGTTGCCAAAGAGACCACCCCCGGAACCAAATCCTCCGGTTGTACCACCACCGAAGCCTGTCGTAGTTGACGTGGTGTTGTTGGTAGTGTTGTTGGTGCCACTGCCGAAAAGACCGCCTCCCGTGGATGTGCCCGCACCGAAGCCCGTGGATTGTTGGTTCGTGGAGCCGAATCCGGTACTGCCAAAGTTGGAAACCCCAAAAGCGCCGGTGCCACTGGCATTGCCGTGACGACGCCCTTGCGCGTAATCAGCCAGACGCAGTTCCTCGGCAGACCATTTCTTGTAGGGTTCCTGGAAGAGGATGTTTTGGAAAGAGTTGGATTGGTTTCCAGCTCCGGCTGTCTCTTTCTCCTGGTGCGCTTGGAAAGGGGTGATGGCAGTGCCAGGAGGATCTCCAACGTTGCCTCCAATACCAGGGTTCAGGGACGCGCCAAAACCACCAGTCGCGCCCGTGGTGGCACCGAAGCCGCCGGTGGTATTGCCGCCAAATAGTGACGTGCTGGCGGGGGTAGTGGTGTTTGTGGTAGAGCCGAAAGCAGGCTTATTGGCTCCGAACAAGTTTCCGCCCGAACCTCCGAAGGGCGAGGAGGTGTTTGTTGTCGTGTTTCCACCGCCGAAACCGCCAAAGCCGGAGGTCGTAGTGGTGTTTGTGGTGTTGTTGTTGGCACCGAAAAGGCCGCCTCCGGTAGAAGTAGAAGCTCCAAAGGCTGGCTTTGCAGCACCGAATGTCGTGTTCGTGTTCGATCCGAAGCCGCCTGTGATTTCGTCAGTTAGCATGTTTCTGGGCAAGAAAGAGCATCTATTCAGTCGCAGCAGTCGAGCGCGGAACGCACCTGACGATGTACCACCGCCAAAGCCGCCAGTGGTGTTGCCAAAAAGGCCACCTCCAGTGTTGGTGTTGTTGGTAGATCCAAATGCGCCAGTCGTGGTGGTGCCAGAGCCGAAGCCTGAATGCGACGACTGGTTAGCAAGACCGTATTTCGGGGGCGCGATGGTCTTTTGTCGCGACGAGATGAGATTTGTCTTCTTACCTGTGCCAGTATTGGTGTTGGTATTGCCGCCGAAACCACCGAAACCAGATGACTGTTGGTTATTGTTTTGGCCAAAGCCACCGAAGCCGGTGCTTCCAAAAGACATGGTGGAAGCTGACTAGTAGATAGGTCGAGGATGGAGGGAGACGATGATGGGAAATAGGAGGACGGAAGAAGACGAGGGCGCCGACGGTCGAGGACGAGTCCCTTGTCGACGGCTGAGGCGCGTGCCAGAGATCCCAGTCGCGAACACAATTGAAGTCGCCGGCAATCAATTAAGGGCGAACATCCAGTGCGTGTTGATCGGGAGCACCGTCGGTAATGATGACCGGTTGGCGCGTCGGATGAAGATTAGCGACGTGACGTGGGATAGGGTGTGGTGTTGTCGAGCAGCCAGTCGAGTTTTTTTTTTTTTACCCTCCCTTTGGGTGCCGCGCAAAGGAACGAGACGGGAAGAGGCAAGGTAGGTAGGTAGGTAAGGTACGTGGAGAAAAAGTGGTTGGGTGGGTGAAAGGGATGCCACAGGCTCACAGCGCGTTACCTCTATTACCAGGGGAGGTCCCAAGGGGTACAGGGGGAAAGGATCCAATAAAATAGCAGAAGCTGAAAAAGGAACACACTGGAGAGCTGCAGCAACAAGAGCGACGGATATCAGCAGAAGCACCTAAAAGAGGAAGCTTTCAGCTCCGCAGTAACAGAAGTCGAAAAGTGAGGTGGTTTGAGTTTCTGGATCGCATGAGACGGAGGTGCTGACTGAGGACACTACTTCATTAAGTAGGTAGGGCCGCTGTGAGGTGAATGTCGGGCTGCTCAGAAGCCTTCCAGGTTAGCCTCTGGCTGGGCGTTCTTCCGCGGTGCTGGCTTACCTAATTCAGGTCAGGTGGAGACCTCGGATTGTCGCTGCTGAGTTTAGGTTGCTGCTTCTCGCTGCTGCCTCAGGACTATCGGAAATTCTGATTCGCCCAGAGCAGAGAGCTGTCCTTTTTAGCCAATGATTGAGCTAGAAACAAGTCTAGGCAAGAACAGGCAGATGTAGCTTCCGCCTAAATCTGTTAGTCATAGTACTTCCAATCTTCACAGTGGGTCTCGATGTCTGCAACCGGACAGATGACGGGAGTTGGTTCATGGCCTTTCTCTCTGTGACTTGATGATTATTGAGTGCGCTACTTGGTTCTGTTCTTTGCCTCAGATATCTGGGATGTGGAGGAAAACATCCTAAAGAGAATAAAAAATAAACGCATCGCAACAGCGGTAGAAAAATAAAACGGTAATGACAACCGATGGATTCCGCCTAGACGTTAGCGAAGAGAATTACTTTGGTTTAGGAGGACGAGTAGTAGTTGTTCCATTTCACATAGCAAGGTAACTGGGTAATATATCATCATCTTTCTCAAACTGGTCCTCGACCGCCGTCGTGTTAACTCGAAAGAGCGCTATGCGCAAGCTGTTTTAATGGGGTAAACAAAGAGCAAGCCGCCCAGCAATTATAAACAGGAACAAGTTTTGAGCCCTTAGACGGGTATGTAACCGCACCGCAACGTAAGTTGATTTCCCTCGGCCCAGTTTCTAAGTAGAAGTAAACAAAATATGAAAATGATCTGATGTTGGTCATCGCGCTACCTGCAGGCCTATTCTGATAACGCCAACGATAATAAGCCAGTATCGCCCAGCCATCCTCCTGGCGCAACCAGTCGAAGGCTGACAAGAAAAGCAGGGGGAAACTAGAATTGTATGAGGTCTTGCGGCTGCTGATTCTGCTGTTGCGGTCGCGTCGCCGCAAATGGGTTGTTGCTACCGTTAATCCCTGCTGGACCTGTTGCTGCAGGCATTTGCGCTCCGCCGTACGAAATGTTCGGCATGCCTGTGTACTGCGATCGCAAGAACGGGTTGCTTCCGGTTGCGTCTGCTGTAAGCCGAGCAGCACCAGCTCCCGCGCTGTTGACAAATGTGCCAGGCGCCGTGTGCTGCGCCGGAATACGAGTCTGCCCGACGTTGCCGTACGTGTCCATACCGTCACCGCCCGCAAGAAGAGCATTCAGCTTAGCCTCGTGTTCGGTCAGCTCCTTCTGTGGAGTGCCAAAAGCATTAGGTTGTTGGCTGGGTTGACTGGGTTGGCTGAAACTGGGTTGAGGTTGGCTATAACTGGGTTGGGGTTGGCTGGTGAAGGCGGCGAGCGTCTTCTGTTCTGGGAGGCTGTTGAGGCCGGTTTGCTGGGGACGACCGAACGAGGACGCAAAAGGGTTGTTGGAGCCCGTCTGCATCGGCTTCATCGGGTTTCCTTGCTTCATGGTGCCCGTTGACCAGGGGTTGTTGCTACCTGGCTGCGCAACTGGCTCTTGGGGAGCATTGTTTTGAGCATAAGGGTTGTAGCCTGTCTGCTGAGGCTGGAAGCCCTGCATGCCTTGCTGTTGTCCGTATGGATCCTGCTGCAGGAAAGAGAAATTGTTCCCGTTGGGATAGCCCGTTGCCTGCGATTGTTGGTAGCCGGTATAGGCGTTTGGCATGTAGCCCGTGGCCTGGGGCTGGAGCTGATTCTGATCGATGGGGTTGGCAAAGAAGTCAACCGCACTACCTTGCTGATAGCCCTGGTTGAACCCGGTGTACTGCGGCTGCGTCGTTTGCACGGGGGTATCGTCGAAAAGCAGCGAAGCGTTGTTATCCTCCATCTCTCGCCGGCGTCGCTCTTCCTCCTCTTTGCTGAGCTTAATGGCCTTGGCCAGGTCGTCATCTTCGGCTTGATCGGCGGCGCGACTTGCCCGCTTTCTGCGATCCTCCTCCTCCTGGTGCTTACTAGCTTCGAGGGCGAGCCTGTACTCGGCGTCGTCGTCGTTGCTCGGACGGCGGCGCGGCCGTGGTTGCGTCGGTCCCATCTGATGGGGTGCAAACTCCTCGAGCCCTGTAACACGGGACTTCCATGATTTGCGATCGCTTCTCTCAGCTCGCAGCCTTTCCTCGTCCAAGATTAGTGCGGTCAATTCCTTGGCGGCAACGCGAACTGTTTCCTCTGATTAGCCATGGAACTCGTCTTCCTGGGATCAAGGTTGTTACCATTCTGGCCGACGTCTCTACCGTCCTCGTCAATGTACTGGAATTCGCGCAACGTCTTGATAATGTAAATGCTCTGTCTCGCCCACGTAACGACGAGCTCGGACCCCTCGTGCAAGCAGTAGTCGAGCACCTTCAGGGCCTTCAATACGTGTCTCCAGTTCTTTCCCTTATCGTTGAGACGTTTGTCTAGCATGTCCATGATCTCATAGAATTCGGTGGAGCTGCGATGGCCATTTAGCAGTCGAGCGATTATAGCGGACGATGGTAACCTACGTATTGTACGTCAGTTGAGCAATCTCGCTCATCTGAGTACCCGTCGGACCCCATGGATCATTACTGGTGGCTGCGCGGCAGTAGGTTAGCTTGAGAGTCTCGCGAGAGCAATGGCATCGGCAGGTAAAGCGACGCACCTTCCCGGACCTTGACTTGAACGCTGGAGTAACCCTTGGTTACGTTCTTGACGCTACGAATGACTTTGGACATTTTGGCGGTGGGTGATTGTGTTGGAGCTGCGAGCTCTAGCCAGATGGGTGTCGCGGAAGACCGTTGGTATTATAGGCGGTGTCGGGTCTTCGAATGAGAGGTTGGTAGCAATGGGCTGCGTCAGGATGCGCTGGGCGGAACGAGACGACGCGGCGGAGTAGCGTCAGATGGATTCGGTGAGAAAGGCAGTGTGGACAGCCAAGCGCAAGTGGAATGACAGCGCTTGAGCCTAACACAGGCGATAGGGTCGGTAAAACGAAGAGTATTTGTGGGTGGGTGGTGATTGTACGCTGGAGATGATAGTTTGTGCGGTCAGTGAGGGAGACGATGGCAAGACGTAGAGCTGGAGGCGGGAGGGGCGGAGGTCGACCGGAGGACGTTGGCGTTGGTGATGCGAGTGGTGTCAAGGTACCTACCCTGAGGTATGGCGAGCGGCCTGTCCGACGAGTAATCGAAATGGCGGCTGGCAGTTCGATGTCGCAAGCGGGCCTTAATATGGTAGGCAAGGCAAAGCCGGAAGCACTGACCAGGGAAATTAATGACTGGCGATCGGAGACAGGATGAATGGGTCGGATCGTGAAGAGCGTTTTTGGTGGTAAATGGAGGGGGCGGGAAAGCAACAGGTGAGGCCGAGACAACGACGACGGAGGAGGAGAAGAAGAGAGGAAGGATACGGTGATGCGGCAGGGCAAGGGATCTTCCTTACCTTGAAGTGCGATGCAGACGCAGTCGGCGGGTCACGACTGGGTAACTGCTGCTCTGTTGGTGGTGGAAGCGCCGATTGAACAGGTCGGGTCTGGCGGACGATGGTGGTTGGAGAAAGTGAAGTTCTGGAAGAATAGCTCAGGTCATCCGCAGGTGACGAAGACGAGGTCCAGCGTAGGGCGGGAAAGAAGTGGTTACGGTACTTGGGTCCAATGGTCAGGCAAGACGAAGATTGGGCAAGTTGGCTGGCGGGCGCGGCAGCGGCATGGAAGTGTCACGCTTCTGGGCCTCCTGGCAGTGCGGCGAAGGGTGCGTAATGCGCCTTGGCAGGCGGAGACAGGGACTTGGGGGCCCAAACCACGACCACGCTCACACTCACGTTCATGCCCATACTCCCGTCACACTCATAATAACGCTGGTTGGGCACCTGGCAGACCCGAGGATCTGGGCATAAACTTCAGGGCCTTAGGTAAGGAGCTGGTGTACGACACTTTAATTTGCATAGGTAGGTACCTTAAGTCGGTAGCTTTCTTCGGGCAAAGTACCTGGAGAGTCAGTGGTGGTAAAGGACATGTAATCAAATGAGGCTGAGCAAGGCCGTGGGAAGCAAGTCGAATCAAATCCGAGGTCTCAAGCAGGGAATCAAACGTTTAGAAGCCTTCTCGGAGAGTGTCAGTAGCAAGGCCAGTACCGCAGCATGAGCTGGAGCTGCCAACCTCCAAATTGACGGTAGGTGGATGGCATGCACCTGAGGTGGCCGATGAGGTCACCCCATGTGGATACTAGTACTTATTAGTAAGTCCCGACGGTTCCCGCAAGGCACCGTATGCTCCGTTCGTTTGACGACTCCGTTCCATCTCCGTTTTCCGTCTTCTCCCTCCACGTTCGCAGGTTCCATTTATCCAAGTCGTCTCTTTGCTCCCGAGCCTGAAATCCCCCCGACTGTGTCCTTCTTTCTACCTTATGCCCCTACCCTTGATCACAATGGCACGGGTCTAGCCGCAGGAGCCTTCATGCTCTGCGTCTTCTGTGCATTTGTGACGCATCACCTTACTCAGATGGCGCCGGCTCCGGCCTGGAGTCCGTACAACGACCGTACCTCTCCTTATGTATCACCCCCTTCCGGTACTTGACCTCGCACCGCTCTCAAACGCTCTTTCTCAAACGTCCAAGCAAACACCTCAACCATCCCAGCACTTACATCTTGCCTCTCCCCTGCTTGAGCACACAGGCCGGCAAGCTACAGTAACAGACGCGATCCTGGAAAATCATCAAACGGAACTAAACACACTTTGTCCATCTTGCATTATTAACTACAATATGCCGTAAATCCTCTCAAACGCCGCCAGAGATAATGTTGGGGGTATCAGCTGTGGCATTCATTCGTCCTCCGCATGCCCATCTGCATCTTCACTTACACCGTTTTTACCACCGCCTCCCTTTCCGCCTAACACCGTCGTCCCCTCTGCTCCCTCCTCGACCTGCACTCGGACCACATCCATCGTCTGCTTGGCCTCCAGACCGGACCCCTCTCCCGCCTCGGTGCCCTTGGCTCCCCCGACCGCCGCAAGCCGTTGCCTTTCCCTAATCCAGGCCGGCGGGAGGCCGGGTCCGCTGTCGGCATTGCCGTAATCGCTCTTCTTGGTGCCCTTGGGCCATCTTCCTGGCCCGCGTCCTGTTCCGCCAGTCTTCCTACGCGACGAAGAGGAGCTCTTGGGCCGGCTCGATGATGGCCGTCTGGCGCTGCTACTGCCCCCACCTGATCGTTTCGGCCGTGAGCTACTGCTATTGCTCCGTGGCACCGCTGGTCGAGAAACGCTTGCACGGGGCCGATCTGCGCGGCGGCCGCCGAGAGGTGGATAAACTTCGAACCTGGACGGAGGCACATCCCTGTAGACCAACTTCCAGTCCTCCAACAAGAGCTGCCCCGAGTTTTCCTGCGTCGCCGTGCTGTGTTGGGATGCCTCCTCGTGAGCAGCTTCCAAGCTATTCTCTCCATTCGCAGCACCATCATGCGACTCCATGGATTCATAAGCGTCCGGGTGTACTTGAGTGTCAGTTACCTCATCGCACGTGTCTGCGCCGTCCTTGTCTGCTACTAAGGCACTGCCCGTATCCGCAAGTTTCTCTGTCACTCCATTAACCGTGACCGCGACACCATTGGCGATTGGCTCGTGGTGGGATATGACTGAACCCGACTCTTCGACGGGCTTCAGAGGCTCCTCCTCCTCTCGTGGTGCGATCGCGCTAATAGCGGGACCCAGTTCGAAGTTGGTGGCATTGCCTCGTCCCATGACATACGGTGTCCAAGTTAACGCGTCCGGGTTCAGCTTGACGTAGTTCTTGCGCTCCCACTTGGAGATGTAGTCGTTGCAGTAAGCAAGGTCCACCCGAAAAGCGTATAGCTCCGACTGGGGATCGCGAACAAGACATCGAAGACCCTCGAGCGCTGATATCACGTCGTCTGCTGTCAAGCCCGTGTCGTCGGAGATGTTTCGTACGCTCAAACCCGCCGCCGATGCCTTGTCGTCGGTAATGTGGTCCAACAAATACCGGCATAGCACTAGCCTCCAATAGTTACGATACGAGACCAGGCCCATGTCAGACAGTGGCTTTTCAGGAGATCCCGTTTTTCGCTCAACGCGGGTGAGCAAATAGGAAAAGTCTATCAGCAAGTTTCCGTAGCCTTTGCGTTGGTGGATTGGTAATGTGAGAATACACGACACATTGTTTTGGCTGCTTGCTCTCTTTTCTTTGGAGAAGTAGCCGACAAAGTGGTAGCCGAGCGTGTCGTATTCGCACAACACATAGAATAAGAATGGCTCAACGTCGTAGTAAAGCGTCTTGGAACCCAAAAAGAGTTTGGCGAGTAGGCAGAGATTCTGGCAGTAAACCGGGTTCTTTCGGCCGTCAACTTCGAAAACAGAGACGGATCCGTGTCGGTAGATCTCATCACCCGGAGGGTGTTTGGCTGGGCATTTGAGTTTGTGCCGCCAAGCAACATAATCCGAGTTCATGTACTTCAGGCAGAATTCGCAGATGTACAGCGTTCGGTTGCGACTATACTCTTCGGGATAGGGAGCAGCATACCACGTGTCAATCTCCCAACCCCCGAAATCGATGCACTCGATTTGACTCGCCGGTCCCGCATTCTTCTTCGGCCTTTTGGCGGGCGTGCCCAAATTGGCTTGAACACTGTGGAGGCGTGCTCTCCAGACCTCTTCTGCTTTTTGCTTCGCCTCGTCGAATTTCCGGCGGTCTTCCGGCATGGGAAGCGTTCTGGATGTGTCTGCTTCAGCCTCGCTAAGGATTCCACCGTATGGCTTGGTTTTCATTTCGTCTGTCTCTCGCTCGAAAAACGAATAGAAGGGATGTGAATAGTCGCCCGACGTAAGTGAAGTCGAGACGCCTGCGATGGGGTCACCGCGCGACGCAGTGGCATTTCCCCTTTCGGATCTCTTTCGATTCGATGTGGATTTTCTGGAGAGGACACGACGAAGCGCAGATGGCTTCACGCGCATTTTGACAATGGTTGACCGTTGGCGGCGGGTTACGGTAACTGCTTGGCTCTTCCTGGTCGGGTTCAAACGCAATTTGCGGCGAACATCTTTTTCGCCCGTTCCATTGGCAGTGTCCTGCGAGGTGCCTGCTCCGTGACTTGATTCTCGCTCCTTGGAATTGTTTCTCCGTCGTTTCCGAAGGGACATTACCATGTCATCTGCCTCGACGGAAGATGTCTTACGCTTTCGGAGAACGCGAGACCCATCCAACGGGTCACCGTCCAGAACCAGCTGGTTGAAGACTGAGTGAGAATCAGGCTTAGCTGGGCCTTTCTGAGGAGGAAGCAAATCTCGTGCGACTTGAGATGCCGTCGATCGCCTAGAAGACGGCGATAGCTCAAGATCGAGTCCGACTTCCGGCTCAGGTTCGTGTTCTTGCGAGACTCCATCGAGCGGTTCGTTGGCCGCCTCGTCATCTCCGGCAGCGCATTCGATACACTTCCACTGAGGAAGACCTACGGTAGGCAGACTGGTAAGGATGCTGATTAACAGACTGGACATGAATAAACTTACTGCTGGGGTCTTTCAAGGCGCCTGCCTCCCTAGCGCAATGCTGGTGAGCTAAGTAGACTGTCAGCCTCGGATCCCACTCGTCGCAAAGGGTGTGCACTTGCAGTTCTCGCCGCATACACCACAGGCCAAGTACTCTTCGAATTCCTCGGCAGGGTCGTTCTCTTCGTCTTGTTTGCAAAACATGCACATGTTAGGCGCGGCATCCTCCGATCCCTCTTCGTCATCTTCATCTTCTCCTGCGGCATCCTCCCATGCTGCAGCACCGTCGGATTCGTTGTCAGATTCGCTTTGTGAATCTTGGTCGCTCTCGAGCTCAGCCTCGTCATCTGTCTCGCCTGGCCGAATTTTGACAGCGCCGACGCCTTCCGCCTCTTCATCCTCTTCGATATCGTCTAAGGGGCTGCTACTGCGACTGCCGGGGCCAGCAGAGGCCTCGTCTTCGTGGTCTTGTTCTGCGCGCGGTTCGACATCCTCATCGAAGTTCTGGTCCATTTCTTCATCGACAACAGACTCCTCGTCAGAGAGACCGCTGTGCTCGTCTGTATTTTCGCCCATTTCCACATCGTTATCGGTAATATTCGCGTGTTTTTCGTCGTCTCCGTCTGGGGTCGCGTCCGAATGGGCGTCATCGTGGGTATTGGGGTTAGTTAACGGGCTCTCGGTGCTTATGGGTGCTTCGTCTTCAGCGAGGGGCACTTCGGGAGCATTCTCGTATTCGGCGTCGTCATCGGAAAGAACGGCGCTCTGTTGGAGCTGCTCATCAGTGAGCTGCGCGCTCGCCATTTTGCCCACGATGCTCTGATCGGGATTCTTCGGCGGTTCGTTTATTAACTACTGTTGCGCAGTACGTCCACGAAGAACAGAACGCGGATATTCGCAGCCCATAGCTGACGCAGAGGAAGACGAGGTAGACGAGGCTGGCAGACGATGTTGGTGCGATGGCTCTATGGGCGGAATTTGGTCGAGGAGGCGAGCGCGCAATGCCAAGCCAAGGACGATTGCGCGCGTCACTGGTGCTGTCGGGTCCAATGCCTATCGAATAGCACTTCTTGTGTATCGAAAGACGCGTTGCACGATGTGCTGTTGTTGAATCGTTTCCTCTAGACTGGGAGAGACGGGCAACAGCTTCGAGAGGCAAACTGTGTTGGGGCGCAAAGCAAAGCCGAAGGAGCGACACGTTGGCCGGCGCAAGCTCAAGGTACTACCTCACACCAAGGTTGGCAGGTACCTGATTACCACCTGCCTGTCCCAATCAAAGGGATGCAGCTTCCACGGGGTGCCTGGACCGTGGCGCGTACAGTATTTCGAGCCAAGTCTGCACTGTACCTAACATCGGAGCACCTTGCTGTCTGGCAGATAAGGTCGGCCTAGCTTACCTAAGGCAAAGCAAGAGCCAATCAAATTGCTCATAATGAGTATTTGCACCTTCTTTCCCCATCACGTGATGGGCCCGGCGAGCCGGCCGGCCTGCAGTCTGAATAGCAGCGACTCTTCTCGATCAACCGCTGTGACGACGTTAGGAAATCGGACCTCCACGCCGCCGCAATTGATCCCGATTCGAGCCACGACAATCGCAGGTCGCGGTCTTACTGCTTCACCGTCTTTACGACACTCTCGAACGCCCAATTGATCGACACTGACCAAACGGTCGCCCGCGACAATGCCTGTCCCTTTCGAGACTCTGATTCCTTATGGAATCATTGTTGCCGTATGAGCTGCCCCTGCGCCCGATCCCGATCATACGAGCAACGGATGAGGAAGCTAAGGTGAACATAGATGTTCGGCATCACCGGTACCGGTCTGCACGTCATCAAGTACGTTCAGAACGGTGGAAAGAAGCCGCGTTGGGGCTTGGATCAGTGGGATAGAGTGAGTGTTTTCCACGTTGATTTTGGTCCATACGTTTCAATGCTAACTAGAATTGTGTTGCAGCAAAGTACGCAAATCCTAACGAAATTGGGCCGTCGACCCTCGATCGAGCTCGAAGCTAACACAAAGTGCAGTGATGGACCGCGATCGTCGACTTACGGGTGACCTGCGCGGACAGGTCGACAACGCCGAAGCTCCTCCAGGCTTCGAGCTTAACAACCCTTGGAGAGTGAGTCACTGCCGGAGGAGAATGCTGTCACAGCTGCCGCTAACCCACGCACAGTTAGAGAAGCGCATGTCATAACGGATGGGATTTGACAGAGACGTGTATTCTACTTGAACAATTGGGCATGCTCCAAATGCCTCTTCTATTTCAGCCACGCAATGAAACGTTCTTCTTCCAATTACAGGCGACCGCCAGCGCGCGCCCAATCCCCTCTTTGTTCACCGGCGTTGGTTGTTGAGACATGGTCACGAGAAGTGTCACTTGGCGCTGGTGCTCAGGTTGGCAACATACGAATTCTTCCATTCTATATCCGAATCTCTGGCTTGTTCTTATTAAGCCCGTCTACCAGCAAACAGGCCTGGCAAATAGCCTGACTTGACATGTACCCACATCTCTCGCATTTGCCCAGCTTCTGTAGAGGAGATATTGTGTGTGACGAAGTATCCCCCTTCCCAGCTCCGTTCTTCGTCTTAGGCGCGGTTTTGGCGGTCGATGAGCTTGTGTAGTCCGTCTCTAGGTCTGCATCGAGTGTTGTCTGGCTTAACTGTGCGTCCAACTGAGCAATCTCTCCCTTTGAGCCCTTGCCATTCTGAGAACCGCAGCCGCCAGCATAGTCGTCCTCAGCAACAGGGGCAGAGGACCCCTTGCACGCGCAGGAACTGCTGGGACCTCCTACAACAAGCCGAGCCATATCCTCGCCACTCCGGACGATGTCGAGGATGGCACTTGGGCGCACGCGCTCAAGGTTTTTGATGAGGGTGCGTGCGGTTCCTCGAAAAGCCTCGGGGCTGTAAATGCATTCGGTGCTGAAGTAGTCAAGTTTCTTGTGATGGGCGTATAAGACAATCTCCTTTTCGTAAGAGTACTTGAGCGGCTTGCTGCGCTTGACATCGCTGGTATTGTCGCCGGTGACGATGCTTGTGCTCCTGCTGAGGCGGGGCAGATCGCCTCTCAGGAGGTTCATCAGGATGGTTTCGGCAACATCATCGGCGTTGTGGCCAGTGACCAGGTGCTGAATGCGCAACATCTTGGCACCACGATCCAATGCTTGACGGCGGAAGACGCCGCAGTAAGTGCAGTTTCCTTTCTTGCCGATGGTCTCAACAACCTGGTCCATGGTCCAGCCGTACAACTCGTCGTAGCCCACGACTGTGAGGGGCATGTCGTACTGAACCGCATTCCTCTTGACAGTCTCCAACGAATCGTCTCTGTAGCCCTTGATTCCTTCATCAATACTGAGTAGCACAAGGTCCAAACCGTAGTCATAGCGCTCGTTCAAGACCTTGAGCACGCTGGCCAGCACAGTTGAATCTTTGCCACCTGATGCGCCGATGGCGACCTTCTCGCCGCGAGTGAATAGCCCAGAGGAAATAATGGTATGGTGAACCTCCTCCTCGAACACTGATATGAAACAGGCCTTGCAGAGCTTCTGATGGTTCTTTGGTCGTTTGACGAGAGCGCGCTCCGTCTTGCACTTGGCGCAAAGGACAGGGGCCATATTGATGACGGGACCTTCTGGCAGCGTTAATGTCGAGATTGCAGGGGTTCTGAGACTGGCGCCAACTATCCAAGATGTCGGTAGTCACTTGAAAAAGGGAGATATATGGTTTTCGAGGAACGTAAAGCTGTTTGCTCCGAGGTTGAGCGGTTGTGGTAATACACTGGCGATGACTGGACGTGAGGGGCCGAGGGGCAAGAAAAAAGTTCCCAGACCGGAGGGGTGACAGTAGCTCATTCGCCGGCTTTATCAGCACCTAGCGTGATTAGAGTACCGCTGCGTGAGAGGAAGAGCGTGGTTTCTGTTTGTGCAAATAGCGGCAGTTTGAGGTTAAAAATAAAAAAATAAAAAATACCAAGAAGACCTGGGTCAGAAGTTGGAAGTTGAAGAGCCGTAGAAGGTGAATCTTCGTTGAAAGAAACCAATGATAGCAGGTTGCACTCACTGAAACTCTTGCTCTGATTTCACTGCCCGTACATGAAGAGTGACTACCTAGGACCTTACCGTTGGCCACTTGAGCTAGAGAGATTCCGAGTAATAAAACTTCAACTGACAAGGACTCATTTTTCCTTGAACTCTTCGCTTTTCGAAGCAGGCTCTCCTCTACATCAATGGCATCTCACAATTTGAGGGTTTTGGGAGGACGACATTCGTCAACTGGAAGTCGGTCAACATCCAGCAGGTAGGTCCAGTACTTGATGGACCGCTAAGGCACCTGAGCTGAGACCGTACCGGTCACCCTGGATGGCTTACCTTACCATGCCTTAGTCATATTCATCACGTGGAGATAAGATCGTCGCTACGACTGGGTCCTACCTTATCGCAGGCCCACCAAACCACTCCGAAGCCCTAATTTTTTTTTCCCTGCCCACAGGCAGTCTATCTTTTCTCGTCTCCGCCTCTCGTGTCTCGACTTGTGTTTGTTCTCATCCCCCATCCCCCCCAAAAGGCAGCATCACGACAACCGACAAAATGGTGAGTACACGATGAACATCGACGACTCCGTTTGCCCTCGTGGCCAGAACATCCAGTGTCGCTTCTGCGCGCTGTGAAATATTCCGTCCGCCCGTCAATTTCCTGTCATGTGCGCATGCGGGAAAGGGCGCGATGATGATTTGGCTTGAGGGGACGATGAGGCATTGAGACGCAGGAATGTGTCGATCTGCCTCGTCGTCCTTCTCTTTAGAGTTCAGGGAAGACACAAGTTGATTTGAACAACTCGCTGATGTCTTTCTTTCTCAATGATAGCCTCCCAAGTCCGGTAAGAAGGTGGCTCCCGCCCCTTTCCCTCAGGGAAAGGCTGGCTCCAAGAAGGCTCCCAAGGTCAGTGACGATCCCCTCATCCGCTACCGCGCAGCGCAGTCCAGGCTGACAAGATCGGCAGAACCCCCTTCTCGAGCGTAAGCCCCGCAACTTCGGCATCGGCCAGGACATCCAGCCCCGCCGCAACCTGTCCCGCATGGTGAAGTGGCCCGAGTACGTCCGCCTCCAGCGCCAGAAGAAGATCTTGAGCATGCGCCTCAAGGTCCCCCCTGCGATCGCCCAGTTCCAGCACGTCCTCGACCGCAACACCGCCGCCCAGGCTTTCAAGCTCCTCAACAAGTACCGCCCTGAGACCAAGGCCGAGAAGAAGGAGCGTCTCGTCAAGGAGGCCACCGCCATCAAGGAGGGCAAGAAGAAGGAGGACGTCAGCAAGAAGCCCTACACTGTCAAGTACGGTCTCAACCACGTTGTCGGCCTCATCGAGAACAAGAAGGCTTCCCTCGTCCTGATCCCCAACGACGTTGACCCCATCGAGCTGGTCATCTTCCTCCCCGCCCTCTGCCGCAAGATGGGTGTCCCCTTCGCCATTATCAAGGGCAAGGCTCGTCTCGGCACTGTCGTCCACAAGAAGGTCAGAAATAATCCGAGCTCATATCTGGATGCACCCTTGCTAACATGGACCAGACTGCCGCTGTCCTGGCCCTCACTGAGGTCCGCTCCGAGGACAAGACCGAGCTCTCCAAGCTCGTCTCTGCCATCAAGGATGGCTACATTGAGAAGACTGAGCAGGCTCGCAAGCAGTGGGGTGGTGGTATCATGGGCGCCAAGGCCCAGAAGCGCACTGAGAAGAAGGCCAAGGCCCTCGAGAACGCCATCAAGGTCTAAGATGGACCAATACCCGGACTACTTTTAGTACAATAGGACACTAGGCCACTGGAGGTTATCGGATTCTAAAAATTTGGCATGGCGTCGGGATGACTATTCATTTTTGGGTTTCACTTCATGCTTTGGTCTCCATGTTGCAGCGGATTGTGCGACTCAGGACTTGTGTATGTGTATGTGAATGTCCACGTGTGCTAGTGATCGCGGGAGCGTCAGTCTGCTATGATGAATGAGGAAATCTCTTGAGCCAATCGTATTGTCTTTTGGATTTGTCGTTCGTGTGTCCAAGTCACATATGCTCATGCGACAAAGTCGAGTCCAGGCACGGGAGACTCGCTGTAGTAATACTTCTTAGTGGCTTGGTGAGTTGTGGCGCAAATAACCGTCACAACTGGACGGGAGGCGGTGTCAGTCGAAAGGCGGAAGTTGAATGAAGCAAGGTGAGCAGCTCTGCGGGGTTGATCGACGACAGGGGTTCCACAGGGCTTTGCAAGTGGAAACCAGAAGTGATTCATCAGCGAAAGGCTCTGTGCCTGTAGATGCGAGATCACTGTCTGGGAGTAGGGATCCTACAGGCACGGCTAATCTGGTCGGTGGTGGTGCATAAGTAATAAGTCCCATTGCCAAGCAAATGTTCAGCCGGATATTCTTAGCTCTCTCGTCTGTCCTAGTTTCTCCTCACCGGCGTAGTTTCTCTCTCATCTAAATGCACTATCGCATCCACCCGGTCGAGATCAGCATGATGCTCGTATGATATCGCTCCTCTGGCGCTGGCAGCTCTGAGTTTCCTATCATTGTGTAGCCTGCCTCCAGCTCTCATCTCGTGTCGTTAATCCCGGTCCGGTTCACTAGAAACCTAACGGTCTTGACCCGGGCGGACGGAGGCATCGAGGACTTTGAAATGCTCCGGACGAATTCCCCGATGAGATGCGAGCCGTGCGGATTAGGTCTACCGCCAAAATCTTCAACTTGGCTCTGTTCTTCTTCCGCAAGTCCCCCTCTCACCAGCAGTCGGTGACCGCGTACTGAGGTTCTGGGCGGTGTCAGGAGGGGATGACGGCGTTGACAGGTCAAGTTTCGCCAGGGACCGGGTCATTTTGCCGGTCACTTCTGCTGCGGGGGAGGCCCGGGTCATGTCATGTGCGCATGCCTCCTCTCTTCTTTCCTTCTTTCCATCCTTCCATCCATCTTCATCTGAAGACAGGCGCCGTACAGGCGGTCTGATGATCCTTGCACCGAGAACCAGACCGAACCACGGAAGCACGCCCAATCCGAGATGAACGTGCCGTACACGACGCCTGTCGAAAACGGTGTGCATATCACACGTCAAGTACGCCGCAGGAGAGGAGACCAGATGCTTGATATGTCGATCAGGGCTACACAGCAGAGGATGGGATGCGGTTTTAAGGATTCACAATGGTGATACCTTATCTTATTTTGCAGAAACGCACTACGAGGACCCTTGGCCGGCAAATGCAAGATGGCTGGTTTCAGAGCTGGGAGACGCCCTGGGCCCGGCCGCTCCGTCGTTACTCTGATCAGTCATATCATGCTTCAAGTTGCCCGAAAAGTGGACATGGATCAAGATCTGGGGCCCACGACTGCGACTACCGCATTGAAGGAGCCAGGGCACTGGTGAGCGTATCGAATACCCAGCAGGCCGGCAGCGAAATTCCATCTCGGCTTTTGGTTTGTACCCTGTCATCCAGTGCATGACAGACTGTGGGAGGGGCGAGTGCCTTGACCGATGGACCAGACCAAAATCGAGCTGACAGTCGTGGAGACACTGTTGAGCTATTCCTAACAGTTCAACAGGGCAGACAGCCGGCACATCACCATCATATCCGTAGCAAATCTGTGATCTCTTCCCATCTCTCAACGTCTCCTTGGCCATCAATACATGCATGGGTCGTCAGTCCAAGAGTCCAACACCAGTGGCTGAACCATCAAACGGCATCAATAGTCTCAAGTCTCAGCAAACGGCAGATAGCAGCGACGCCGGGGTGGCACGGCCATGTTCTATCTTGGACGACTCGTCGAGTCTTGGCTCTGTCTGGATCTGTCTCCAAATGCGGAGAGCTCACCACTGGATGACCCGGTCAAAAGAGATCTCGATACCTTGCTACTGCTATTGTTGTTGTGGCTGTTGCAGAGACAAAGTTAGGTTGTCTGCGATAGTGCGAGGTATGAACCGGCATTCTCTGCTTATATTACCTTCGTCTCTCCCCACTCCAGCTCGGCTTGGAGGAACACTTACAGGACTCCTCTCTCTTCGTGCAGCATCTCGTTCGTCTCTGCAGGATCTGAGCTTGGCCGACTTGAAGCGGCTTTTTTTGCAAGCTGGTTTCTTGTTTCTCTTGTTTGTCATTCGTGCTTGTCTCAACCGATTCTCCCTTATTGGATCACCACACGGTCGGAAGCCCCCCAACATCCCACGCCGGCCTGGCTGCTGCATGTCTCTGCGCATCTCAACGCAAGTCTCTTCCTGTTTCGACACGGTTGGTTGCCCTTTGCATGCCACAAAGTCACTTACACACGCGCCAAACATCTCGGCCACTTTCCTGCCTCTGCCGCACACCCGTCCTCGTCTAACTCCTCGTCGTCCTTCTCCTCTTCTCTCCACTCATCCAACCCGCTGGGATTCCCACCCTCCCTCGGTCCCTCCGCTGAAGACTCGGAATCTTTTGTGTATGGACGACGGCTGACTGTCGTGACGCACCCCAGTTCAACAACCCTCCCGGCTCACTTGCAGAGTGGGACGACCAAATCGCGAGGAATCTCCAGGTCACACCGCGGCGCTCGGCGTCCGCCATCATTCATCAGCTCCGTTGTCAGACCTCGACAACCTGACCCGAACCACCTACAGCCCACTCTTTGGCTACCGTCGGCCGTGAGAAAGCCGTTCCCACACCCCGTCGTGTCTCCCATCCGTTCCGACCGGCAAACCCACTGGCCCCAGGACCACTTTCATGCGGCTGCTTCTTCCACCTCGAGCATAAGGAATCGAAACAGTATTCTGGAGACCGGCCCGGTTGTTTCTCTAACTAACCTGCCATCGCGGAATTAACTCAGAAAGGGGTTGCTATAATCAACTTGGTTGAACATCAACTCCAGCTGTGCAGGTCTCAGCTAGCTCCGGATACAAGGGCGAATTGCAGCCCGCCGTAGTCAACTCCTCGCGCCCTTTCGACTTCCATTCCAAGCCCCGTCTTCTTCTCTGCCATCCTCGAGCTTTTTTTACCTTGTTTCCTCCCTACCACGAGTGTTCGACTACCATGGCGTTCCACGACCGTACGTACTCTCGTGTGCATGAACATACAAGTCTTGATTCATGAAGACGTGCATGATACCAAGAAGCTAACAAAACCTGTCAAACATAGAGAACAAGTTCTTGTACGCTCTCAGCTCCAACCAAGCCTGGGCTGGTTACAAGTCGCACCAGAATCCGGCCTTCTTCAAGAACCTGGCATCTGGCCAGTCTCCCTCAATCTGTAAGACGCCTTAGCCTTGGTATTGTCTTCGCATAGCCTCTCCCTTCTTCGTCGTCTTCATCTTCGTCTTCGTTCTCGACACGCGGGGTATCGACTTGTCGCTTCTTCAGAGCTAACTCGGGGCAAAGTGTGGTTAGGATGCTCTGATTCTCGAGTTCCCGAGACGACAATTCTCGGTCTGCAACCCGGCGATGTGTTTGTTCATCGCAACATCGCCAACATTGTCGCACCGACGGACATCAACACCTCAGCCGTCATCGAGTATGCCGTCGCTCACCTCAAAGTCAAGCACGTCGTCTTGTGCGGCCACTCGGCCTGCGGAGGTGCCAAGGCCGCACTGGGTGACTCGCGCGTAGGCGGAGTACTCGACACCTGGTTGGTGCCCCTGAAGGCGGTTCGGGCGCAGAATGCCGAGGAGCTCGCGTCCATCAAGAACGATGACACGCGGGCCGTTCGTATTGCGGAGATGAACGTCGAGGCAGGTGTGAATGTTCTGATGGCCAACTTCGCCATCCAGGAAGCCATCCAAGAGCGCGGCCTCACCGTCCACGGTTGCCTGTTTGATATTGCCAGCGGTCGCATCAGGGACTTGGGATTCGGCACCAACAAATCGGGAGGTTCTCGGAGCATCATCACCCACGGTGACGAGGAAATCGTTCGTGGCAAGCACGCGCAGCTGGTGTTCCGTGATGGAGGGGATGCTTCCATGCGAGTTCAGTGAACGACGACCAGGATACGTACAGCAATGCCGGGGTTGTCTTCCTCCATCCCTCCCTCACGACCCGGGACTGTTATCATTAGCGACCGAAAATGGCTTCTGAGGCGAGGGAATGTCGTTCAAGGCAGTCGTCAGTGGGCTGGTCGTGAGCGTCGTGTTAGGAACGGCGCAGGAAATGGGACGTTCGGTAGGCAGGATTCATGTCAGCGAAATTCAAGTAGGCGTCAGTGGTGTTGGGCACAAGCAATGTTGGGATTCTGTGTCTTTTAGGGGCCGAGTTTCGTCTCTCTCGTAGGACCCATCCGTCAAAATGAGGCATGTTGGATTCCTTTAACAAGCCTGAAATGGTAACCTTGTCGTCGACATGCTCGCCCAAACCCCACGCATAGAGGAAACAAAAGTAAAAAGGAAAATCTTCGGGCGGGACTGTCCTGTCCTATCTCTACCCATAACCATATCCTCGAGGTCGGGACTGGATATATCATCAAGTCGTCATCTCTCTCTAGCTGCAAGCATCGTGCCGTCCGCGCCTCGCGCGTCGCATTCGGGGAGAATGTACGCGTTTGCATCTACTTTCGTGCTGCTTAACCGTAGACAAGCTTGAAGATGTCGTTGAAAACGAAGTAGTTGCCGGTAGGGTCGCGCAACAGCTGGAAAGCCTGGGTGTAGTTCATGGGGCGCTGCTCTTCGTCGACCTGAAAGATTGTCGGTTGGTCGTGCAACTATGCGGAGGGAATTATGGTATTACTTACAAGGAGCTGTCCGGTGACGAGAATCATAATACCGCCCTCGAGAGTGGGCTGAGAGTCAAGGGTGGAAACCTGGTGCTTGACCTTCTCGAAAGGAAGAGACTGTAACGAAGCCAATTAATCATTGCGGCGTGAAGAGGCGCGTCAAGGCGGCCAGCGTACCGAAAGCTTCTCAACGATGTTGGTAGCACCGAGAGAAGAGGCAGACTCGAAAGTCAGCATGGACTGGTCACGCTATTATGACAATTAGTATTAGACTTTCGAGAATGTGAGGCATGCGCTTGAATCTCACGTAAAGGCTGGCGAGTCCCTTGCGATCCGAGTCGAACTGGTTGTAGTAGAACTCGATGAACTGCTCTGTTTGTTGACGGACGCGGTCAGTTTTCGAGGTGCTAAATGTCGGGGACATGTCGTTGACGAGCTAAGGGGGCTCAATCGCGGGAGTAGAGCACATACTTGCGATCTCTTCGAAGTCTGTTGCATCTCAGTTAGCCATCTGTTCTCTGATCAAGGGTATTATGCGAAAGAAAAGCGTTCGGGCGGTGGTTGAGGAGGCGCATCGCATTGCTACGCATGGGGTCGAATGCGCAGGTGGTTGAAGGGCAGAATGCGAGGGGCGCATAAGTGACTTACTGGAAGCCATCTTGACTGATTTCTCTTAGGAAACGGATAGGTCGAGGTAAAATGACGATCAAGTCGGAGGGAGGTTTGTTTACGGCAAGCGTTTTGGGTGGACTTTTTTGGTGGGAGGAGCTTTCGTCAGGCTGAGAGAGAAAGAGGGGTGAGTCTGCCCGCCAGCCGGTGGTGGTGGTGGGAGGGCGGGAGGGGAAGACGGGACGGAAGAAAAGGTACCTCACAGGGGCTGCGAGGTACCTGTATCATGCTCGCTCGCGATGCCAACACAGCCGGGCTAGCTGCAATGACATCGCGGTACCTTCCAATCACCAGGACAGTCACTGTGCCACAGGCATCTGCCTCCGAGGCCAGGCATGTTTGGCCAGCTGAAATGACGGAACGGTGCCTTGGGCCGCAGGGCAGGGCAGACGGGACACAGTGGAGTGCCTCATCTCTTCTTGGGCTTTCTATTGTTGACGGCGGGGTTCGGTGGCTGAAATCGTGTGGTTGCAGTGGGCAACACTGTGATACACTTATGCATCTATGCCAGCTGGGCTTGATAATTGAGTAAATGGTGGGGTTAATGCTGCTTTGATGAATCACCCCTTCCAAAGGACTGTTATGCAGTAATACATACTTCGCTTCGCATCCACCTGGAACGTGCGCCTCCGATATTGGGGTCAGCTCCGACTACAAATTTTCGCCCGTCACAACGCGGTTCCTGTGCAACTTCCTCATCTGCCAACCTTTTCCTCGCTTCGAGCTCATTGCCCATCGCAGAGGCAAGCAACTGTCTATGTTGACGATTGCAGCCTCTCGCTGTTCTGCGCTTCCATCATTTACTTTCCGACTGACTATTCTAGCACATCTGAGCGACGGCGCTCCTCCACACCAGGTAAGCTTGAAAATCTCGCGTCTTCTGATTTTCACCCTATTCCCCCCAAAGCTACAATGATGATCAACTCTTCCATTAAGAACGGCCAACTGAACAATTATGTTGATTCAAAATATATCAAGCTCAACAGTCTGAATGTAGCTCTCATTACAGTTATTGTCACAAGACATCACCTTCTTGGACGTAATTGCTAACGATACCCTAATAGGTCGATTTGCCTTCGGTGCTCTTGCATCTCGATGATCGTTTCTCTAGTAATAGAACAATACATTAAAACATTATTGCATATGAAGCCATCCGCGTCCGTGTTTCTCTCCTCTCCATCGCTACTTGTCCCGTCCCTTGTCTATCATGCGACCTTCGAAAACTTAACCATGCCTTGCTCAAGCCAGTCGATCTCAAGGGCCTCCACGCTGCCATTGACGCCTACGAAGAACTCGGCTCGGACGAAGCGACTCGCGAATTTGACAGGCTGAGCGAGGGAAGTCAGGAGCACCAGCCAAAAGTCTCCTGAAACGTGGACGAACTCCCACTGGGTTTGAATAAGAGAGTCTTCTGTTGAGGCAACCAGGCTCGCCACAGAGCTTCCCTGGGTGCTGTTGCTGCCATCCTTGAGGGTCAGAGTCAAGTTCTGGTAAGCGGGATGGAAATATGTCCCGACCAGCGCTGTCGAGGGGAGCGTTGGCGGAAGCGGGTTCTCGGGTCTCTCGGGGTATGCTAGATCAAGAGCTGCGTCGAACGCTCCCTCGACGAGCTGCTTGCTCTGCTCCCATCTGTGATTCCGCCCGTTAGTTATGCGTACCGAGCGTACCGACTGCATCGACGGGACAGGAGGGGCTTGCCTTTTGTTATGATCGAATCTGTCAGCCGGCGCGACGCCGAGCTTTTCATCGATGAGATGCCACAAGAGAATCTGACCAGCCGCGTTGGACGACGAAGCCGTGTTACCGAGCGTGACGACGCCGAAGCCCTCGTCCGGGAAGAAGATGACTTCGGCCCCGAAGCCGTCTATGCCTCCGTTATGCGACCACAAACGACGGCCCTTGTAAGACGATGTGAGCCAACCCAGGGCGTACGACTGCGCCACGTCAAGAAACACGTCGTCCACCTCTCCCGAAACCATACGGGGAGTCTTGATGGCCTTGTGCCCTGCTTTGCTCAAAGGCGGTTGCTCGCCGATGAGGCTTTGGATCCAGCGAGAGTAGTCGAGGACGTTGGAGATGATGCCACCCGCTCCACTGACCAATTCCACGTCCGGCCAAGGTACGTCTTTGTAGGTTTTCGTCTTCTCGTCGTAGTAATAGCCGTGTGCGAGATCCTTGTCGGACTGCTCGGCATCTTTGACTGACAAGTATGTGCTGGTCATGCCCAGAGGTTCCCAAATCCAATCTTTGAAAACATCGCCAAGCCGTTGCGAAGTCAACGTCTCGACGACATACGAAAGGGTCATGTACATGAGGTTGCAATACAGGAATTTAGTCCTCGGCTCCGCGGCCAATGGCAGGTACCGCAAAGAGCGGACGATGTCGCGAAGGGTGCCGGGGCGTCCCTCATAATGCTTGGACGCGGCCATAGTGTGGTCGCCCAGCCCAGTTCTATGAGAAAGAGCGTCTTCCAGAGTTGCGTGTTGGGTTATCCAGGAGTCTTCCAGGACAAAATCATCGCGTATGAGTTCCGAGATGGGCGTCGTCCAGCCGAGAGAACCGTACTTCCCCGAATCTATCAGAAGAGAAAGCGCAGCGGCCGTGAAGGCTTTGCTTGTGCTCCCGCCGAAGAAAAGGGTAGAGTTCGTGGCCGGTGTAGTTGGGTACGTTGCGTATCCATAACCCTGTCATTCTTATTAGTTTGCCATCTCCCATTCTACATCCAGGGGTCAGTAGTAGATATTCATACCTCTGCCCACGTCTCATTCCCGTCCACAAAAGCGATGGCAATACCTGGCACTTTCCATCGTTCAAGTGTCTCATTCACGACTTTCGAGAAGTCATCGGTAAAAGGGTTCGAGCCAGCTGCCGAAGCAACTTGAACGACAAGCGATGACGCAACGCCCAGGGGGGTAGTGACTCTCATTGTGGTCTTGACCGAGTACTAAGATCACGACCTGGTCAGCGTGTCGATTTGTTAAGGTCGAGTTGAAACCTCAGGGTTGGGCACATTTTATGTAAAAGGACAAGCCGCTATTTCTACGTCATCAGAGACTCTCATGTAGTCATTTAATTAGACCATATGTTTCTTCTTTACGCCCGAAGTCCGAATACGAATTCCATTGCCCATACGGAAAATAAGCGCCAAGACAACTCCCTTGTCGTTTATGTATGTCAGAATACGCTTCAGGAAGGAGCTATGTGAATACCCGGCTTCAGCTGCGGCTCGCGTCGCGATGTCATCGCAGACCAGCATTGTCAGGGGTACTCTGTACTGTGGAAGACGCGTACACAAAGTGGGCAACGTTACTGATGCGCACATACGAGTCTCATGCGCATGTTCATTCGTTGGCATTTAGTATATGGAACTTTCAGCTTCCGAGAGTTATTCGGTTCTTCGTCGCTGACCGGCTTGCCCAAGCAGCATGCCAAAATTGGCCAAAACGAGCCATCAACCAACTGCCTCTAATATGCCGTTGTTCGTGAATCCATCCCTTAACCATCCGCTGTCTATCCCACACGATCGGTGGTATCCAGTCACCGACTTTTCTGCTGTTGTCTCGACTCCTCAAGTCCTCAGTCAAAACCTTCCCATCATCTACAGTGTTACTTGAGCTTTCATCGGCTTAGTATACTTCACAGTTCCTCTTCCTCTGTCTGCGCAGTCGAGGCCTGAGGCACCGAAAGTGCAGGAGTACGCTTCAGAATGTCGTCAAACCCCGTGTTGGAGCCGCTGGCGAGCACGCCCTGTCCATCCCCAGCGTTAATGCTAGGCCGATGTTTCTTCAGTGGGCTGCCAATCGATGATTCTACCGAAGCGTCTTTATCCGTTGTGGCCTGGCCGTTGCCGCTCGTGACTGTTGCGGCAGCCGATGAGCCTGCGAGAGAGCCAGATGTGCCTGCAGTGCTTGCGGCGCCCGCAGCGTTGGCGGGCGGCTCGGCCGAATGTGCTCTCTTCAGCTGTTAAGCCAAGTCAGTGAGAGAACTCAAAATTCGCAACGTCAACTGCTACTTACGTGAATACGGTTCACACCATCAGCGAGTTCTCCTTGGAACTGGACGTCCTCCGGCGCGAGCTTGTTGTCAACATCCTTGTCTGCAATATCTTGCATTTTTCCAATGAGCTCGCTCTCGTCATCGTCGTCATCACTGTCGTCGTTGAGGGCACCTCCCACGTTGCCGTTGCTCTTCTTGCGGGCCTTTCGCCTCTTAGCAGCCTCTGTATCCTGGTCCCGGAAGGCAGAGAAGCCAACAGTACCGGACGTTTTGAGAGGACCCAGGTTGGAGAAATCTAGCTGGCCTGACCGCCGCTTGGCAGAGCCTGGTGTTGTTTGTGCCGCCTTGGAGGAAGCGATGATGCCTATTTTTTGGAGTTGACCTATCGGATTGTTAGCATTTGGTCACAAGAATGCACTGTAGCTGGGAAGACCGACGCTCTCCACGGTAGAAAAAGGTGAAAGACGCATATGGCTTATCCGGACCATCGATGCCGGTGACCGTCTGAGTACTGATGGTTTTCGGGTCCAGTGTCTTGGGCTTAGCAAAACTGGTGGTATGCTCTACGTCGGCGTCAACACCAGATTTTCCATTCCCCTGGTTTCCCGAGTCGTCGTCGTCATCGTGTGCGTCAAACTGTGGCGAGTACTCGCCCTTCTTAATCTCGCCGGAGGCTAGTACGCGAAACATGAGCACCTTGATTTGACCAGTTGCCTCGGGAATCTCGTCGTCGTCAGACAAAGAGTCGGAATCGTCCTCGCCGAAGACAGCCTCGACGGGAGAACCATCGTCCGCGCCGTAGCGAAGGGTATCCCGGGGGCCATTGGGGCCCTCCTCAACTTGCATGCCGGAAGGCTGGGTAGCGGCCTTTTGACGTCGGCGGCGCTTCTCGAACTTTTGGCGACGGCGCTCCAACTTTTCTGCAGCATCGTGGCCCTGGAGATCCAAGCCGTTCAGCCAGCGCTCCAAACCGACTTCACGGAAGAGAAATTCTCGTTCGGCCAAACCACCTCCCTCGGAATCGGGGACCTGAACCCAGCGACTGTTCACCCATGTCTCTTCGCCAGGCCTCAGTAGCGTGGCGACCTCCTCCTTGGTTCTTCCGTCAAAGTAGATGTAAGCGGCGATCGTTTCGTTTTCGGAGTTGGTCATGGGGATGTAGGGGTTGACAACGCCAGAGAACTTTGAGGGGCCATGCGCGGCGGTAGGCAGACCTCCAACGAATTGGGGCTTGGGATAAGGGTTGCTATCCGTAGACTTGGGTGTCGAGTAAGGAATCGGCAGGCCTGGTGTCAAGAGAGTAATGGATATGGCGAACTTGGCGGGCTCCGGCTTGTTGGAGTCGGGGTTGATGCTCGGTTGGGGAACAGGTATGTAGGTGCTGATGCGTGACAAACGCGATTGCTTCTGCATGCCATGCTCAGGAAGAGGTGCCCCGTTGGCGTGTATGCTCACGGCGATGCCCTTGTAGCAGGGCATTGTTGCGAGAGAGCTCGATCGCGGCGGCGCGCCGTGTTGTGTTGGTTCGCAGAGTTCGGGCAGGCTATGCTCGTGAGTGGTGCGGCGGAATACGGCGGCGGGGTTCGCTCGAGTGACGTCGGGTGGACTGGCGGAGTCCCAGTGGGTGATTGCAAATGAATGGACTGCGGCCAAGAGATCGGAGGTTGATAGTGTTTGCGTAGCAAGAGAAGAGCCAGAGTGAGAGCCCAAACAAAAGGCAGTAAGGTTGAAAGTAAGGCGAGGGCGGAAGAGGACGACTGAAGTTTGCTAGCCCTCACCGTCTCCGAGTCGAATCGGCGTGGGACCTGGACTTGGGTGTTGGGTCTTGGGTGGATCTGGCGGATAATGGGACCTTAAGCGGAGGAAGAACGCCTAGGAGCAAATAGTGCGCATGATTCCCCCGATGGCTGGGACCGACGAGCAGTTTGAATCGACGAAGCGTCCGCGGCTACACAGAACGTCAACGTAGGGAAATGATGAGGCTGAGAATAGGTTGTGGCTACCTTGGTCGATGCTAGGACAAGGCTCCTTTGTCAACAGCGACAGCGCGACAGCGATGGCAGTAGCAGGCGACGGCGGCAGCGGCAGCAGCACGGGCAACGGTGTGGGAGGGTACTCCGTGGGCGACGCCGGTACGTAGGTACTTTTGATTGGAGTTTGGCTGGTGTGGTACCTTGCCTTAATGCGAGGGGCGTGTTCCAGGTTGTGTTCGGTCGAATACCATAGAACGGCCACCGACCAAAAACAAGAGGGGAAAAATCCAGATGGGCAAGGAGAAAAAAAAAAGTACAACTCACCTGCCGTAGCTACCTTACAGGGGCCAGAAATGCATGGTGCCTTGCGGTGTGAGGCGGATGAGTGCGGTGAAGGACGTGAGGTGGTGAACCTTAGGTAAGGCAGGATGGCGTGGAGGGGGCGGGGAGTGGAGGGGCTGAGAAGGAGGGGGACGAGAACACTGAAGCTGGAAGTTGCCTTCGTATTACGTAATGCGCCTGATGTGGTGTGGGATTTCTCACCTGGCGAGAGACGCTTTCATTTATACACACGTTGGCTCCGGCAAACATGATGAGGTACCTTGTCGAAACAGAGCATCGTCTCGAACTTATTTCATTCAATTGATAGGCTTGACCTGTGATGCAAGTACTTCAACGTCTCATCCTGGGGTATGAACCCACTCTTTTCTCAGCGCATGCCTTCGTAGACTGGGTATCTACATAATCCTCCGTCAGGTCTTCACTTTGTTGAAATTGTCCCCGAGAGAGCCTCAGCCTCCGCCGTCTAACGATTGTGCGACCTACGTCGAACGCTGCCGGAGCCCCCCTCGCTATAGCTTGTCCCGATTCCTGAGTCACCCCGGTAGCTACCTCGTCCGTCATCCTCTTCCTCATCATCAGCTTCACCACCAAGTGGTACGAGGTCCTCCATCCGCGGTCCGGGCTGCGCTTCTTCCTTAATCTCGGGCTCGTATCTTAACGGCGCCTGATTGCCGTAAGTAGGGAACGTCCGCGGCGCGTCTGACAGCTCATCAACTCCACTCCCATCTTCTCTCTTAATCCGCATCGCCGATTTCGAAGATTCGGCGTCGCGTCCGACGGTTGAGGAGCTCGAGCCTGACACAACGGACCAAAATAGCCATGCACCCGCCATGAACAAGATTTCCGATCCCCAAAAGAGAAATACGGCGGCCGTAAACATTGGCAGACGATAGTGATACATCAGCCAGCGCAGTCCACGCAGTTGTGCCGTGAGCGTAATTGACGCGTAGTATGTCTCGATACTTTGGCCGCCCTGAACCTCTATGTATACCGAGGACGGCAGGGAAGAGCCTTTGGCTAGTTCGACGCGTTCAGCCATTGGCACTGTCAGCACGCACGTCTGGGAGTCAGAGAAGAGGATGTGGTAGGCCATGAAGAATATGCGAGACGCCAACGATACTACTGGGTCTTGGTATGGCATGAGGGCCGGCCGGCGCGACGAGAACAGGATAGATTTCCCGTCAAAGTGGGCATAAGGCTCGGGATGGAGGTGAGGTTGTGCCTGGCTGCTCATTGTTGACACGGATCCTGCGTCGAGAAGATAGAGGGCGACCATGAAGTTGCCTCGTTGCGTGTTGGCGGGTGAGCGAGGCATCGACAGCGTGATAGACACGTCGTACTCTTGCTGAGTCCTGAGGCTGGAGCTCGGGATGCTTGCTATGCCGAATGGGTCTGTTCCTGAGCTGCATGGTTGGTGTAAGCCGAGTTAGCAGGCTTGCCCACAGCGGGGGTAAGGAATCGTGATTGGCAATACAAACTCACCCATACTGGAGATAGATAGGAGAACTGACTACCTGGTCTGGTAGGTAGTTACGAAAGAAGAGGATGGATGCGATCGTAGCGAACGGGAGCAGAAATAGCGACGCTCCTACGAGAAGGGCCAGGTTGACGAGAGTGCGCTGTGCCGTATTGGAAGTGGCCGCTCGAAATGCCTTGACCAGGACCTCCTAGTGATCGCACAAGGTCAGCTTGCGTGTCCCGTTGCGCGACGTATCTCTGCGACGGTAGCGATGCCATCACCTACCATCATGAAGGTGGGCGGGTGGTTATGTTTCGTTATGGACGGTATGTGGTTTGGTAAGGGAGAAGTCGATGGGCATGTCGTGAGTGAGAAACTGGCGACGGAGGGCGGTGGCTTCGTGAGCTGAGGTACCGTAAGATTAGATAGGTAGGTAGCTGCCTACCCAGGTCGACTTACTTCAGCCACCGCGACTGCCCGACTTAAGAAAATGAGAAATGCAGGTATCCGCGTTGGGCGTTCCTTAGGATTCCAAGAATTAAGGTAGATGGCCATGAAGCTCTGGGTTGAACTAGGTAAGGTAGATACACAGCTGCCCGCACATGTGACACCCGACGAGCTACCTACCTTAGGTGGCGGCCGGTATGTACCGAGCCCCTTACCTGCGTCCTATTGCCCGCTATGACCTCACCCCATCCACCAGCAACATCCACGATTGCACGCGCAGCAATTATGCGCTAAATCCAACCCGAATGAGTATGTCTTGGTATCTGTCTCTAATGAGGCATGGCAATCTCAGGCATACATTATTGTGAAAGACCCCCAACTCCTGGCGTGAAATAGTACAAAAACGGAACGAAGCAGTGCTCGCTACTGTAATGTCCAACAACATCATAAACCATCGCAAACTTCGGATCTACTGCTGCGTGCGTTTCGTGGAGATAGCATCCAAATCCTCGTCTCCGACTTATCAGTCGGTTTCTTCTTTGGCTTCATCGGCTCGAGCAAACCACCTTCAACCAACTTAGCAAGGCTGGAGGTAGTTACTCGGGATCAGCCCAATTTGTCCGTTGCCTCCGTGTACTTCGGCCTCCCACCATCCGTCATCCTGATGCCGCAGCACTGCGAGGTAATCGCCCTTTGAAAAACCCAACTCCTCCGGGATCGCCGCCTGATACATGTACAGAGCCTTTGCTGATTACTTGGTTAGCACACTTGCCCTTCATGACATTTCTAAAACACTTACCAAAATGCAGAATTGGTCGCCCATCGCTTGTATACTGACGAGACGGGTCTGCCACGCTTTTACTCCGCTGTCTTGACTCTCCCTGTCCCGGCGGTCCGCCTCCTTCGTACAGGCCCATGGCACCCCGGTTGCTGGAGCTCGTTCCCGGCCGGTTGCTTGAGCTGGTTCCTGGCCGGGTGCTGGAGCTTGTCCCTGGCCGGTTGCCGCCTCGGCCACGAACCGAGCCGTAGTTGTCATCGCTTGCAGGTGCAAGCTGAACCGCCATGTTATTGTTGACGTGACTGCTGTTTGGCCGCATCTGGTCTCTGTAGGGTGCTGGAGACGCCGTTCTCGACATGTTGCTTGGCGAGTTTTGGCGGTAGTACGGCTGCTCCGAGCCTCTTCTGGGTGCGCTGCTCATCTGTGACGAGCCTCTACCCAGAGAAGAGCTAAGCGGGTTGGGCGAGGTAGACCGATAGCTACTCCTGGTGTCTTCTGCTGGCGCGACTCTTGGAGAGGCACTGCGAGGTGAGCCCCTATAGCTGTTGCGCGCATCATCTGCAGGCGCTGCCCTAGGGGAAGCAGCTCGAAGTGGTGCTGGGGATGCTGCACGAGGTACATCACTGCTCCTCGTCATCGGCCGAGAACTGGACGACCCGGCATATCCGCCCGACCCGGGACGGTTTGCTGGATCGAACATGCTGCGAGTCTGGTTAGCGAACTTCTGCGATGTTTCCTTCATCGCCTTTGCCGTTACAGCCTGTGGAGGTACTCCAAGCCTCTGTACAACTTGTTGGTCATAAGACGGAGGCGGTGTTCCTCGCAGACCAGCTGTGACCGTACTGTTGCTCGCAGAAGATGGCACCGATCTAGAGAATGACTGCGAGCCTGGTGTCGGTGTCGCGATGCCATGATAACGGTCCGCCGAGACACGAACGCTGGATTGCTTGCCGACGCCAACTCCCTTAAGTTCGGCGAGAGCCAACGCGATTGGGTCCGTTTCAGGCTGGGCGCTCTGTGTGTTGGCGCCCTTCCTCTTCTCAAGATCAGGTGTCGTTACCGAGAAAACGTTCTGCCCAACATTCAACGCCAGGCTTGCATTGGCATCGATAGGCTCTGGGCTGATGGTAGACCTGTCTGCCAGCAGGTTTGGCGTGTCTTGCGTTTGCATTTGTGGGCGACGCGATGGGCTTCCTTGTGCAGACACAGGATGCCAGGTGTTTCTGTTCGCTGGCGAGCCCTGAATATCCTTGGTGCTCTTGCGGCGGAATGGGCTGTGATTCTGGAAGAAACCGCTCCTCTTCTTGAGCACTTGCTTCTCTACTGCGGTCGGCGTTGGTGCTGGCGCTGTCGCCGGCGTGTTGACAAGATCCTGCTTGACCGGTGATACCTTACCGCTCGGGGGCTCCTGGCTCGAGAGCGAGGTCGGGTTCGAATAGTCACTTTGCGAATCACGGCTTGATGGTCTGGCTGACGGGGGCTGCGAGCTGCGCTCCGATGGAGGCCCAACAGGTCCTGTACGACACAGCATTGTCATACCATCAAGCGGGTAAGGATCGTGTGGAACAGCAGCAAATGTGCCGTGCTGGTTGATATCCAGGGGCATGCGGCTTGACTGCTGGGGCGCCTGGTGAGCTACCGGAGCGGGTTGCCGAGGTTTCTCGAGGGGCGGTGGCATTCTCTGCGTAAGGGGCTGAGGTTCCCTGGCCACAGGAGGGGCGACTTCTCTAGTAGAGGCATCGGGAAGATAGTTCCTCGGAGAGAAACTAGGCTCCTTAGGCCCTACGTCCGGCAAAAAGCCTCTAGAAGAAGAGCCTGCTTCCTTGTGCCCAATATCCGGCAAAAAGCCTCTCGGAGAGGAAACAGTCTCCTTGTGACCAATATCCGGCAGGAAGCCTCTCGGAGAGGAGCCAGTTTCCTTCTGACCAACATCCGGCAGAAAACCTCTCGAGAGCGAGCCTGATTCCTTGTGCCCGACATCTGGTTGAAAACCTCTCTGAGAAGACATGGAGCCTGTCTCTTTGTGCCCGACCTCTGGCAAGAAGCCTCTCTGAGAGGACATCGAGCCTGATTCTTTGTGCCCGGCCTCCGGCAAGAAACCTCTTTGGGAAGAGCTTGCTTCCTTGTACCCAGGGTCCGGAATGAAACCTCTTTGAGGGGGGGAAGCTGCATCCTGGTGAGCAAGGTCCGGGAGGAAACCCCTAGACGAAGGGGCTACGTCCTTACGTCCGCCCTCCGACGCGAAGCTTCTGGATGACGGGCTCGCCTTTCGTCCTGCACCCTGCACCATATGTCTCACAGAAGAAGGACTCGCTTCTTTGCGTACCGTGTCTGGCGCAATTGGTTTGGGAGCTGCCGGGATTGGCTCCTTGTGGCCCAAATCTTGAGCAAGACTGGAATTCGGGTCGTGGTGCGATTCGTAAGTGGAGGGTTGGGGCGAAGAGGACCGGAAAGCTGGGTTGATGCTTCTGGGGAACTGCGCCACAGAATAATTGTCGTCGTCAGATGTTTCTGACTGGGTATCGTTGATATCGCCTCTGCAGAAGTTGATGTACTTGGGCGCATCCGGGATCTCTTGCCCGGTACCCCGTTCCTTGATGAAATTGATAACATCTGTTTCAACATCCATCTTCTCCAAAGAGAGGCGAATCTTCTCGCATGATGCATCATCGCTGACGCAGACAGTGGAAGAGACGTTGGCGAATGTCCAGAGACTGCTTTTTGTAAAATCGAGTCGCTCCTCTTCCAGGTCCTGGAATTTGTCCGCCGCTGCTTTCCACTCACGGTTCCACCGCACGGTAGTATCCTCGAGCGCCTTTACTGCGTTTTCGTATTCGGTGTTGGAGGTCGCCACGCTGATTTGCGTCTTCTCAAGCTTTGCCTTATTCTTACGCTCCTCCTGACCCATGACCATGTGGCCTTGGGCGAGATAGCCCTTGATCTTGAGGCATTCTTGCTCAAAGCGATCTCGAGTCTGTAGTATGTGGTCAGCAGAGACCCTCGCAAGAGGATGTTGCTGTTCCCGGTGTCAACATACCTTGTTGACGTGCTGCGTCTGCTGTATCTTGGTTTTGAGAATCTTCTCGATGCCATTTTGGACGATCTTCCTCCTCTCCTTCATGGCGCCTGCAAATGCAGCGAGTGGCTCCTCTAGTTCGGTTTTCATCTGCGCAGCAATATTTTGATGCTGCTTTCCCATCGATTCAACCTCCCCTCTGAGGGTATCCAAGGAGTTCTTCAGGCTCCCCATCTCCTGGGATCCAAGCGACTTGCGGCATAACGAAAGCAGCTTCCGAGCGTACTCGTCTTCGATTGAGGCGCGTGCTGTGTTCCTCGTTAGCTGTCACAAGTTCAGAGACGCACACATGAATGGGCGATTGCATACCACTGTAAAATGCTTTTAGTTCATCGCATGTCAGCTTAGCTGCGGCCATACGGTCGAGGAGAGGCCCAACGCCAGCATCGTCCTTCCCCCAGAAGTTGTTTGCGACTTGGACATGTTAGCACTAGATCGAACCTCGGTCATCAAGAGCCTCAACTCACACGACAGAGCTACTGTCGGACTCTCCATGATTGAAGCAGGCATTGCGCCTGCAATGGGGAAGTCAATCGCTAGGGAATAAGATCGCGGTTCGAGTGAATGTCGCCAGCGTGGCGGTCGATGAGTTGGCAATTACAGACGAGTGCCAAATCGATGTTGGCAGGTGAAGAATGCCCGTTGCCGCAAAGTAACGTCGAGATTGACGTGGGCTTTGGGAATATCGCTGGTAAGGTATCTCAGTTCTGAACATGCGGACGTAAGTAGGTTGGCGGTAAGGCGGGTGGTATTGTTTAGGTGCGTTGCCGAGCAACGTGAATGTGCCGCTGCAAGTCCCTTGCAGGCTGAGCTCAGGCACTTGGTAGTCGATAGATGCATAGATGTTACTACTACTCTTTTACCGCTTAACGTGTTTCTGCTTTCATGCATATTCACTAGACGTTGTGTGGAGGTGGCCTGCCAGGTGGCCTGTCAACTGTGTCAAGCTTACGTAGTAATGCCAACTTACATAATCTAGGTAGGTACCAATCCCTGGACGGCAGATGTCCCCGCCTCAGCCTCAGGCTCGGCCCAGAGACTTCCTTCATCACGTGCTTCCGGGTTACTTCCCCCAGACGGCTGCCAGTGGCTTAGGTCGGCGACGCTCCCTGCTACCTTAGGTGCCAGGCTGACTTCCGTCCCGTGTGCTGCCTAAGGTAGGTACCTCACCTCAGCTGGCCTTGCATTGTACCTCAGTTGTACCTAAAGTTCCCAGGTGCATTGCCTAGGTACTTCAGCAGGTACTTTTACCTTTACCTTTACCGACCTTCGGGGGTGCACATACTGCTCAGGCCCAATCCAATCCCGCCTTGGAGCCTCCCCGTCTTCACGTAGCAGACAACGTCCACAGTCTAGTTTCTTCTTTTGTGAGCTGCCCGCCAGCACCATCATCACGACTCCTACCACCACCAATCGACAGACGCACTACGATCAGCGTCGCAACTTCCCACGACCTGACTTTGCACCTTCCTGCCATCTTCTCCACTCTCCAGCACTCTGAGGAAGGAGCCTGGAATCAACTACGCCGGTCCCTCTCCCAAAGACCAATCAGCACGTTGATTGCGCTCACGGCCGACCTGGCATTTCGGCCAGGTCCCCTCCTCTCCTCCGCTCTCTTCCCGCTACATCAAAGTCGGTCTGGATCAGCTTGGCCAGTTCAATCACTCCTTCATCGATATCTTATCCGCCCTCCCCTTGACGCCGACGGCTCACGGCTACCCCGTCTTTTGGACGATTCGATCGACCCCGCCGCCGCCGCCGCGTTCGCAGCCTTTGATCATCCCGCCGTCCATGTTGGCGTGCTGGGTCGCGATAGCTTTCCAGAGCGGTACGATATAGGAAGCCTCAACGAAAGGAAGCTGGTCTGTTCTCTTCCAAGACGGACGCCTCCGCCCTCCGCACCCACAGTCCGCAATACTATCCATGGTCCCACATCCAAGATCGGGATCATTCTCTCCACATCCTTCACAGACTGTGCAGACCGGAGCCGGGCACTCGCCTCATCCATCGCAATCCGCTGCCTTCAGCGCGGGCGCAAGTCCAAGTACGAGTAGTCCGACAGGACCCAATCCCTTGGTCAAGATTGCCGTCGCTCAGGTTTATCTCCTACTAGGTACTATCAAGGAGGACAGCAAGTGGGAGACACAAGCAGAACAATTGCAGAAGGTACGCACACGATCACGTTGTTCATTGTACAAGTGCTGTAAATTCGCTCTGTTTTTTGGATCCTTGCGCTGACGCCTTTTGTTCTCTGCTCCAGCTCATCGATGATCACGGGATGGAGGTTTTCGCAAAGTATTTTACGCGCCTCGTCGCGGCTCATGCTGGCCAGATCTTCCTGGGCCAGCCGCGCCCTGGCGGCAATGGCAACTTCCACCTTCTCATGAACGAGATGAAGAAAATTTCCCACGACGTTGACCAGGCCAACAAAATCGCCGAATCCATCGAGACGGGTACAGAAGACATATTCCGCGACTTCGACATGTCGACCTTTATGGAGGCGTTCAAGCTCGATGCCCTTGAGAAGACAATACTCGCCTTGGCCTTCAAAATGGGATCAAGACCCGACCTCAAGACGAAAGGTAGCCTCGCTCAGATTCTTTTTCGCCCCAGGTTCAAAGCTAACTCTTCTGGCCAGCTGATGCTATTCTGTCGACCAATTTCCCCACCTTTATCAATATTCTGAATCAGCGCGGCCACGATGACCATGCGGACCTGACCGATTCTTTCATCGCTATCCTCGTCGATCGCTTCATCCAGTACCAGCCTCCCAACCTCAACGCTGCCGCAAAATCCGAGCTCGTCTTTAAAGTACAGGCAAGATGGCATGATGCGCAGGCTCCCCCGCCATCCGAGGTGCTCGCGGCGCTCGATCTTGTGAGGGTGCTGGCTGACAAGCCCCCCAACGCGCTGGCCACCTATATCCAGAGGACTGGCATCGATTTCACGCGGGATGTGGAGGCCTGTGTCTCCCTTCTACAAAACCGGCCTCAACACATTCAACTCAGCGAGGAGCAAGTATCGATCGCCCTGACCTACACCACGATCAGTCAGACGCCGCAATACGACCCATCGATTCTCGCAGCAGCTCTTCGCCGTGTTCTGTCCGCCAGCTTTAGATGGCAGGACGTTGTGTCATATTTCGATCACAGATCGGCCAGAATTTCATCGCGACAATTCCTCCGACTGTACAACGCTCTGCTGCCGATTGCCCAAGACGACCCCAGTTTTGACATCCAGAAGTTGTGGGGTGGAAACTGGGAACATCCGGAGACACAACTTTCCTTCATCTGCGCCTTCGCCTCACTCCAGCCCGATCAGCTAGACGCCAGCTCCATCCCGGGTCTAGTGCCGACACTCACCTTGGATAACTACACGCAATCGCCCCCGGAGGTACAACAGCGAGCAGCTTTCGCGGTCAAACACGCGCTGGTGTCGGTCGAAGCTTTGTCAGCAGTCTTCCACGTGGCCCTTCACTCGGTACACGCGTCGCAGAGTGTCGAGGCCAAACGCCTGTTCCAAGAGGTCGTGGTCCCGAATTTGGATATCTTTGTGGTCTCCGCGTTCGGAGTACCGAAGCCTTGGCCGACGATGGCTGTGGACACGCTGAATTCGCTTTTCGAAAGTTTTCTCTACAAGCGGTCGACGGAATACGACTTTGTCCTCGACAGTTTGTGGAAGAAGGACAAGGAATGGGTGGTCCAGCAGCTAATCAATGCGCACGCCGTCAAGCCAACTGACTTGCCGCTCATGTTTGAACATGCCCTCAAGCATAAGTGGCTTGATGAGCTAGTGTATCTGCCGAACGGCTTCGGACTCGATCTTGCTGCTCTTGCGCACGCTGAGGGGTATCTTGATCTGGCCAGTTGGGCTCGCCGTAACGCGGAGAGAAGTCAGGAGATTGCTCGGTCGCTTCTGCAATTTCTTGTCATCAAAGCGAGTCTCGAATTGCAGTTTCAGCGGCCTTTGGACAACCAGCCACCGGTTAAATCGAGCACCACGTTGCAAGTGAGGACCGTCGCTGCTTTCTTGCAGATTCTGGAAGACTTTCTGCCAAAAACCCCCCTCCAGGATCTCATCATGGTCCAGCGGTCATGCATCACCGTCTATCCAAGGTTGATCAATTATGGCGAGGGATTCGACGACATCATCGATGCCAACGGCAAGGACGGCAACGCTTTGCCCCCTGCCGCCAACGCCAAGATGGAAGAGCATTACAAAAGGATGTATGGCGACGAGATCCAAGTCCGTAACATCGTCGAGGTTCTCGATCGATACAAACACTCGCGCGACCCATTGGATCAAGACGTGTTTGCATGCATGATCCATGGCTTGTTTGACGAGTACGCCCACTACGTCGACTATCCTCTTGAAGCGCTCGCTACCACTGCAGTGCTCTTTGGTGGCATCATCTCGCACAAGTTGATATCGGACTTGCCCCTCAAGATTGGCCTTGGTATGATCTTGGAGGCGGTTCGGGACTACATGCCGGAGGATTCCATGTACAAGTTTGGCCTGCAGGCCTTGATGCAGCTCTTCTCTCGATTCAAGGAATGGCCAGGCTTTTGCCGACAGCTACTGCAAATCCCCGGATTGCAAGGCACCGAAGCTTGGAAGAAAGCTGAGGATGTCGTTCGGGATCACGAAGACGAACTTGCTCGTTCACGCAACGGTGCGGGGGCACCTTCACACGGGTCCTCGTTCAGCGCCGAGCCTCTCACGAATGGCAACGCAACCGACGGCAGACCTACGGAACGTCAGCCACCGCCTTTCACCTCCATCAATGCTATGGAGCGTCCACCTGGTGTCGATTTCGAAGAGCCTTCAAGCGATACTCAGGGCAAGATCCAATTTGTTCTGAACAACTTGACCGAGACCACACTACAGACGATGTGTCAAGAGTTGCGAGACATTCTCGATAAGCGACACCAGCAATGGTTTGCCAGTCATCTAGTCGAGGAGCGGGCCAAAATGCAGCCAAATTATCATCAGGTGTATCTCGAGCTTGTCAAGCTGTTTGAGGACAACGTTCTCTGGTCTGAGGTACTCAGAGAGACGTACGTTAGTGTCGCGCGTATGCTCAATTCCGAAGCCACGATGCAGAATTCAACCGAACGATCTCACCTCAAAAACCTCGGTGGCTGGCTGGGACTGTTGACTCTAGCGCGGGACAAACCTATCAAGCACAAGAACATCGCCTTCAAGCAGCTTCTCATCGAGGCTCACGACACTAAGAGACTGATCGTGGTGATTCCTTTCGTCTGCAAGGTCCTCCTGCAAGGCGTTACGTCAACCGTCTTCCGCCCGCCCAACCCTTGGCTCATGGACATCATCCACCTGCTCATCGAATTGTACCATCATGCCGAACTGAAGTTGAACCTGAAGTTCGAGATCGAGGTGTTGTGCAAGGGGCTTAATCTTGACCACAAGAGCATCGAACCGTCGGGAGAAATACTGAATCGTGCGACTGTGGAGGAGCCTCAAGAAATGCTCCCTCAGGAGACATTGGAAACTTTCGAGAATCTGTCTCTGAATGGGATCACCACCGGGGTCACTGCCAGTCTTTCACCCCAGGTGGCGGCAGCCTCTATACCAGATCTCGGACCCCTCATCAATATTCCGCCCACGAATGAGATGGTCGTCACCGCTACTCGTCTCCACGAAATTGTTCGCACCGCTCTGACGCGAGCCCTTCAGGACATCATCCAGCCCGTGGTGGACAGATCGGTAACGATTGCTGCCATCTCCACTCAGCAGATGATTCACAAAGACTTCGCTACTGAGCCTGATGAGAGCAGGGTCAGGACGTCGGCAATCAACATGGTCAAAGCTACTGCTGGCAGCCTGGCCTTGGTGACTTCGAAGGAACCCCTCAGGGCGAACTTTACCAACTACATGCGCAACTTGTCGAACGACCTACCCCAAGGTCTCCCAGAAGGCACGATCATTATGTGCGTCAACTCCAATCTTGACCTCGCCTGCAACATCATTGAAAAGCAGGCTGAAGAAAGAGCCATTCCCGAAATCGAGGAGATGATAGAACCGGAGTTGGAGGCCCGTCGTCGCCATAGGCTACAAAGACCCAATGACCCTTACGTGGATGCCTCTCTCAGCCGATGGGCCTGGACTATACCCAACCCATTCAAGCTGTCCCCCAACATGGGCGGTCTGAACCCGGAGCAGATGGCCATTTATGACGACTTTGCCCGCCAGCCGCGGACGACCACTTCGAACGCTCCTTCCCACGTCCCGTCAGCATCCGATGCTACTCGCTCTCTTGCCAACGAGGTTCTCCAAGAGCAGTTCTCTGCCGTCCCCAGTTTGGGAGCCGCCGCAGAGGCTCCGGCGGTCCAGCATCTCAACTCGCAGCTTCAGCAGTACGCTCCCGTCCACGCCGGTAGCATGGCCAGCGCAAGACCACAGGCTTTTGCGATGGATGGCAGGGCGTTGATCGAGCGTGTGCAAAAGCTGCTCATGGAGCTCCAGCGGGTAGCGACTGAGGCCCGTGAGGAGCATTTCGCCGACCTCCCCCGGCCCCACCCTGTGCTGGATGTTGTGGACGCTTTAGTTCAGCACATGATCAAGGCATCGCAAACGTCTGAGGAGTTTGCGATTTTTGCTGCTGACCAAATTACTCAGCTTGTTTTCAACCAGGTCGAAGATAATCTGGCACTGGAGAGCCTTGTCCATGTTCTCGAAACAATTAGGAAGATTTCGGGACCAACGCTCAACAACAGGGTGGCCTCGCTGTTCCGTCAGCAGCCCGCATCGACTTTCCTCCATATGCCTCTGCTGGCTGCTCTCTTGCGCACCGATCTTCTGGACTGGAGGAGCATCGACATGGCAATGGCTAAGGCACTGCAGCAAAGAAAGGAGGGCTCGCTGGACTTCTTAGATCAGATGATCGATTTGACTCTGCTGGGTAGCCGACCATTGGCGCTGTATGGTGACTTTGTCCGCACGCTCGAAGCTGCTTGGGTTTGGGTTCAAGACGAACCTGACTCTGCGATGGCACAGCGACTGAGAGCCAAACTTTCGGGCCAGACGCCGCCACAAGGTCTGCCACAAGAGACTGAAGGGTCCCTACAGCAGGATCAGATGGAGTACGTTTTTGAGGAGTGGATGCATCTCTGTAACAACCCGAATGCTTCAGAGAGCTCTGCCATTATGTTTGTTCAGCAAGTTCAAAGCCGAGGCGTCGTCAAAACCAAGGACGATTTGTTCCTACTCCTTCGGGTCGCAATAGACCTCTCAGTGGAACGCTTTGAACATATTGTTCACTCGACGGGTACCTTGACGGATGCGTTCCTCGCCGTCGATGCCCTGGCCAAGATGATCAATATCTTCGTCCGACTTCATGGCGAGCCGGAGTCAGGTTCGTCCACCAGTCGAGCTGTTTATCTGGATTCGATCTTGGCTTTGATCACTCTTGTCCTCAACCATCACCACGTCAAGCGTGCGGAACACTTCAACCAAAGAGTGTTTCACAGGCTTTTGTCCGTACTGTTGTATGAGACCAATACCACTGCAGAAGAGCTTCCCGAGGCGGAGAGGTCAGAGTTGTTCCTTAAGTTCGCGGCCAGACTCGCTGACCTCGGGCCGCGATACCTTCCGGGCTTCGTTTTTGGGTGGTTGTCTCTGCTTCAGCACCGTGTCTTCCTTCCAAACATCATGAAGGAACATTCCGGATGGGCTGCGTTTACCAAACTTATGCAGTTGCTTCTGGAGCATATCGGGGAGCAGATCAAGGCGATTGAGCCGTCCAACGTGGCACGTGAGATTTATCGCGCCACGCTCAAGCTGCTTGTCATACTGCAGCATGACTACGTGGAGTACATGATTACCCACGCGCATCAACTAACGGCCAGCGTGTCCCCTCTTTGCAAGCAACTCCTTAACGCCATCTTAATGGCGGCCCCCCCTCAGACAGAGACGTCCGATCCGCTGTTCCCGGGTCTGCAGATCGATCGTTTGGAAGAGATCAGGAAATTGGCCGGCAGTGTGGATGACTCCGCATCCCAACTGCGAGAATGGGGCTTGCTCGAGGTTCTTGATCATGCGCTGCTGAATGGGCCCTCCGAAGACACACTGGCACACATCGCACGCGCCATTGTCGAGAGCCAGCGCACCGACACTGGTTTTGGATACGTGCCAATCAACGCCAACCTCCGTGTCATTGAGGCCGTCACTCTCCACGTCGGCAACTATGCAGTCGAGCAAGCCGCCCAGAAGAACACCGAGCCGTTCAACCCGGCTTCCTCAGACTTCGCTACCCTGTCTATGCTACTCCACGAGTTGCCCGCTGAGGCTCGGTACTATTTGATTATGAGCATCACAAATCAACTTCGGTTTCCGAATGCCCACACAAGTTACTTCAGCAGAGTTCTTCTGGAGGTATTCGGTCAGGACATCAACGATCCAGAGGAAACTGACATTCGGCAACAAATCACTCGCGTACTTTTGGAGCGCCTCATCGGATTTTGGCCTCAGCCTTTTGGCCTCGTGGTTACTGTTGTTGAGCTGCTCAAGAACGAGAAGTACATGTTCTTTGACCTTCCTTTCGTCAAGTCAAATCCCGAGGTAAGTCCCATGGTCTCCGAACGTCGTCTTCATGTGGGAGCGATTCACTAACATCATATCCAGGTCATCGATCGCTTCCATGCAGTTCTACAGCGGGCAGCATAATCGGTTTGCGCGTGTTAGGGACATGACGTCCAACATTATGAGATACAGGCAAGGCGGCGAGAACGACGCGCCCACTCTGAATAGGCTTACACATGGGGACGCGACGGCAAAAAAAGCGGGCAAAAAGCGTTGACGAATTCAAGAAAAGGATAATAGCGCGACTACACCTGACTCGAGGCGTTCTGCATGGACAATAAGGGACTTAACCTGTAGTAGTATTTACGTCAATAATGTAAGATAACGAGGTTTTGGTACACTGCTGCGGTTCTCGTGCGGCTCTCGTGAAATGATTGTAAATCGACAACATAAAGTGCGCACGTTTAGTGACGCGACTAGTCTTCATCAACCACTTGTTCTGGCACGAACTCGATTTTGGCAATAGCAATATCAGTATCATTGCACGGGGTTTTCCCCCGACATCTCGAGGGGTTTGTATTTTTTTCTCTGCTTATCATCAGGTACCTACTTAGTCGAGGTATCCACGCGGTAGCAGAAGTACCTGATCTTAGACCCCTCACGCCCATGGACGACGCAACCAACACTAACATATTGCGTCGATGAGGTACGGGGCAACGTCTCATCTCCAACAAGCCACGCAATTTTCACTGCATGTGTTGACAAGGCTTGTCTGCGTCTCAAATGGCTTCTCATCAAGATCTCCAAGAACTTCTCCGCGTCATCGCGGCCCGCAAGGTGCCCATGATGACGGCAATGAGCCAAGTCAAGGCACTCCAGGCCGTGAACCTTCGCAGGTAAGAGCATCCGGAGACCAGCGCACTGTGAAGCAACGAGACACAAGCGAATGTTTTTTTATTTCCTTTTTCATATATACTGACACTTGGCAGTATCCAGCAAATTGCAGATGCGGAACCAGACGTGATTGAGGACGCCCTGGGAGATGCCAAAACGGCAAAGGCCATTCAGTCGGCCTGTAAAGCCCATCTAAAAAAGCCGAATACCAAGCGGGCCGGAGGCTCACTTTCCAGAAGCAACGATGGAAAGCGACCTCGTACAGAGAAGCCCACCGGCGATGACGCCAGCGCCGAATCGGCGCAGCAAGATGCAGACAGCTTGGAGGATTCCCTGGCCCTCCCGGTTGTCACAGATGAGAACGAAATCGCCGGCACTTCCGTGCATACCAACCGAGCTCCGCTGATGCTTGCATTTGCCGTCGAGCTGTTGAGATTCACGATGCCTGAACAGCCTCTTTCTAGTCGCCTCAGTCTCGCACAGGCTGTCGTCAGCGCCAACTCGAGGTCTAAAGCGGTCAGTCTCGGGCTGGCTAATGCTCAGGCAGAAGACGGGTCCTGGGGCGAGGGCCAGCCAAAAGTGACGGTCATGGGCAGAAGCATCACTGTTCTCAAACGAGGCGACTATCATACCCAGCAAGAGGGCGACACGACGGCGGCTACAACAACGGCAACTTCAACCCAGCAGAAACAGAGCAGTACTACTACCAAATCGTCGCCGTGGACGACCAGCTCTCAAATTACATTCAAATCATCGACGTTCGTCGCCCGAGTCGCTAACTTGGAACATCCATCCGAGGCGACGTCCCTGATCCGGTCTCTCCTATCTTCCGAGCCCCATCTCCAAACAGCGAGTCACAACGCATGGGGCTATCGAGTGAATCGAGCCGTCCCCGGCGGTGGCGAGACCGGGGACGTACGGGAGGCCTGTGAAGACGATGGCGAGTCCGGATGCGGCGAATTCATATTACGTCTCATGCGAGAGTCCGGCGTGGCTAATGCAGTGGTTGTGCTGACCAGATGGTTCGGCGGTGAGATGCTGGGTCCCGATCGGTGGAGGTTGATGAGGACCTGCGTGACGGAAGCACTATCAGAACGGCTGAGACTTCCCCGGGGGGAAGTCGCACACGATGGCGTTGCTCTGTGGGCGCTGGATCTTCAGAGCATGAGCAACAATTCGATGGGGAAAAGCAGTCAGTCTCGGAGTCGAAATGACTGGAACCAGACCATTGTTGGGGCCGCAACTCATCGACCCGAGTCTGCGAGAGCGTATCTGCTCAAGAGCTTTCCTTCGGAAGACGAGGCAGGCGAGCAGCCTGAAGAAGGCAACAAACCTAAGTCAAGATCGAAGAAAACATCCAAGTCGGATTTGGAAGCCGAAAAGTTGCAGAACCTTGGGCGGCTGTTAGGCGCTCTCAGGTTACTATACGAGAGCTGGGCCTCTCATCTGACGCCAGTTGAGATGGACCGGAGAGCATGGACATGGTACGTGGCGGTCAGGCCGGACGTGGACTCAGGGCCATCGGGATGGGGTGCAAAGGGATCTTTGAATCTGAGCTCTATACTAGACCTGCGACGTGAAGTGAAGGGGAATGCGGCTTGAAGGAGCAGAAATGTATTGTTACTTGGTCAGCTAGGGGTAGCTCAGCCAGCAATGTCGACTCACACGAGGGATTCAATGGGAAAACATCAAAGATTCGACGCAAAATACCATTGTTATTCGGATTTAGAGGATAAATATGAAAAGCCCCGACCAATGTCCAAGGGAGTCCAAGTCCGGGAGTGCCTCCGGGGCAGGATCCGACCCGGCGTGTAAAGCCCCACCCCGTCAGCGGGCTGGCGATAATTATCTTCCGGCACAACGCTTGAGCTTTGGTTGGCATGTTGCCAAATCCCACAACCATAACTGCGAACAAAACAATACTCCGAAACCTCCAGCTTCCGCAAGACAAAAACAAACCCATAGCCCTTGTTGGCTCCGGTCGGACGGACGGTTTTAGAACTGGCGCTCGCTAGGAAGCCGCACAGATGCGTCACGCCATGGGTCTAGCAGGCCGGGCCGCCAAGTTCTCGCCTGCGCGGGGGCTTCTGGCGGTTCCAGCGGCCCTCGGACGACGATCCGCCTCCATTCGAGCTACAAAACCAAAGGGGAAGCCGCCGTCAAGGTTGGGTCCTGTTTCCTGAATTTGCTATCGGTCCTAACCGGCGCAGGACGAACTCTGCGAAACCGCACCCTACTCCCCCTGCTCCTCCTCCTCCTCCTCCTCCGCCTCGGCCGGTCCCCGTGTCGAATCCGGCGCCGAGAACGAAAGATCTCGAGACCGCCGCAGACCTCTTCAAGCAACGCAAGATCCCAATCATCGGCGCCGGCATAGTTGCCCTCTCCCTGGGCGTCTACGTCAGCCTGCTCGTCTCGTCGTCTCTCTCCCAGAAATGCCGAGCTTCGGAACATGGAGATGCGACCCCAACAGGCCGGCCCGCGGTCTTCACAAAAGAAGGAGCTCGCAAATTCGACGACAGCCTCGACGGATCGGAGCGTATGATGGGCATAACATCGCTCCGGCAGAAGCTTGCTGCTGAGGCAACCGGACATGTTTTGGAAGTCGCCATGGGTACTGGCCGCAACCTTTCATTCTATGACTGGAGCCGCGTTGTTCAAAGAGACCTCGTTCCCGAGGACAAGAATGCCCCCGGAAAGCCGGCCTCGGCACCCATGCTTTCCTTCACTGGCGTCGACATCTCGGACGAAATGCTCGGGCTCGCCATTGAGAAGCTTCCCGCAGCCGTCCCCGAATTAAAGGGCAAGGAACCGATCGTCCAGGCGCAGAAATCCAGCACCCAGGGCGACGTGGGTGTTTTTTCCTATTTATCAGACAGGTTGCGGTTCCTTCGGTCCGACATACATGATCTTATACCCGCACCGTCGGCTGGCCCAGGCAAATACGATACTGTCGTGCAGACGTTTGGTCTCTGCAGTGTCGAGAAGCCTGAGAAGGTGGTCCAAAACCTGGCCAGCGTGGTTAAGCCAGACACGGGAAAGATCATTCTCCTCGAGCACGGCAGAGGCTGGTTGGGCGTTCTGAATGGGCTTTTGGACTGGTCGGCAGCCTCTCATTTCGAGAAGTACGGATGCTGGTGGAATAGGGACATTGCCCAAATCGTCGAGGATGCCGCCAAGATCACACCCGGTCTGGAGGTTGTCAAGATAGAGCGCCCAGGCTGGACCCAGCTGGGAACCACTCTGTGGATTGAGCTCAGGGTGAAAAGCATCAGCGGACCTTAGGTCCCTCGCCGCACGCACACTGGCGGTACTCAGCGTCGGCACTGCTCTAGTGTTGCAACGTTCACAACGAAGCAGTCGTCATTCAAGGTTAAGAAAGGAGAGGTTTGTTTTATTTCGTTTCAATCATACCCAGCCTCAGTACTCCTTTTTGTTTTACTCCTAGTACCTGAACCCCAAACACCAAGCTTTTGTAGACGCCTCGCGTCCGATGAGCTGTTGTACATTTACTAATACAAGAAATCTGCTCATCTGCTCTTCCTTTGCCCCCGGAAACACAGGCCAGACAGCCAAGGGCTGGACTGGCCTTGGGTACTCTTGCTTCGTTATCCATACTCGTAATCTTCCACGCATATGCGGTTGGTCGCGACACGACCGATCAATCGTCGGTTGAGTCTTGACATAGCAGCTGTTGATGGGACGCATGTCAACAGGTCCGTGAAATCATGGCACGGTGAATCGAGTTGTGGGACAATTCTCATCTTCACCTTGCACATCACGGCCGATTAACACGAATCCAGCAAACAGTCAAGCTCGTCGAGTTCAATGTTCTCCGGCCTATGGTCCCACTCTAGTAGTGTTCCCAGCTTCAGCCAGCCGTCGCCGTCGGCTTCCTTCTTGGAGGGCATGGTAGCCTTGATGGCCGGGCTAGTCAGGAAGTGGATGGGGGCAGTGCCGCCATTCACATGAACACCCTGCTTCTCGTCGAACATGTTATCGTCACGTGCCGCTTCATAGGCTGAGTGGTCGCCAGCAGCTGCTGACGAGAACTCACGGGCCAATTTGCGTTTCTGGAGCACGTCTGCCGTTTGAGTAAACTCACGTTCGTCCTTTTCAAGAGGAGGCGAGGCACTTCGATGACTTCTTGCATAACGCAGACTGTTGGGAAGTGACCCGACGGGCGTTGAGGGCATGGCGAAGTCGTCATCCCCGTCGTCGAACTCAGGAGACGAGAGGTCGACCTCGGGCGACGGACTCAGCTCCCTTCGGCGCAAGTCCAAGTCATCATCATCAGAACCAGATGCTACACTGGATAATGACGGCGAAATGACGGATCGCTGGAGGAGAAGCGACGCTGCAGAGTCAGGGAATGGTTGCCTCGGGCACGTCGTCAGGTAGAAGTATGTGCGGCGAGGGTGTACTGTTTCCAATTCCTTGGCTACAGGACACGGCGCCAGAGCACTCCAGCAAGACCGCTTGAGGTAAGCAGCGAGGCGCGACGAAACAATGGCACATGGATTGGCAGAGCTATGAACAGTTAGCAAGCCGAGTCAGAGAGAGGTTGAGGTAAGCCAAGGGATGTGAATGGATGCGGGGGGTTGGGGGGCGGGGGAAGGGATGGGGGACGGTGGTGGCGGTGATGATGCGTACTGTTGAACAATGGTCAATTGCTGCGACAAGACGGTCGCCAACTCCTTGACGAGATGAGGTCTATTTGCCGTCGCCTGGAGTTGGACGATGACGGCCTCGACGATCTCATCATTGATGCCTTCCATATCTATTTTTCTTGATGGCACCGCGTCTTCCATCTCGACCGTGTCGTCGATTGTTGGGGATGGCGGTGGCGTGTGCTCCAGCATTGCCTTCTCGTCCGGACGCTTCGACGAGCCGTGCCTTTGCCTTGCCTCGTCTCCATGGGATCGCTTCTGTCTCTTATTCGGATGCGATGTTATCGTAGTCGCTGTGATGGCGATGCGGCTTGGTGTTTGTTCGGAGATGGTTCGACGCGAAGTGGCGGTGGAAGGACTGCGGTGAGCATGGCTACCCGGGACGTGAATCCCAAGGGACGGCAAAGAGAGCGACTTGCGTCGTGTGTTATACGGCATGTTGAATGGTGATGATTGCTGTATAACTTGGGCTAGTGTGACTGATGTTGAATGGGAATGGTAGACAAACAAGATGGATTCTGTCTATGATCAAAACAAGCGAGACGAGAAAGTTGGACGAGGGTCTCGAGGTCCTGGAAGGTGTGGCCCCTGGGTTTAAGGGTCTTGTTTGGGGGGGATGAGATCTACTCGCCGGGCAACGACATAATACTGGGACAGGAGAGCTCGCCCCTTTTTTTTTTTTTTTTCTTCTCTTCCCTTGTTTCCGGTTGGTCGCCCACTCTTTTTTTCCATGCTACCCCTGCTCATAGACGTAAGGAGGTGAACCAAATGGGTAAAGACGGCATGTGCCCACCCTGCATGCCGATGCGCCTCAGAAGAGTTTTTTTTTTGAGTGTCATGTACCTGGGGAGGTACTCCGAGTCACGTGTGTGATAGGCAGGCGGTCTGGCAGAGATGCATATGCCCATCTACTGATTGGCTGAAATTTGCGAGCGCTGTGATTGGTGATTGTTCAATCCCAGTATCCAGACGTCGGTTAAATTACTAACTATTCAGCATTGGTAGCATACTTTGAACGCATACTGCTTTGAACGTTCTACATGCATACTGCATATCTTACCATAAAGAAAAATCACATCGCAATAGTGGCATCCATTCGAATCGTTCGTCCCACTTTGGCGCGGCCGAGTTGAGGAGCAGTTGGCTTCGCTCTTTGGCAATCTAGAGACACTTCGAGTGAGCTGATTTGTCTCGATCCCAGGCTGATAGACAGCACTAAAATACATGGTTGAGACGCTCAAGTGGATAAATGAGATCACTAATTGCGGGCTCACCTCAGATGTGCCAGGGAAACATGGCCATGGGAGAGGTGGGCGTGGATTGTGGAGGCACCCAAATGATGAGCATCAGAATGCCATTCACCGGTGGCTACTGATGGCGTAGTATTGGGATGAAGACCATAATCGGACGAAAACAATGAGATCACGAAGTGAGCACGTTTGCCACAGAGATGACGAAGTACGGACGCAGCAGCTGATTGTGAAGAGCCTTATGATTGAACTACAGTGAGGAAAGAGGCGAAAAGACTGCCTAATAACGACTAAAAGTCATGAAAGCCTGTATCGGCGAGACAATAGAAGGAAATCCCCCCAGTTCATCCGTAGGAAAAAAGAACGATTAACAACAAAATTAAGAACGGCCGAGGGCAACGTTCTTCCAATGGTCGCGCTCAGCCTCAAGCTTGCGAATCTTCTCCTCCAAATCCTCAAATCGCTGCGCCTTGCGCTCACGAGACTTGCGAGCAGCCAAGGTGTTGCGAGCTCGCTTCATGGCGACAGTGTCGTTGGGGTCGTCCACAATGATGGGAGGCAACGGCTTGTCACGCTTACGCGAGTTGACGCCGGCGACCGAAGAGTGGCGACCACCGCCCGAGGGCGGGGAACCACTGGACTTTCGGCGGGCCGAAGCAGAGGTGAATTCAACGACTTCGAGATCGTCATCCGTGGCAGCAGGCGACTGCTCAACTTCCTTGGGCACGTTCTTGGTCGCCGGCTGCGTCTCCTGTTGAGGAAACAGTGGGAACCAAGGGTCGGCAGCACCAGTATCAAAGTCACTGGTACCGAAGTTGGGAGAAACATCGTAGCTGTCAAAGTCGGGAGATTCGTTGTAGATGGAGGGTGAAGTCAGCGCAGTTAGCGCAGTCGAGTTGGGCGCAGACATGAAGGGCTCATGGACGAGAAGGTCCTGAGGCGACACCGTGCCCATGTTGCTGGCCCCGGTGGTGCTACTGCCCAGATCGAAGACGGAGGGCATAGCGGGGGATGAGTAGGTGGTGGAGGCACCACCCTCGAAACCCGTGAAGTCGTCGAGGTCGAGGTCTAGTCTATGTGAGCGAGATGCGGTCGCAGTGTGCGGCTGAGTGAGCATACCTTGCAGATCCATCTTGGGGGTGAGAATCTGGCTAGCGCTCTGAGGAAAAAGCGGCACAGGTGGCCGTTGACGACGGGGTTGGTTGAGAGCAACTGAAGACGATGGGGCTGATGAAGCGTAGAACTGGGCTGATTGCGCTGGGGAACCAAGCCTGTTGGAAAACACCGATGGAGACCTAGAGTGATCTGCCGCCTGAATCTGGGCTACTCGTTGGTTCTGGTGGACGAGAGACGTGCGACCCTGTTGTTGATGGCGGAGATGATGAGACGAGTGACGACGTTGGTTCAGACCAAAAGTCGCAGACTGTTGATAGCTGTTTCTAGGTTGACGCGGTGGAGGCTGATCGAACAAGACGAAGTCCTGTTGGGGCTGCTCGGGGCTGAACTGATGTTGTTGTTGATGCGCGGGATTTGCCGGCAGGCTGGGTGAACTGGAGGGAAGCCATTGTGATTGGGAATCCGTTGTGAAGACTGGGAAGTCTTGCGAGTGAATGGTGAAGGAGGAACCTGAGCGGAGGCTTGTGATAGCTGAGCTAAGATTCAGATCGACCTGGGAAGGTTGAACTGAAGGTTGAAGTTGAGTGGGGAGAATGGTTTTATGAAGTTGAGACGGAATTTTGTCTGAAGAGGGAGAAACGGCCGGGAAGGGCGGTTGATTTAACGCATCTTGAAGAGCCTCTATGGCGATGTTGACTGGTGATGTGTTGTGGTTAATGGTGATGTGGTGGGGGAAAAAAGAGGAAGTTGTGGGAGGGCTTCGGGCGAAGGACTAGCTTTTGTAGCCTTTCAGGCAACTCCAGGCCAAAAGAACAAACGCGAGGCGAAGGGCGCGATTGGCAAAGCCCTGGGGCTGCAGCGGTACAGAGCCAAAAGGTACCTGTAGGCTGACCAAGGCATTCTCCAACCGTCAAACGGCCCGCAAGCTGGCCAACATATGGCTGCCGTGTACGGCGATTGGATGTATTGCTAGGCGTCCTGCTCCGCCCAGAGGAAGGACGGCGTAATCCCTGGTCCGCGCTGATGTGTGACTCACACTTTTCTAACGCCAGCCCGCATACGGACTAGCACCCACGCACCGCACCTGCCGCAGTCACAGTGCGTCGCAAAGTCGCGCAGGACAGCCTGCTTGCCCAAAGACATTTTATATCACGGTTTATTGTGCGCATTCATCTACACTGAGATTCTTCTAAATACATTGAATAACTTACCAACCAGTACTCCTCAAGATACACAAATTGAATGGCGGAAGTACTACTTTTGCTCCGACTTGGCGTCAACAGACGTGAGTCCGGCCGGCTTACACCAGTCCGACATCCACCACATGCCGTACAGTGTCAGATTCAGTTGGTTGCCTGTTTGTGCGGTCCCGGCTCACCAATCCAAACCAAAAACCAACCAACCTGGAACTTCCTTGGCTGCGTTGCTTGCTTACGGCGAAACGTATCCATCGTCGTACGCCCTGTCCATTGGAAACCGATAAACTGGCCGGCCCATGATTGGTGGCTTCGCCGGCCAGCCCAAAAGGGAAATGAAGGTCCAAGGAAGCCGGTGAATTCACGGATGGACCGGGTACGAGTTCCCCTTCAACATCACTTCGTCGTATGCGCGATACGTGTCCCAGCAATTGACTACGTGCCTGCTGGCATAACGCTCAATCAACATACATATTTTCCTGCTCCTGTTTTCTCCGAGTCGCGCACCGACGAGACGCTGTGGCCGCCGCCATCAACCAATAACACGTCTTCGTGATGCCCATTGCCCACGACCGTCACCGCAATGTCTGGTAACCAAGTTAAGTTACTCACAACACGAATGTCTCGGCCAGCCACGCAAAACGCCGGAGAACTAAATTATTTCAACACAACTCTTTGATCTGCAGACCCATGGCCAATCACTGAGGCCAATTCATGCCGAGTCGTGTGTCCGCGTCCAGGCCCATGTCAAATCCCATGCCAGTTTCACCTCGGTGACTCACACTTCCCCGAACTTCTCCCCGCAATCCGATCTGCTGCATTTAGGATCCCGGGAGCCTTGGTGTGGTCCAACTTGCCTGCACATGGACGGAGTTGCGAACCACCAATACCTCAAAATGCGCTCAAGCTCCAATATTCTCAGCCGCATCTTTCGTCATTAACTTCTTTCAGTCTTCGACGTAAGCTACACAACACCGGTCCATCCCATCACGAGTAACTTGAGATACGAAGACTGCTGCTTGATGCCGGTTGCTGATTCTCATTATTTGCGGACGGTCGCTGCATGTCCTTCCTAACAGGCTGAAAGTGATCCTGGAGCTGTCCGCTACGTCTATAGTCTACCTACAATACCGAGTTGTGGTCTTCCCAAACCCAGATCCTAAGCCAACCGCTCGGACATTTTGTCCATCAAGAAATATTTGGTGAGAGACTGTCTGCCCTTTAGCCCTTATTCAGGCGGCATTCGCCCAGACCTCCACGACGCCCACGACGGCCTATATCCCTCTGCAGGCGACGTCAGCGGAGACAACATACGCTGCTTTGCGATGGCATCCTCTGCCCAGTCTGTCAGCTCACGAGGTGAGCTCTGCCTTGATGCCTGCTTCTCGTCAAGCATACGCAACTGGATCGTATGCGGCTGCCCGTTGCCCCATAGTCAATTTCCAGCTGCCGTTATTTGCTCGCTTTGGCGGTCTCCTTCGTTTCGGGTCTCCATAATTTCGTTGTCTACGATGTCCTTATTCCCATCCCGGAAGTCTCTCATCAACAGAAGAAATCGTGAGTTCTTCCACTTGTCACCTTGCTCATGTTGTACCGAGTCTAGGATCTGTCGCGCAGCCTCCGATATCTCCGATGGCCTTTGGCTAGTAGGCTCCGCCGATGTCGATTCAAGCGTCTCGTTGATGTCAAGCCGTGACATGTCAGGCAGATGATTTGGCTCAAGTCGAGCATCAATCACACTTCCGTGATCGTCGACGATGCCAACGTTCTGAGCTAGAGACGCTTCTCGACTGTTTTGCCTCGCAGACTGCTCGGCTGCCAAAGAATTTTCCAATGATGCCTCTGCAGTGCTTGCCGAAGTTTCAACGTTTTGTTGATCTTGTGGTTCTTGAACACCTGCTTGTTCCTGCTCCAGCTGGCGCGCAAGCTCCTCCATGATTGCGTCAACGTCCTCGATTTTACCGTCTCCGTGAGCTGCCATCCATCGATCCATTTCCTGGTCGAAATCAGCCTGCGCAGTAGCCGCATTCATCGTTCCTTGTTGACTGGCTGTTGCGGGCCCGCCCATGGAGCCGAAGAATGAGGGTCCGGTGGAAAACGCCATGTTTGGTGCAAAGCCGGCTGGGCGGTACGGTTGATGTTGCATGCCTGAGTAGGCGGGCGCATGATTCCCAGCACTCGCGTTGCCCTGGGAGAACATCGCGAAGTCCTGCGCCCAGTCGGATGCCCGGGGCAGCGCACTTGACTGGTGTTGAGGTATGTAGGCAGCTGGTGTCGGTATTTGAGGAGCAGATTGAAAAGGACCCGGCGAGAAACGTCGCCCATGTTGTTCTGCAAGATGCGGTAACTGTAAAGCTAGGCCATCCGGCATGGGCGAATTCTGAGCGGGGATCGGACTGGAACTGTTCGAGGTCATGAAGGCGCCGAAGGCATCTTGGGCCTGGGCTGAAGAGTTTGGGGCGGCCGATCGAAAGCCCTTTGTATTTCGTTAGCACAACGCAAAAGAGAAGCAGATCTAGACAAAGCACCAACATGATGAGAACTGTGCGCTGCGGAAAACCGATCCTGATGCAGGCTCCGGTCTTGCGCGCCATGGTCGACAAGACTCTTGAAAGGCGTCGAGCCGCTGCAAGAGCTGTCGCCCATCGTGTCGATTAAAGCTGGGCTCGAATGCCGAGTGATGGAAAAGATTCGAATCGCAGGTTGTCCTTATGCGACTTGGACCTTGTGTATGGTCTTAAGCAAGACAAGATGTCGCTGATATGTAAGGCGAGTCCCGCGGAAGTGGAGGTGCAAAAGCAGTCTACAATGAATGAACGATAGTTAAAAGCCGACTGTAATACCGGAAAGTGCCCCGCGTAAAGTCGCGGAGATATGTAGGAAGTTGGTCTTTGGTAGAAAAGGCATCGCGAAACATTTGGAAGTCCTGCGGGCAGGAGACAACGTCCTTGTGAATGACGACCGTTGTACAGAATCGGCCTACCTCGGCACAAGGCGGTACGTACTGTTCTTCGCCTGTCGAGTGTGATCCGACTCGCGAGGTGGCGGGGCACGTCACGTGTGCCGTGGACCGTCGGCGGGAGTTTCTTCGGAGCGGCTGATCAATAAAGCGGACTGGAGGGAGTCCCGTCACATCCAGATTGGACCTGACGGGACCCGGCTTACTGGACGATGTGGATACCGGACGGTCACCGCCTGCTCTATGTGGTCCCTTGCTCAATGGAAGCCACCTGAGGCACGGTACTTACTCACCAGCCAGTAGATACGCGCTTGCCTATGTACTCAGGTACCATTCATTTCAACGTCAATTGTGGCCAGCTTGGATTTAGGTGCCTCCTACCTTACCTACCTAAAGAGCTCCTGGATTAGGTGGCTCATAAGATATCCACGATCCTGCTACACCACCACTACCACGGCGCAACCTACCTCATTCTTTGAATATTCAAGTCGGTCTCGAATAAAGCAAACCATTCCCTCGACAAATACTGTCTGCAGGCCATCTCCTCCGCAATGGTTGGCGACCCTTCCCCGCCGTCATGGCTCCCAGCTAATCAAGATGTTCTGTAGGCGTCCGCGCAGGTTATCTCGAACTCTGGTCATGATGACATGATTGTGAGTGCACACAAATAGTACCCTTCTCATTGCGCTCTGCCACGCAGCCGCAGAAAGTATGGCCATCTGTTCGTGTTCGCGACAGCCCAGACGAGCTGTGCAGGCACTTCAGATGGCATGGCAATGCACGGCACAGGAAAGGTCGCACACGAATGGACAAGCGAGCTAACAATTGATATTTGCGCAGCACGATGCCGTCCTCGACTACTACGGTCGTAGACTTGCGACATGCTCCAGCGACCGAACGATCAAGATATTCGAGATTGAGGGCGAGTCCCAGCGACTCGTAGAGACACTGAAGGGGTATGCCTCCTTGTTCATCAGTACACCGCAGACTCGACTCGGAGCTGACAGATAGTAGCCACGATGGTGCAGTCTGGTGCGTGTCCTGGGCGCACCCCAAGTACGGAAACATCTTGGCCTCGGCAGGCTATGACGGGAAGGTCTTCATCTGGAGAGAGCAGAACAACCAATGGCAAAAGATCTTTGACTTTGCTCTGCACAAGGCCTCTGTCAACATTGTCTCCTGGTCACCACACGAGTCGGGATGTCTTCTTGCCTGCGCCTCCTCCGACGGCAACGTCAGTGTCCTCGAGTTCCGCGACAACAGCTTCGACCACGTCACCTTCCCCGCCCACGGCTTGGGCGTCAACTCCGTGTCCTGGGCCCCAGCAACGGCACCAGGCAGCATCGTCAGCAGTTCCCCGGGCCCCGGCTCTGCGGGCGTCAGGCGTTTTGTGACGGGTGGTTGCGACAACCTGCTCAAGATCTGGGTCTTCGACTCGGCATCGCAGTCTTACAAGCAAGAGCAGGAGCCGCTGCAGGGCCACACGGACTGGGTGCGGGATGTCGCCTGGTCGCCCACCGTTCTGCAAAAGTCTTACATCGCCTCGGCCTCCCAGGACAAGACGGTTCGCATTTGGACCTCAGATTCTTCCGGCTCGGGACAGTGGAACTGCAAGGTTCTCAACTTCGATGCCCCCGTTTGGCGTGTAAGCTGGTCGTTGAGCGGTAACGTTCTGGCCGTGAGCGGCGGCGACAACAAGGTTTCTCTTTGGAAGGAGAACCTGAGGGGCGAATGGGAATGCGTCAAGAGCATTGAGGAGTGATTCAGGTGTCAGCACGACATCACGAGCAAGGCGTTTTACGGAAAATTTAGGGCATAGATGTGTCAACTCACGATTGATTGACCTCCTAGTACTCGACGTCGTTTTCTTTTGGAGCCGAATATACCTACGTCTTGGCTGAGTTTCTGGTCTCACTATGTCGGCAATCCGCTCTCTCACATCTTCGGTGTCTTGCCAATTGTGATCGAGGCCTATCTCAAATCACCCGACGACCCCGGTGCCACAACATATTTCTCCATGTGCTTGCTTCCACTAGAACACGTACAAGAGCGTTGCCAAGTCATGTTTACCTGCAAGACTACCAATCCCAAGCCAACTCTAGAAGCACCAAAACATGACTAGAACAACAGGCCGAACACACCAGCACCTCCAAAGGCGAAAACAACCGCAGCTGCAAAGCACCCAAATAATGCAGAGTGTTGTGGCACCAGGCTTGCCGCAGCGTCAGGTGAAGATGTCGGACTAGTTGATGCGGTGGGAGTTGAGACCGACACATCCGATCTCTGAAGCACGTAGATTTCCCCCGTAGAATCAGACGTCATGAACAGCCTGCCCTTGTTGTCCCACGCGAGCCCGACGGGCCTGAAGCATTTACTCGGGCAATCGTTCAGGTCAGCATTGCTCAAGATGTCCGTCGTCGAGGTCTGGCTGTCGGCGGGATCCGTGGGTGCGCCGTCAGAGAAGCGGATGCTGGACAGCTTGTATCCGACGGGTTCATCCCGATTCCCTTTTGGTAATGTCAGCCCTACTAGCTCATTACCACCATTGCCATTTATTACTCACAGCTTCCATGGAAGGTAACGAACGCTTCCGAGCCGTTCGGTGTGAACTTGATATCCAGCGGAGCCGTGTGCGCCTGAAATACCAGTCTGGGCGAGACGTGCTGGGAGGCGCAGGTGGTATCGTTGAGCGTCCGAGACTGCGCGAGCGTGAACTGGTCTCCCGTCTTCATGCTGCCCCTGTTCGGAAAGCCATCGGTCGACCACATTGCGAAGCAGTTCGGGTACCCGTAGTTGCCTCCCTGGTTCTCCGTGGACCCGTTGAGGAAGCCGTGGAAGTTGAGCTCTTCGGCCGGGTTGTCCCGGTGTATGTCGACCCCGTCCCTCTGCAGCTGGTCCGCCGAGTTCTCGACCGTGTAGATGCCCCCCGTGACCGGCTCCTCCGCGACCCCGACCGAGTTCCGCAGTCCCCATCCCATCAGAGTGCCTTGAGTCGCGAAGTCAAACGGCCGCGAACCGTCGTTGAGGCTGCCGATGTCGAATGCGCGGAGCTGGGAGTGGCCTGTTGATTGCACTGCGGCGTCATCGTCGATGTTGGATGCGCTGCCTCTCGACACCAACAGCGTTCCTGGTCGCTTTGCGGACAGGAGGAGAGTGCGCGTCGTGTGGTCAGTGTTGGACATGTTGGTGACGAGTGTCTTGTTGCCATCTCCCACGGTGCCGGCCTCAGCATCATATGACCATGAGAATACACTTTGAGATGTGGAGGCGTAGAGGGTCTTCCCGTCAGGCGATATCGCAATTCCATGGTTCAGCTTCCGGTGTGTCAGTTCATGTCCGAAGCCAAGTGAAATGAGATGTTGCGGGCAGGAGATATCTCACATCGGGAGACTCGATCAACGTTTGCTGTTGTGCTACAGATAAGCAAGTGCCTCCGTCATCCGTCAGCTGTAGTCGCTTTATCCCTGACCTCGAGTCCACGACTAGCAACGCTCCTTTACTGTCGAAAAGTATACTCCTAGGACGTGTGAGCCCGTTGGCCACCAAGCGAAACGACCAGCCCCCAGCAGCGATTGGTGTCTTGTAATCTGCCTTGAGTTCATTGCGGCAGTTTTGTGCCAGCACTGGCAGTAATTGCGATGCTATGAAAGCATACGCGTATATGAGATATACCATGGCGACACGGCGTGGTGTTTTGAAGTGTTCGGAGGCCGGATGTAGCTGGCTGGGTGACGTCAATGTTGTTCGAGTGGAGATGTTGTTGGACGAAATCACCGCGCCTCATATAAGTGCAGAGCAATGACAATCGATGGAGGGATTCCGGGGCTTTTCTCGAAGAGGGGTTCAGGCCTTGCTAGGATAAGGTGAGCGAGGACTACGCATTCCCCGGACGTGAGTTGTCTGGCCAAGCACGGGATGCTAAAACCTGCCCGTCCTTGCGTTGCTTGGCTGTCGTCTTGGAATTGGAGAAGTACGATTATTCCAAACGATCGACGATATAATACAGGGGAAAAGAAACAACAACAGTCAGGGGGGGGGGATATGCTTGCCGCCGCCAACTTATCAACACGACTTTATTGCCTGTTTAATTCAAGCGAAGACTCGTGGACCTAAGATCACGGTTTGTAGAACAGTCGGGAACGAGCGTGGATTGAATATGATGACGGCGATTTCTTCACTCGCGCACTCGGAGGCCGTTGATGGTGGCCCGAGTACGGATCCCATTGGCGAGGTGAGCTTCTAGCACGAAACAGCCAAGACCAGCCGTCCAGCTTAGCACCCCCTAGTATGCGGCTTGCTGTCATGGCGGAACACGTTCAACATCTTCTTCTCGCGGCAACCCTCGAGCACAGAAGCGTTCTAAGTAGATTTTATTTCATCGCCGTCGACCTGTAAAGCGGAACACGTCACGCATCCTGGGCCGTCGCATGGAACCATTCCTTCAGTCCACCTTCCCAGACCGCGCCTTCGATTTGTTAGCACAGGGAAAGTCAGGAAGCCTTCAAATTCTGCACCAAGTCTTGTTACCTCAACCGGCTAGGATATCAAATTGAAGACAAGGCTGATATATAAGCGTCGAATTTATGTATCTCTGTAATTAGTAGACGCAAGGAAACCAACAATTTTGCCTGCGAAGTCAAGTTGCGCTACACCTTGACGCCAGATCTGCTATCTTGCCGCCCCAAAATGAAACACGCCATCTTGCGTATGCGTCCCTTAACGTAGGCCAATGACGCTCATCTCCAGCGTCCAGACGCGTCTAATCCAGACCTTGAGCTTACCCGGAACGCCCTCGACGTTTTCAAGTTCGACCCCTTCCCACCAGCATCGCCTGGCGGGCTTGCGCCAGAAAAGAAGAAGCTTCTGCGCCATACCCACGGCATTGCTCCCCATGTCGTTTCCACGAATGTCACTACGCAACCGCGCAAGAGCCAGACTGCAAACAACGGCCTTGTTTGGCTCACCAGCCCTGTGGCCCCAGTTGTCATCATGATTAAATCCGCTATTGCTAACGATCAGTCTCGTTTCGACGCGTGACAACGGAACGCCACTCGAAGGATAGACTCACCCTGCCGTCAACATCTCAATAAGATGCGCCTCCGTAGTACCCGGCTCGTCGCTTCGCTTCAGGCCAGAGAAGATACCGCTTTGCTGAAGCAGCGCTTTACCCGCGGCTCGCTTAACCTCCATCATCTCTGGTTGTGTGATGTCCGCTCGCGGGGGAATGACATAGAAGTCCAGATCCTCTCTCAAGACAATGATGCCTGCGCGTTTGGATGCATCATCTCTCGATTCCAAAGGATCGGCAGCTGAGGCAGTCTCTTCTTGTGAAGCGGTAGGCGATGTCTCGGCTGGTATCGATTGCGCAACGGTGCGGAAGAAATCAAGCATGTACTGCAAAGATGCCGGGTCATACTAGTGATTCAAGTCAGCACTGGGCTTTCTTGAGCGCGACACGACCGGCACATACGTCTACCTGTACCGCATCGCCTTCAGCAAATCCTCCCATGTGCCCCTCGGGAAAGAGTCCGTTTGGGAACAGAGACAGAAGAACAAATTCAGGCAGTGTCAGGAGTTCGTCTCTGGACAGAACAAACCTGGTACCTCTGTGAAGACCGTTGTCAGTAGCGTCACCCAGGTTGGCGGAAGTCGAAGCTAGACTCACCGAAGGTCCATGGCGATGGTCTCGTCGGCGCCAACATCTGGTCGTGGATCAGTCAACAATCTTGCACATCATGGAGTGGCGGGAACTCACCTCCGATCGCATTGATGGGCGGACCCCCTTGTTGTACCTGAGTAATAATACTCGAGGCGCCGCCGGCGGTAGCCATGAGGAAGGTGAAGGATTGGAGAGGACTGGGTCCCTCCGAATAAGCTGGTGGTGGTTCGGCGTCGTCGTCCTTTGCGGAAGAGCCCCCCTTTGTATCCTGGGGAAGCGCGCGCTTGGTTTCGGCAAGAGCCTGGTCGAAAGAACTCGAAGTCGCTACGTCACTGGAAAAGAGCGAAGGTGTGGGCGCGTAGGCTGGAGCTGCGAAAGAAGATTCGGCAGTAGCAACGTCGGCGTTACTGGCGCGGCAAAGTTGTTGATTGACGGGGCCAGTCTCGGAGGAGCCGTAGAGAGAAGAGAATGGCGGTGGCCGCGAAGTTGAGGCCTCGGACGCGGGGTATTGAGGTGGAGGGGAGAGTGCTCGGGTAGTAGATGTTCTCGCTTCTTGGGTTTGCTCTTGGTCTTGATCTTGATCTTGGTCGTCTTTCCTTTCGAGATGGAGGTTAGGTTCTCCTGGGAGGGTGGTGACTGTAAGCCGGGCGGACACGGGTTGCCCGTTCCTGGCGTCTTGCAAATCTGGCAACGTGGTGGCGGTTTCGGGATTGATTCGATTCTCGGATCGTCGCGAGGCGATGCTTGCAGTCGCGAACTGCTCTCGAACAGTGTACAGCAACGGTGCCTCGGATAATGTCGTTCTTGTTGTCGTTGTCGGGCGGACCTGGGCTAGAACGAGGCTGGCGATAGGTGGATTGTTGAATTGACGAGGTGGTAGGACGGTGTAGGGGGTAGGTAATCAATGGTCTACTAGTTTGTCGCTCTGCAACATGAAATGGCGTTTAGGGGGTATCGGCTGGGCGCATCTATTCCGTAAACCGGCGGGACAAAAGCCGTATCGCGCAATGCAAGAGTCGTCGTTGTCTTGGTCGAAGGAAGGGGTCACTGGTAAAATGACAGCAGGAAATTGGGATGCAAGTACTGTCGGGTCGGTTTGATGAGGTCGGAGCAGACATGGGAAAGGATGGCGGTTAAGACGTGAATGGGGGGGAGGAACGGTCCCCTGAGCGCACCGTGCCTTGAGACCTATCCCTGCTTCGTAGACTGTGCTAACTTGCTCTGGTCTAGCGAGATCCCCCTCCAAAGTCCAAACCAGTGAACCCTCCAAACTCCAGCCCCCCTCTGATGGCCCCCTTGTCATTGTCGTTGTCCATCACATTTTGAATCTGGGCATCACTGACTCTAGCCGCCCATAACGTCCATGTTGCAGAGTACCCATGCCTATTTGTTTGCTTCAAGTCCCAAGTTCACTGCAGACGCCAAGCTAAGCAGTCAGATCACTGGGGAGCAGCAGAGGCTTATTCTTACTTCCCATTCTGCATTAGGTGGTCGTTTTCGATGCAAGTATCACGTTGGCGAGCACGAGGCAGCAGACTTACAGACAGAGCGAGAGACTCAATGAGACTGGCCGACACTTACTTCATTCATCTTCGTCACTACTATCACCGAAGATGGCCCTGAAAACCTCGTCACTTGGCCTTGTCGCCTCACTAGCCGGGTCCGATGCTGGCTTAACAGCCTCCCCTAAACTCGGCATAGCACCCGCTGCCACCGTCTCTTGCCGCGAACCTGGCTGCGCGTCCATAATATTCGCGGCAGCAGGAATAGATAATACGGGGCTCCGCATCGATGCTGTCGCTGTCGCCGTTGCCGTTGCCGTTGCCGTCGATACACCCGACTCTTCGTCTGGCTGCACATGTGCGGGCGGCCGGACGTTGAAGCGTTTGCAGAGCAGCCTGGTAGGGTAGAAATCTTCTGTCAGTCTGGTCATTCGCCCGTACATGCCCATCTTGGCAGCCTCTTCAGCGGGATCACGTGGCTTGGTCGACGCGACGGTCTGCCGGCCTTCATTATCAGATACTGCTTCCGACCCTGCCCCTGTCGAGACCTTGGATCCCGTCGAGGCCGTTGTGAACCTTGAAGCCATGAACCCCGTCATCGGCTTGAAAAGTTGTGCGCACCCGTAGAACTCCTGGACCTCCTTGAGGTAGTCATCATCTGTCATGTCTGATGGCTTAACGGGAGAACCGCCGAATCCGGCCGCGCTTTGTAGATATAGTCGATAACGTCTGCGTTTTGCCTCGTTATCCGCATACGGACCCCCGGCACCGGCCCCGCGGCTCATCGCTGCGACGGCGGTTTCTTTATCCAGGCTGGGCAGATTTCTCAGTCTGTCTTGCAGCTGTTCAGCCGGGCGTGCCCAGTCGGCTGGGATCTCTCCTTTCGCCGGAGGCAGGTTGGACTTGCCCGAGGCCGCAGCTAGACGGTCTCTGGAAGAAGTTGACATGTAATCAAAGACCGACTTGCCCGGTAGAGATGCTTCTCCAAGTATCGCTGCCCGAGACTTAGGATCGAGCTGAGCGGCTTTGGCAGCATCTGCCGTTGAGACGTACGTCGCCGTTGTTGTGGATGGCCTGAGCCTCGCCGATATCCAGCCGAGAGGAATGGCGGGGGGCGTGTATAGCTCAGCCATGTGATCCGTCATTTCGCCTGATACTCGGCTGAGGGTGAAGCTGTTCAAAGGTGGCCTTCCATCTAGACACCTTCCCTTGTCGCGAGCCTTGGCGACGGAGGCTGGCTTCGAGATGAAGACGGGCTTGGACCTCAAAGTTGGGTTTGCAGATACACTGGCGTTTGCCGTCTTCTTTTTCCTCTTTGCCTTATCTCCGCCAAGAACTCGATTGTATGATATTCGGGGTCCCATTTCATACGGGTCCTCTTCGTCAGAGCCCGTGTCGTTCAGGACACCGACCCCGAAGCCTCCGCGTTGTGCTTGCTTGCTCTTCTTTTTACCTGACGACCCAAATGATAGTTTTGGTCCAGTTGTGGAGTCTTCGTCTTCTCCTTCATCAGCTTCGCCAGTCTGGGCTTCATCGTCGCGATATGCGTAGGCGGCAGAAGGATCCCTTGCGCCCTTGGAGCCAGACATTCGTGAAAGGCGAGTTTCGCCGTCAAAGCCCAATCCCTTTCGGTCAGCCTTCCGAGAGAAGGCAATCATATCAACGTCGTCCGGGGCGAAAAGATGGGTTTCCTCCGCCGGCGTATGAGAAGCGCCAGGCATGTCCAGGCGGGCTTTTCGCCGTATTTTTGGGCCGATACCCTGACCGTCTTTCCAGCCCATTTTCCGCAAAAGTTTCAGGCCCATAGTGTCGCCTTGGTTGCGCATCAGTCCAGCTAGGCCGAAACCGTGACGCTGGCCAGGCTCTGAAGCTCCCAGGGCAGCAAAAGGATCCGTAGTTCGAATGTCCTGAGCAGCGGCCGCATCTGCAAGATCCTCGTCGTCCATATAGTCTTCTGGTCGTTGCGAAGCTACTTTAGGATCATCTTTTCGGCGACTCGTACGGCTGGACACGAATGTCGAGGGCGTCCATCCATCCTTTGATCCGACAGTGTTGAAGTAGCTGATGATGATTGTTAGAGTCAATTTCGCTGGACGTAGTGAGACGGGAGAACTCACCCTGCGCTCCAACCTCCAGTAAAGGCGCCATGAAGGCGTCTCCTCCCGCGGTCGTCTCTTACCTCCTGTTTGTGGAGTGGAACATACGACCCGTCGTCGCGGACATGGGAGTCTAAGGGGGGCAACGGAGTGCCAAAAGTGACGTGGATGGCGGCCGCATCGTGCAGGTCGGCCTCGTACGCCGCGCGCGACCTTTTGGTGTGCGCCATCAGGTCGGCGACATGAATGAATTTGACGGCGAGGCTGCGGGCGACGGAATCGAGCAGCGGGATCTTCTTCAGCCCTGTACGTAGTGGTTCAAGGTCGGCTGCGTGGCTTAGCTAAGACAAAGCGACGGTAAAGCTCTTATCGATAAGATAGTCCTGGATAGGCCCGGGCGCCTGGGGCGTGCCCAGGTGAGGTGAGAGTGTCTCCGGATTAATTGAAGATCCGAGTTCAATTGCACCCGGCTCACGGACTGGGACCCGCCGGGACCGGGACTCTACTTGGGTGGAGACGGGACGGAACGATTTTACCTTAACTTAGCAGGCCCGGTGCTCCTTTTCTTCCATTGGTGCCGAATTCGATGCAGGAATCGTTGAAGCCACCAGGTGAAAACTATTAAGTACTTTGGGCGCTGTTCCTGGCGTTGAACCGTTAGCGTGTCTCCTGCAATGCCTTGCGGCGTGTCTGGGCAACTGGGGAAAAGTCCAGCCCGATACCTTACTTAGGTAGGCCACGCGCAGGGAGGTCGAGGCGACTTACTCGCGCCCCCTTAAGTCGGCAGCACGAAGTTTGCAATTTCCCAAAGGCGGCCAAACTCCACGCGACAACGGCTTGGTGGAGATGGCCCGAATGAATCTGGGCCCGAGTTGAGTTGTGTTGGGGTAAAAGTTGCAGGCAAGATGTGAAGGCACAGGACCTCGGTACGGATACACCGCGAAGAGTCCGTTGAGACTTTTTGGATACCGGAAGGCCACTGACAATGACACGGAAGGGCACTGACGATGACACTGACATCGACAAGCCCGGGACGGGTGTCACCTCTTCAGCAAGTCCCCAATGACGATGCTGGGAGAGACGGCGGTCTATCTATCTGTGCATCTGCAAGTACTGCATCTCGTGGTGGTGGCCAGCAATACGTGATAGATGGCAAGGCAAAACTGTAGCCAATCAGGAATTGGATTCCAACGGCCTTGACTGAGGCCCATCTCTCATCTCCATCTTCGTCCCCCTCCCTCGAATCCTGATCACCACACCCCATAAAACATTAAAATCAACAATGCCGTCGACGACGACCCCTGGTTGAATGGGTCTGGAAACCTCGTGATGTTATCAAAAGTGTCCGTAGGGTAAATTTGATGTTTGACGGTTGACCGCCCGTTGTGGTCAGTCCCTGACGGCATGCAATGGCAACTCAGCAATGCCAACTCAGTCTGTCCCTGTCCCGTCTTGGGCGAGTGAGTGGAGCGGTTGCTTCCCTGATTTCTCCCGTCCAATTGATGCTTGCGCTCGTGTCTATAGGCAGGGCAGGTCTCGTCATCTTGCTTGAGATTCCAGATGTCTCTACCCAGCTTGGAAATTGAACCGTTCACCAGCACCTTCGAAGAGGTTACGGCACCTATCCGTAGATGCCCAGTGTTGCCCGACCGCTCTCGCTATTCCTCTTTCTAATCCTCTACATCTGCCTCCGTCCAGGATCTGGACCTCCATCTGGTGGGCTGGCAGTGAGTTGTGACTTGTAGCCCCATCCATCCACAGAGGGGACCGAAATAACCGGATGCTGCATCTCATTTCACCGAGTACGGGCTCCGTTGACGTCGAGTCCGAGTGATGGTCAATTGCATTTGCCAGCTCTTGGACGATGGACTGGACCAAATACACCGATAAGAAGGATCGGGAGACCGCGGGTGTTTGAGAGCAACAGTGACAGCGCACTAGAGCAGCAAGTTGAACGTCCGGTTCGTGCCATTTATTTAGGTAGGTGAGGTGGTCAGGTACCGTCATTTCCCCCCGCGTACGCTACCTAGGTACCTTACACTGCACGCTGCACCACTCCGCTGTAGACCCCTTCGCTCGAGCAGAAGAGACCTGACTTCAGTGTTTAAGTCATTGGGTTCCTTGACCGCCCTCCTATCTTGCTCCTCTGCTTCGGTCCCTCATCCCCGACAAATTCCCACTTTCACTTTCACCCTCGCTCCCTCTTCCCCGTCCGTCGTCACCCGTCACTTTTTTTTTTGGCCTGTCGACTGCTGGTAGTGCTCTCGAGTGCAGACTTCGCCCATGGTTTCCGTCCCTTCTCGCCCTCATCGTCTCGTCCCGTCTCGTCTCGTATCGTTTCTGTCGCCTTTGGCTTTGGCTTTGCCTTTCCCTTGTCGCCGTCCCCTCCGACTGCGCCGCCAGCTTCCAGCGAACCCTCGTCGCTGTGTGTCGCATCCCCCTCTTACTCCTCCTGCTCCTCCTCCTCCTCTTTTTCTGCAATGACAACAGCAATCCCGGCAAGCTCTGATCCCCCAGCACATGCTCAAACCGCCCCTGCTCGCGCCCTCTCAACCAGAACCCGGCCTCCTGTCTCCGCCTCAGGTCCTCCTCCACAGCGTGCCTCCTCCACCTCCAACCACTCGCACCACCGTCACCACAACAGCCGCAGCAGCCAACAAAACTACCAACAACATCATCGCTCTCACTCGCGACAGTCATCCTCCGCCTCTGCCTCTGCCGCTGCCGCTACCCCTCCTCGCCCTGTCCAGGATATTCTACCCCAACATGATTATGAAACATCAAACGTAGTCTCGTACTCCAAGCGATCCCCCTCCAAAGACCATCCGCCTTCCGCCAACCGCGCCGACGCCTCGCGTCCTCAGCGACACCGCAGCACGAGATCTAATCATCGTCCGAATTCTTCGATCGAAATGCCTGCCAACACTGCAGTCGCAAACAATGCCGGGCCTGCTCCCGTCGCTCCTGGCGCCGCCGACCCCCGGAGCCCGACCACAGCCTCGGCCTCCGCTTCCAAGCACAGCAAGTCGCGCACAACCATCCCTACGCCCTCCGGAAAATGGATTCTGGGCAAGACGGTCGGCGCTGGCAGCATGGGCAAGGTGAAGCTGGCCCGCAAGGAGGACACCGGCGAGCAGGTTCGTTATTTTATATTCTGGTTGCCTCTTCCGCTTCCGCGACAACCTCAAAACATCCTCCCTTTTCCCCATCCTTCCAAACATCACATTTCAAAGATGTCATCATCGCTAATTGTTTACCGCAATTGCTAGGTTGCCTGCAAAATCATTCCTCGTGGTTCTACCGAAGATGGGCACCAGAGCCGAGCCGACAAGGAGAGGGCAGACCAGTCCAAGGAAATCAGGACGGCTCGCGAAGCAGCCATCGTCACTCTCCTCAGCCACCCACACATTTGCGGCATGCGAGACGTAGTCCGTACCAACTATCACTGGTACATGCTCTGCGAATATGTCAATGGCGGCCAGATGCTCGATTACATCATTTCTCATGGCAAGTTGAAGGAGAAGCAAGCCCGCAAGTTCAGCCGTCAGATCGCCAGCGCTCTCGACTACTGCCACCGCAACAGCATTGTTCACCGCGATCTCAAAATCGAGAACATCCTCATCAGCAAGACTGGCGACATCAAAATTATCGATTTTGGTCTAAGCAACCTCTTCGCCCCCCGCGGCCATCTCAAGACATTCTGCGGCAGTCTCTACTTTGCTGCTCCAGAGTTGCTCCAAGCAAGAGCGTACACGGGACCTGAAGTTGACGTATGGAGTTTCGGCATCGTCCTCTACGTTCTAGTGTGTGGCAAGGTGCCCTTCGATGACCAAAGCATGCCCGCGCTACATGCCAAAATCAAGAAGGGCTTGGTCGATTACCCAAACTGGCTCTCAAGCGGTAAGTTGCAGACTTTCTGTTCGTCTGCCATGGCTTGCGCTAACTTGCGACAGAATGCAAGCATCTGCTGTCTCGCATGCTTGTGACCGATCCCAAGCAGCGAGCTACAATGCTGGAAGTCATGGCTCATCCTTGGATGACCAAAGGATATAATGGACCACCAGACAACCACCTGCCCCCTCGGGAGCCCCTGACGCTTCCGCTAGACTCTGACGTGGTGCAGTCCATGACTGGCTTCAATTTTGGATCTCCAGACTCCATCCAGGCTCAATTAACCAAGATCATCGAATCTGAGGAGTATCAGCGTGCTGTGCGACTCTATCAGCGCGAAAAAGACGTCCCCCAGCCTTCCAAAGACGTCGAAAAGAAACGTGGTTTTGGTTTCGACTTTTACAAGAGAAGAAACTCGGGCAACAGTCGTGACACACTGACAGCCCCAAGCTCTGAGGCCCTTCAGCTTGGTAACGATCCACTGAACGCTTTCAGCCCCCTGGTTTCGATTTACTACCTGGTGCGGGAGAAGCAAGATCGTGACCGCCTGGAGAAGAACCCCGGAGCCGCAAGGCCACCAAGCGCGCCCAAGGACAAGCCGGCCGTCCCAGAAATCCAGCCACCTCAGGAGGCTCACACCAACAGCTCGGCCTATGAAATGCCGGGCGAAAGAGCCACTGGTGGGCGCTCCCGCCCTCGGGCAAGAACCCACGGCGAAGACGAGGCACCAGAATCCGTCAAGGCTTCGCATCTTTCGCCCAATGGACCACTTTCGCCGGCGATACCGGAGCCGCCTCCAGAGCCCATGCCAAAGAAGGAGAGCACCGCAGCGGGGATTCTTCGACGCTTCAGCACACGAAGGCGCAGGGAGCCGGAAAGACTTGACAAGGACAGATCTCACCCACCTGTTGTACAGGTCCATTCCCCATCCGGAGCCGCGGGCGCCGAGTCAGCACCCGCTACCGTACCCAGAAAGAGTTTCAGCATTCGAAGAGGTCGGCGGGAGCGTGAAGAACCTGCGCCTCTACCGTTGCGATCCGGTAGCAGTCAACCACAGCACAGCGACCTCCTCAGCCCGCCCCTGTCCGCTGGAGGCCCGTCGACGCGTCGCAAGGGTTTGGGTCGGTCAACGAGTGTGAATTCGGCAGACATGCGTCGCCGTGAGCCAGACCGAACGGCAAAGGACCCGCCTCCAACGAGCGGCTCCGATCAATCTACAACAATCCCCGATAGGCCTCCGCCCGTACCACGGGAGAGTCAGCAGTCACGGTCAGTTTCCATGCGAGCCAAGTCTCTGGGTCACGCTAGACGAGAAAGCATTCAGCAGCGCAGGCTCCGGCGGGAAGAAGCACGAGAAGCGAACGTCCCCGAAGAAACGGACCAAGAGCAGGGCGACCAGAGCGGGGTCTCAACGGACAGGTTGGACAGCACTGATCTGGCCAAACCGGTATTCCTGAAGGGCTTGTTCAGCGTGTCGACGACATCGACTAAGAATGTGACCGAAATCCGGGCCGAGATCAAGCGTGTTTTGAAAGGTCTCGCTGTGGACTACACCGAGGTTAAGGGTGGCTTTGCCTGCAAGCACACGCCGAGCATAGATCTGAAGAAGGTTCAAGACCCCCCGGGCAGCCCTGGCCAAGCGCCACCCGGCCACAGAAGGCGATTCAGCTTCGGTGGCGTGAGGGGTGGAGACCGGGAGCGAGATGATCTACCCAGCACAGACCGAGGACCAACGACCCCACGTGGAAGTGGAAGGAACGGAGCCGACAGTTACTCAAATTCGGATGTGTCGGTCGACAGCGATTCCCGAGAAGCTGGGGGTTCTTCGAGGAGAGTGCCGGGCGAAACCAGCACGCACGTTCAGAGCGATCTTGGGGGAAGCATGGTACTGGAGTTCGAGATCTTCATCGTCAAGGTCCCGTTGCTTTCTCTCCACGGAATTCAGTTCAAGCGCATGGTGGGTAACACATGGCAATACAAGAACATGGCAGACCAGGTATTGAGGGAGCTTCGCCTGTAAGACGGGGCGGGGCGGGTTTATATCTGTACAAAAGGAGGATGCACGTCACAGCTGAGAATGGCTTCAGCGAGTTAATGATGCAGAGGGGGCTTGGGGCAGGTTGACACAAGCAAAGGAACGTTGGTGGACGATCTCGTTTACCGCCCATTATTTCCATCCCCAAATTTCTTACCATTTTCTCTTTCCGGACTTGGCCTGTGTGAAGAACATCGGGCTACCTAGGGCTCTAGAGAAGCTTCTATCTTGAAGTACCGTAGCTAGCAAAAGGACGGGCATTGTTTGAATAGGCGCGTCAATGCAAATCATGGCGGTGCTGTTGATAACATTCTATGTAATAATGAGGAATTAAAAACTCGGAATATTATGTGTAACTATCATGTAATTGATTTGATGAGGGGTATTTGAAGCCCAACATCAGAAGATGCGGCGGCACAGCAAACCGGACCGGACGTGGTCGACTCTAAAACGACCCGACGTGGAGAGAGATAGCTTCCAGGTCCCCGCCTAAGGTACGACCCGACGAGGATTGCGGACGGTGATTTAGTAGGCCCGGGATGTACCCTTTTTTAGGTTCCTTACATAACCGTCCAGTAGAGGTAAGGCGAGGTCCCGATGCGGCACTTACCTCGTGCTCAGCCGTTGTAGGAGCGACTTGCTGGGACCTCAAAGCATTGGGCCCTGCACCACCCACCACCACCTTGCCTGAGGTTCCTTACCTAAGACGTCTAGCCTTGTCTCTTGTCCAACTAGACCACCACGACACTTTCCCACCTCCTCGCCCTCGCCCATCCAAGCACCGAACAACAGCCAGCTCGAATTTGCGCAATTACCACGATCATCTTCAAAAACACCACCGCCGAAAAGCAGTCGCCTCCGTCGCAAATACACCTTCTTCCTGTCATCTTTCCGCTCGAGTTCCGTTCAGCGCGCGCGCTCAACCCCACGCCTATCCACCCCACGAGAATTGGCCATTGCATCCCGATTGTCGCACATCGACATATCGTCCTTGAAGCCCGACCAGCTGTCAACAATCAATTTGCCAACACAACAGGAGAAACCCGATCCAAGCGCGAAGTTCAAAACCCAAGATCAAATAGACTTTGTCTGCTACATCGTTCTCCGCCAAAGATACCGGATTATTCACCAAGACAGTTTACCCTAGAGAGCGAACCGATCAAGGGCCTTCGAAGATGATGCCGGCTCCCCACGTGTACGGCCACCACCAATTCAACCCCCAAGCCGACTCGGCGGCGTGGATGCACCAGCAGTCAAATCAGCACCATCATGCCCAGCAAGCTGCAGCTGCTGCCGCCTCCGCTGTTCAGCAGCAGCAGCAGCAACATTACAACAGACTCGCCGGCGCCCACTCGGCTGTTCCTTCCCTTGGCAACGCCCATGCCCAAGATGGTGGCCACGACAACATATCTGAGGACAACCGGAGGACCATGTCCTATATTGCCGACTTGTTGAACGAGAGCACTCGCGAGACTGCCCTGCTGGAGCTGAGCAAGAAGCGGGAGCAGGTTCCAGAGCTAGCCCTGATTCTCTGGCACTCATTTGGTCAGTGCCCACCTCCAGTCTATCATTTTGATCGCGAGAAGATCTAACAATGGGAACAGGAGTCATGACCTCGCTATTGCAGGAGATCATCTCTGTCTACACTCTGCTGAACCCCTCGCAACTCACAGCCGCGGCTTCCAACCGCGTATGCAATGCGCTGGCGCTCCTCCAGTGTGTTGCCTCTCACAACGACACGCGCACGTTGTTCCTAAACGGTATGGTACTCCTAGTGTACTCCAGCGCCCTGGTCCGCCTGCTCACATCGCTCTAGCCCATATTCCCTTGTTCCTCTACCCGTTCCTTAATACGACATCGAAATCGAGGCCATTTGAATACCTACGACTGACTTCCTTGGGCGTTATCGGCGCTCTTGTGAAGAACGACTCCTCAGAGGTCATCAACTTCCTCCTGACCACTGAGATCATCCCGCTCTGCCTGCGCATCATGGAGACAGGTTCGGAGCTTAGCAAAACTGTGGCCATTTTCATTGTGCAGAAGATATTGCTCGACGACAACGGCCTGAACTACATATGCGCCACATACGAACGATTTTATGCGGTCGGAACTGTTTTGAGCAACATGGTCGCTCAGCTCGTGGAACAGCAAACCGCTCGGCTTCTTAAACACGTTGTGCGATGTTTCCTTCGGTTAGTACCCCCAACTCCATCGTGACTGACCGCTATTGGACCTGTGGCTGATCAGTGGGCGATGGCAAGACTGAGCGACAATGCCCGGGCACGTGAGGCTCTCCGTCAGTGTCTTCCCGAGCCACTCCGGGATGCGACTTTCTCTTCCGTTCTCCGGGATGATGCAGCCACTAAGAGGTGCCTTGCGCAACTCCTGATCAACCTCTCAGACAACGTCGTTGAACCGGGGCAAGGAGGCCAGCTCGGCCTCTGAAACCAAGCACAACACCAAGCAATACTGTAACGTTTTCGGGCCAACATAGAATTCATGCATAAGTCGGCGACAGGGAGGTCAGTGATTTCATCGGAAAACGCAAAGCGTCGTGGACGTATTGATACCCGCTTCCTTCGCCCTGCGTTTGGGCATATCAGCTTGATCTGGAGTGCATCTTCGATACGCGGTCTTTCTTTCTTTTATCATCTGTAGCATTGAAGGGACGGGTAAAAGCAAGGGTTTTCGTTTGGAGCTGGCGACTGGGGGGATCATGTCATTTGATTACACGGATGGGTGCAGGCGGGCCTTGGGATGGCGCCAGAGGATGGCACCTTGGGCTCTACGACTGGACAATGGGTCTCCTGGTGCTGGCGTTTCCTTGATCGGCAGAGCACGGTGGGAGCGGCTTTGCCGGGAGGGCTTGTTTGAATTGTCTTTAGGCGGCAACCGGTGGCATGGACAAGAGACTCATGCTATCCCCTTATCTACTTTCCTGTATCTATAGCAGGGCCCAGGCCCAAGTGCCTATTTCTTAAACTTCTGGTTATTGAGAGGACTTCGTGGCCTCCTGTGATGTTGACGTTGGCAGCTGCTGCGCACTCGGGCTACCCTACTAGGTCATGGCTGGGAAGGCAGCGGAGTGCGAAGATATGCCAGCTAGGAAGCTCCACCATCAATAGATACAAGTGCTATTATCGTAACAGTGGTTTTCCGTTGTTCTTTCTGAAGTTATCTAAACCTCCGAGCCTCATGAGTAGCTGAACGTATGGTAGGATAGATGGTCGAAATAGCCTGGCGACCAAATTTCTCGTCATCACAACGAGTATAAACGGGCATGAACCGAATTTCCGGACTTGCGTGCTTGAGGATTAGGAACGAACCCATTGTCGTGGCCACCGTACGAGATGTTAACTCGCTCGAACTTCCTCCATATGAACTAGTCGAGCAGTCACAACCAGGAGCCCTTCCCCTTGGTGCCCCAAAGCGATACTTTCTTCGGGCGATACTGTCGGCATTCGATGTCATACACATAACTGGCCTAGGGCTCTCTGGAGCTCTTGTGCCTGAGGCTTGGGACAGCATTGTGGCTGTCAACGTGATCATAGCAAACGCCTCTTGTTCCAGCCTTCCATCTTCCACACGCACGCTAGACTACATCTGTTGTTGATGGTATTGTCTTTTTTTCGATCCTTTTTTCGATCGAGGGTACGACCTGGTGAGCTTCAACGGTTTCCGTTTCTTGTAGTACTTGTCAAATGCTTTTCGTGACTATATGGACACGAGCAGGAACCAAATATGGCACTCTTCCCGGTTGTGTTCTATTTTCTTCGTCGCCTGGAATCTCATCCCTTGTTCCAACATAGGAGCCCGTGTCAGGGAACATCGCTGGGATGGACAGAACGGGTTAGTCCTTGAATATCTGGAAAAGACCACAAGCACTGACTGCGTTGCTACTTTGCAACTTTTCTATGCCGTCGGGTAGCCAGCTGGTTTGCGGTGCCTCGGCAAGGATGATAAATTGCTGTCGTTACTACTTAAGACATAGCAAGAGAGACCAGTCTTATGTCGATGCGCAAGCCCAGTATAATCCCATCGTCACTCGAACACACATCAGACTCAACCGTATTGGGCTGTAGGTGCATAAATGGGTGCATTATCTAGACGCATGGGACTAATTCTCCTGTTCGAGTGCTCAGTTCAGTTCATATCTGGTTCGGAGTTCCATGTTTCGAGTCAACACGAATCTTTATATAATCATGAGATCCCGTGTCCCGCTGCCTTGACACGTCTTATGTTCTGGCACGACAACTAGTATGCTGGATCTGAATGGAGCTTTGGTGTCTGGCGAGACTTGAGACTGAGAACTTCTTGCCGCGCATGCTAAACTCAACCGGGCTTTTCTCATTGCCATCACAGACATGAGCTTCACACGCGCCTGCCAGATGCAGATGGCTGGTGATAATAAGGCCAAGTGTAGGTAATGCCAGACGACTGATTTCAGCCCGTATACACTGACGGCTGCTGAGAGAAAGACTATCACAACTCGTACTATCCTGAAGATGAAATATAGCAGATCACCGGAGTCGAAGGATAACATCCTCGATCATTGTGTGGCCATTGTCTACAGGGTATGAGCATACAGAATCTATTGGCTCATTCATTTGATGCCCTTAAGCACTCGTACGGGTAATTATGCAGACATCGTACTGGAGTAGAAAATTTCAAGACACGAAGGTTAAGCCAAAGCAGCTTATAGCAGCTGGCCAACAAAGCCAAAGCAGCCAGTACGTTTCGTCTCTTATAGATATTTGTTTTGCGAGACGGCTCCAAGTTTAAGTGACCCCGAATTTGAAGCATTTCTTATATACATCAAAGTAAAATGCATATGTAGTGCTTTCTCTGCGATATTCTTCGCCGGATGTTAATTGTGAGGATTGAGTTCAATCACGACATACCAGCCATCTTCAGCCTTGCCCGATCTAAGCAGCAAATGGCATTGTACACTGGGGACGCAGCTTGCAGACCTCAGGTATTCCCTTACCTAAATCCGAAGCATGGGACGGTATGTGGCATCGAGCTTATATCACTGTTACGGCTCTGTAATCTCCATCATTGTCGCTACAAATTTTGGTGTTAGAACCCCTGAGCTCATCGTCATCGAGGCTGGATTACGTGTTGAGATGCATGTCACATAGTGAACTAAATGCTGGACTGTGTGCGCTTCCTTTCACTTTGAAGTCTGGCTTAGTCAAATGTATGGCTATAACTCTCAGTTTTGAGTTGGACGGGATCATGGCAGGCTGTCCGCATGGCATTTTGATCATTCGATAGCGAGCTGAAAGGCCTTTGGAAATTGATACGAGTTCACATGACCCGTCAAATTATTGAGCTCTGGTAGGCATCTCATTGCCCTTGGAGAGCGTAGCTCGACCGTACGAATTTCACAACTCGGCTGTTCTCTTGACCTTCTCTCCAGTTGATCTTCGCAACGGGTAGCAAGAGAGCGGCTCCCCTTCTCCATCTTTGAATTTGATATGCTTTGATCTCAGACCACCTTGGTAGAATGGATGACAAATTAGTCCTACAGCCCTACGGTTCCGTGTCTCCCAACAGGGCCCTGAGGTGATCTGCAAGCCAAGGGGTCACTCCACCAGCGTCGAAGCCACCAATCTCAGGATTGGAATTACCCATGGCATCTCTGAGGAGCCATCTCCATGTACGTGTACGAGCTACCGTTCTCAGATGGCGCGATCAACTGCTGGAACAGCGGCCCGATGGCGGCTTGTTTTATTTTCGGGGGCATACAAGTCGAAATAGATGGTGATTACTCAAGATTTCGGTCACGTTGAAAACGGCCATGTCGTGTAACTTGACCAAAGAACCCTGCGGCGGATAAGTAGCTGCCTGAGCTACCGCTGCGATACAACCGCGAACCAAAGATAACAGCGGAGAGGCCCACGGAGGGTTTAGCTCGTGCGGAAATGGACCAGGGACCGGGGAGCGTTCGATGACCGGACGTGATTGGAGGACTCTACGACGACGAAGCGACGCAGGAGGGACCTTGGAGGTTGTATGGTGGTCCCCCGGACTAGATACCATGGACCCGGTCTGGGCCTCCCATCCCCAATTCCATAATGAAATCCACCAAGAAACGATCTTTTGACATGCTAAAAGTTCGCTACCAGGATGGAAAGCCAGGTGGCCGGCCGGCTTATACCGACGAGTCCTCAGGCGAGAGGCAGGAAATAGATGGCGAAGGAAGGACTTCGTCGTCGACGTGGTAACAAGGGGGTCGAAATAAGAAGCTTATAAATATTCACCTTAAAATACACGTCCCCAATGACACGGCAGAGTTTGCCGCCCTTCTTGCGCAGCTTGCAACCATTGGGATCCTTCCGGGATGGCTCGGCTTATCTTGTGGCCGACTGGTTTGCTGGAGTGAAATCAGATTTCAAATGAGACTACATGGGTGATCAAGAATGATTTGTAAGGTTCAATAGGTTGTTGAGCTGAACTGTCCGGGAGATGGTGATCTTCCGGTACGTGGTCATGGCAGAATCGAATGAGTTGTCGATGGTCATCATGCCGAAAAAGACAATGCATGAAGTTAGGTGACACAGAGCAAGACAAGACGATCAAGACGGGGACTGCTAAGCTGAGCTTAATGTGTGCCTACATGGGCTGCTATCTTGGCATGTTACACAAGCTACCTCCTACACAATACCTTAGTCCTAGACGTTTTTCCGTGTTGACGTGACGGGGGAGGCAAAGACCGAAGGACTGCATATCGGCATCTGCTTTTGATATTGAGGTGTATGTAATTTGATTCAGTACCAGAGAGTGAGGGTGGATTAAGAGTGACCGTAACCAAACGGTAGCCATAATGGTACCAGCGCTAAGCCGAAAGCTTCCACCGTCTTCATGGTCGCACAAGACAGCCAGGGGTCCGGATTGCAGGTTGCAGAGTGCAGAAGGTCTTGGTCTTGGAGGTGCAGGTGCTGGTGCAGGTGCAGCAGGCGCAGGTTGCAGGTATTTACGCAGCAGGTGTAGATGCAGAAGCAGAAGGTGGCCGTGGTTCATCTCAGTGGAAGAGCGGAGAGGGTACGTACCGCAATATCGTGCACGTCCCGTCCGCCTTTTCAATCCCTGCCTCCCGCCTTTTCCTCACCAAAGACTGCCAGAACACACCAAAAACTGGCGGTGGCCGCAACAATTCGAAGCGGCGACCATTCTTGCCAAATGATTGGTTCATTCTCCGTCAACCTCCGGCC